GGGGAACGCAATCCTGCTGATAACTTGTGCCAAGAGACGATTCTGTATAGGTCCTTTGGCTCAGTTGCTGAATTGATTAGAGTCTGCCAGTACTCTCTCCTAGCTTTCCGAACCACGCCGCAAAATTCCCGTCGGGCTGAATTCCGTCCTTCTTGGCTTGTAGTCTGTTTGGAAAGGGCCCTGTATGTCTGAACAGCTGCTTTGCAGTCATCATTCCACCAAGCAGTGGGCCTAGATTGACGGGGCCTCTTGCCCACTGTCCTGATACAGCCTTGGATCATGTTGATCAGGCTTTGTGTAAAGGTGTCCACCTGGCCAGGGGATACACCCAGCCGGGGGAGTTCATGAATCCTGGTTTGGACATTATCTGCCAGCTCCTGTAGTTTATCGTCCGGTACTATCCAATGATTGGCCTTGGGTACTCGGTCCAGATCTCCCTGGATTGGAATGACTATTCGTAATGTCTCATGATCTGAGGTGCACTGAAGTGCATCATTAACTGAGGCTTCAGCCATGGGGACATCAGAGAACACCAGATCTAGTACATTTCCGTCATCATGTGTCGGGACATCTGGTTCAGAAATCAGATCCAGTCCGTGGTCTGCCATAGTTTGTGCAAGTATAGCACCACCATGATATCCTGGATTGCTTGAGTCCCAGGATGTGTCGCTAGCATTGAAATCTCCAGCTATAACGCAGCCAAAAGGTGGAGTCCATACTTCCAGAATGTCATCCACTTCCTGTGGGTTGTCACATGGCCGGTAGACACTGGCAAATGTAATGCCTTGTACCTTGACCCAGGTGATGTCTCGTGTAGCATAGGGCCGAAGTTGATCCGCTTGAAGGTATTTTCTCACATAGATGAGAGATCTGGGCCGTGTACTGTCGCTGTCCCAGGAATCCACTGGGGAGAATATATCGTAATTGGGGTGTGTCTTTACTCCCATTCTCCTGCCTGGTGGTATGCCAACCCAGGGCTCTTGCATCAGAATGATGTCTGCTTGTTCTCCTTTATAGTCAGCCAGGTTGATGACTAACTCTGTAGGGCCTGCACTCTTTTGTCCCCCTGCTGTATTCACAGAATGGATGACTAGATGCCTGTGTCGATATGTTTCGTTTGATGTACCTAATATTGACTGACAACAATGGTATCGGCATCTCTGGGATGAGTTGTATCTATTGTGTCGATTTGCATTGTGGTGTCTTTGTTATTGTTGCTAGGTGTTGACCCAGCTTGGTTTCTGCCTGCTTCGTTGAAGGCCTTGGATCTGGCTCTTTCTCCGGCTAGCCTTATTTCCTGGATTTGCTCCCATGTGTGCTTATGGATGGTACCTTTCACAACCTTGGGGCGGGCAGGGCATTTGTCGAAGTTGGCAGCATGAGGTCCTTTGCAGTTGACACACTTTGGGATTGGTTTTTCGCACTCTCCCTGGTGTACTGTGTTGGCGCAGTGTGCACATACTTGCTTTTCGCATCGGTAATTCCTACCATGGTATCTGAAGCAGCTTGCACACTGGTGAACCTTGGGGGTGTGTTGAATATGCCTTGAGGTCATTGAGTGGGCAAAAAGCGTGAATGGTTTCCTTGCTGCACTGGGCAGAGAGATTATCCATGTAGTTTCTGGATCAGAATCAATCGTGTTCTTTGAGAGTATGCACCTCAGAGGTCTGTCGCCTGTTTGGGCTTCAACTTCATCGGCAACAACAGTGTCGGTAATATCGATTGTGAACCCTTCTGCACTGATGACCTTTCTTGGGCATCCATTGACCTTGTAATGATGCTAGACTGTGTGGGTCTCAATCTTTTGTGCCTTAAGAATGTCGGCAATTTCTTCTTGGAAAGCCAGAAGCTTAGCCTGAGTTGGCTTGTCCCTTGGGTGTAAGGTAAAACCAGAAGGACACCGTGTCACTTCTCTAAGCTCCTGAGGGTGGAGCTTAAGTCTTCTGTTCAGTGTAGACTTGATTCCATAAGGCTCTAAGTGGCTATTATCCATGCGGACAAAGACCCGGAGATCATCCTGTTTCTTCTTCAGTTGATTGGTAGTGATAAGGGCGCCAGGCTGTGTTTTCTTCATGGTAGTGTTGACTGTCTATGGATGCTGTCGTTGGCCAGAAGAGACAGCTTGGGCGAAGGTCATGGTGGGCTTCCCTATCCCTATCCCGCCAGGAGTGGTCTTTCTTTTAGGCAGATCTCGGGTTTCCAGCCACTCGTTCAGGCATTTGGAGAAGAAAGCGCTGAACTCCTTGGCATGAGAGTATAGTTCGGTTCCAGCTTTTTCCAGTGTCTTATTGACTGCTGCAGCACACTCTTGAAACATTGTCATCCTGGCTTCATAGAGATGCTTGTCTTTAGCCAGTATTTTGGCTACTTGGTCCTGGCACTTTAAGGAAGAGACCTTGTTCCCTGTATCGCCTCCAATGGCTTGGTCTGTAGAGATTTCGTTTGATTGAGGTACTTCCATATCAATGATGCTGCTAGTATTAATATTTCGGGGTTTTCTTTTCAGAGGGGAAACAATGGTGAAGTCAGCCTCAGAGACCTGTGACGGGCTGCTGTTGATGTCGTCGAGCAGTGCCTGGCGGAGCTTGCTTGGGGTTGCCGGGCCATATGTTCTTTTAGGGACCGGGGATTTGAGCACGCCGCCAGTAGTCGTCTTTGGGACGGCCACTGGCGTATCTAGGGGCCTATCGTGAAGGGGTGCCATCCAGCTTGTGAGAAAAATTTTCTGCGCCTTGGCAAGGATAGTCAGGTACTGAAATAAATGCCTGTTTTAGTGCAGATATAGAGGTTGCGCCCTAACAGCGGGGCGCCAAGAAAAATAGTTGTTTTGGTAAGAGTGTGGTCGATGCGTGCAATTTGTTAAAAGGTGTCTTAAAGATCTCTATGCTAGTCTTGCCAGCGTTCTCAGGTCGTGCCTTTATATTGGGATAGGTGATTGCTGACCAAGCACGGTGATATTGGGTCTTGCTGGCCCATGTCAAAATGTGCCTTAAGACGGTTGTACATGTCTGAGAACATTGAGTGACGGCTGATATGGTGCATGAAGTATTCTTGAGATATGCCAGTGAGGACTTGGGGGAATGCTGCATAGAACTGGCCAGGCTTGATGCCAATAGTAGAACATGTGTTTAGAAAGTAATGTATCTTGTCGTCCAGAATATCATAGGGTCGTCCTGAGTAGCAGTTCTCCTCTTTCCAGATCTTGGCAAATATTGCGATTGTCATAGGAGCTAGGTCCTCATTCGCCACTGGGATAGGAGGAATCTGGGTATATGGATTGGGTGGTTGATTTTGTAGCCATTGGTTGTGCTGCTGGTATATTTCAAAGCCAGGGTCTGGTGTGATACCAATGTGCCGAGGATTGGGCACGAAGTTGTCTGTTGCATATGCCATTGGGGTCTGTCCAGGCCATAATCCAGATTGCGAATCTTGTGTTCTTATGAAAGGGTTTTCAATACTTGGCACAATTGTATCTTTATTCTGTTGCTGTTTGATCTGCTCATTCCTTAATCGCTGTTCTGGGTTCTCGGAATCTGGGGTCTCATGGCTGGGAGTATCGGTCTTGAGAGCTCTATCTTTGCTGGTGTTTTGAGGGGTCATTCCGTCATTACATATATCAGCAGTGCTGTTATCCTTTTCTTGTTCAGCCAGGATAATATCCACAATGTTCCAGATATTTGGGTGTGGAAATAACGCTTTTGCTGTGACAAAAGAATGTCTATCCCACATTGGGAGGTCTTCAGCAATGGTTAGACGGGCTAGAGCGTCTGGGGTGGAGCTGTTTGCTTTGCTGAGGTAGATGCCTTTGGATGTGATGCATCTTTGGAAGGTACTGCGGATATTCCAGTCAATCTTCTCAAATCTTCTTTAGACCAGTTTTTGAAATTGTTCTGGAAGAACTTGTAGATAATCTGTGAGTCAGGCTTCAGGAATCCATTATAGCGGTCGATACACAACAAGCGTACGAATTCATATGTATGGGTTCTCCTCCTTGGAGGTCGGCTGGTTCGCCTATGCTGATGCATTCAAGGTTGACTGAATTGATGAGGGTGGCTGGTAGGCCTCGATCTCTCAGATTTTGAGCCGGGTCTTGTGTTCTGTCTTTAGATATCTTGCTGAAATTAGGCGTAGTGCGCGTGATGAATTGAAAACTGCAAAAGGCGCGCGCGAGGAATCTGCGCATTGTTTGCGGATTGTAGGGAGGTGGTTCTGTCGGTAGTCATAGACTGCCGCGCGTAAGTGGTATTGCTGTGATTGCAGCGTAATCTACTGCCTCGAGTCGTTTCACGAAAGAACGTTTGCGTCAGAAGATCCAGATCTTTGGTTGTATCCCGAGTAGCCTCAAGGAGGAACGTTAATACAATAAGATCTCTTCTTTTCCTTGCTCATCTGTGTTGCCTTGGAGACAACACTGATCAGTGTTGGAACAGGCTTGACCAATCAATCATAATACTCGAGTATGGGTCAAAGTCATGATGTTGCTGATTGTCACGGCGAGCGTACTGAGGAGCTGGGACATAGCCGGCAACAAGCAGCTATTACTCTATTGACGAGAATATCAAGACTAGAGAGGAAAGGAAGAGAGAGAGAGATAGGTACAGCGGGAGGTTGCCCCTTTAAGGGGATTCTCTGTTCAGATCCTTCCCTTATTGGGAAGTATCGGCTTGTCATGTGGGAAGGTCCGTGCAGGCCGTCACAAATATCGGTTACGGTTTAACACCGATTTAAATAAAACGCGCTCGCAATATTGTCGCGTTTCACGCTTGCTGCTTTTATAATTATAATCGTTATACGAACTTCAAAAGTAAATTCCTGGCTCAACCCGCGATTTACAGTTAAAAGAGTACCGATTATTTATAAATCTATCGTTTTAATATTGAGTAAGAAAAATAAAAAATAAAAAATAAAAAAGAGGTCGCGAGCGCGTAAACGCGTTCTGACACTAGCGTGGTAGATGCTCGGAGACTTTTGGAGGGTCAGTGTATTATACCTGGTCCCTAATGGAAGCGTCATTACAAGTCCTGAACCAGAGCTACAACTCCGACGTCGAGTTCGTGCCCACCATCCACGCGCTCGAGAACGTCAGCGACATCCATCTGCTGGAGCAACTCCCGGACTCCTCCAAGCACCTCTTCACTTTCAATGAACCGGACGGGACCAAAGATTCGGGCGGCTCGGGCATCGACCCGGCCGCGGCCGCCCAGGTCTACATCGACAAGATCGTGCCCCTGCGCAGCCGCTGGGAGATCTCGCATCCTAGCGTCACGGGCTCGGAGCGCGGCCTGGCTTGGCTCGACTCCTTCAACGCCTCGTGCTGGGCCATCGACCCAGCCGCCGGGTGCCCGGCCGACTTTGTCGTCGCCCATTACTATGGCGACTTCGTCGGCCTGTCTTGGTGCGTTGGGCAGCTGGCTAGTTGGTACCGCATTACGGTCGACGAAGGGGCCGGACCAGCAAACCGAGACCTGAAGATATAGGTCAAGGAGTTTGGCATCGCGCAGGCGAGTCGCGAGACAGCGCTGGCTGTCATGTCGCAGACCCTGCCGTACTTCGACCCGCTAGGCTACATAGCCAGGTACGCCTGGTTCGGCGTCTTTCGCCCCGAGGAAGCCAATACCTGGACTGGCGATGGATTGGCTATGTTTGATACCCTGGCCAACGTCTCAAGATGTCTGTCCCCAATCTCTTCACTCCTTTCGTCGAGCATCTTGGATTACCAGCATCCATCGGTACGTCCACCCCCAGTTACCACATCCAGCACTCACGTACTAACACTATATGACAGACAGCCAAGAGAAATGCCTCGACTACTGCGACAAGAGAACCCTAGAGGCGACCCGCGCAATCCAGACCTGGCGGCTCACCGTCAACCCGGGACTGTCATACAACTACAGCACTTCAGCAGGACGGATGGCTGTGGCGAAGAAATGTCTGGACTACGTTTACGCTGCCGGCAAGGCGTTGGCCGCGGTCGCCGCATTCCGCTACTTCGAGGCACAGGCCTACGCGGCCGAGGCGGACCATTGGGATGAGGTTCCGAGCTGCAACGGGTCAGCGATTTGGCCCGGGACTTGCAGGAACTCATGCGGGACGAGGCGTAAGTCTCCCCCTGCCCTAACTTTTCTTGCTGGCCGGAACTGACAACATGTCTGTAGTCGAATAAAACGGTGGCTTGGACGGCAGCCGGGAGATCAAGAGATCCGCGAGCCGATACGGGCGCCTCAGAGCTTGGAATGGGAAACCCTCCAGTGGTGATTCATCTCTCCGTCATTCTCCGACCTCATCGTATGGGTCAATCGTATCGACTCGCTGTTGTGAGCTTGAACGTGGGTTACCAGTGTTGCTGAGCCTCTTCGCGGCCATCTGGTGCCGAAGGTCATGCTGTCGTTGATTCATCGCCCATGAAAAGGGACCGAACTCTTTGGAATTTCGTTAACATGGTTCGATATGTTGTAAGGTCCGCTCCAGCACTTGACTAATGGTACCGGTAGGTCATACATAGTAGACCCAACCCAGTTGCCCACGGAACCACAGCTCTAGAGTATGGTAGAACGGGTATGGAATGATCCGCCTCGTACTTCAGTGGTCACTCGGACACGTCACATTGTGTCTGGCATTGACCTCTGCGTGTCTGGATGAGGTTGGGGCCCGGGAAGTGAGATTGAGGCTTAATCCCGTGAAGGGCCCTCTGCTTAGGCACAGGCATGACCAGATGACGTATCGTGTATCATGAACTCTGTACGGTGCTGCTGGCCGACATGGACTTCGACGTCCAAGACATGAAAGCAATAGTCGAGCATGCGGCCGTTGATTGGTGAACAGAAATCAGGGGTTGTCAGGGGTTGCGACGGCGGTGCGGGACGCTACCTAGGTAGGTAAGGTCAGGTACCTGCAGCGGGCTGCAGGTGGCGGCTCAGCACCTGCAGTGGATCCCGTCCCCACCTGCACAGGGCCGTCACATTTTAGGGATCCATGAACCATTGAGTGGATTTGACAGGCCTCTGCCGAGACCCGACGCCCAGGGCTGCCACTGGAACGGACCAGCTTCATCGGTAGGCTCACAGCCGGAGCCCGAGCGTTCTTGTAGGTCCAGACTCTACCTGCAGTGACTACCCCTTATTACGTACCCTACCGGAGCTCCAGTAAATCTTATTTTCACCCACGCCGACAATCACCTTAAACCATCCTAGCAGGTCGTAATGGGTTTCACCAACCCATTGCCATCGTCGTCTTCCACCTCCTCCCACCGTTGCCACCGCTGCCACCCCCTCCAACGTGAACGCGAGCGTGGCCATGTCACCGAGGACATGAACCCTCAGTCTCCCACTCTTGAACCCTTTCAACTGCCACCACCGCCGTGACCGAGCAGCAACAGAACCGATTCAATGCCTCTCCCGCTCGTCGGAGCCCCGAGGGGACTGCGGACCATCCTGCTCCCACTCAGCTTCCTCGCCATCATCCTCGTCCTCATAGCCCTGTACCGCAGCACCGAGAGCAGCGGAGACTTCCTCAAGAACCTGACCACCATCAATGGCCCCAAGACACAGCACGCCGACCACCACCGCCCCACGAACACCCACGCACCGCCAAAATACAAGCCCACCACCACCTTTGCCGTTCCAGCCGTCACCGACCCCTTCCCCCTCCTCGCCTCCTCAACCGCCGCGCCTCCGCCCATCCCAGCGTACAATGTGCCACGAGACGGCCTCCACCGGGATTACGGCCTGGCCTACGTACCACCCCTGTTCATAGGCTTCACACGCCAATGGCCCATGCTCTTGCAGTGCGTCGTCGGATACATCACGGCTGGGTGGCCACCTGAGTCCATATACGTAGTTGAGAACACGGGCGTACAGAACTCGAATGCGGACGACAAGCTTAGCCTCCAAAATCCCTTCTACCTAAATCACACCACCCTCCGCAGGCTGGGCGTCAACGTCTTACCGACTCCGGTCCTCTTGACCTTCTCGCAGATGCAGAACTTCTTCCTTTCGACCGCCACCGCCCGCAGCTGGCCCTACTACTTCTATTCGCACCAGGATGTACTGGTCTTCTCCTTCGAGGATGGCGCCGATGTCATGAAGCGTCCCGGTGACAGGGAATGGTTCTTCTACGACAGGCAGGATGAGTTGGACGTGATGCGGCCGCCTGCTGCCGGCCAGAAGGGCTACCGGACTATATACGAAAACTGTCTGCGCGAGCTGAACAGGACTGTGGAAAGCGAGGAACGCTGGGCCTTCCGCTGGTTCCAATATGACCATCTAACTTTGGTAAACCGGGCAGCGCTGGATGCCGTGGGCGGTTGGGATAGCTTGATGCCGTATTATGGGAGCGACTGTGACATGAATGCCCGACTGGAGATGGACGGATGGAGCATGAGGCATCGCCGCGTCGGCATCATCAACGACGTTTCCACCGTGATGGAGGACCTGTCGGCGTTGTACCGCGATCCGAATATCGTACCAAAGTTCGTGGATCCGAACCCTATCGCCGAAGAGGAGCTCGAGCAACTGGAACGGCCGCAGGGAAGCGAGCAGAATGATGAGCCGGAGAAAGAGCAGGCTGACAAGCCAACGGAGAAGCGGTCCGAGAAGGGCAGCAAAGTTGCCGGCGTCGGGGTCACCAAAGCGGTCGATTACTTCCGCTCGCTTGTCAAGGTGGCTGATGACATGGGGACGTACAAGTACCGGAGCGACAAGTACGCGCGCAACTCTTGGCAGAACAGTCAGCATGGCGGGACGGGGGAGCCTTACTACTACAACGCGGAGGGGTTCGCCTCGTCGTTCTGGATCCTAGCCGAGGCTGGTCACGAGGTGTTCCGCCAGAAATGGGGTCACCGCGATTGCAACCTGGTAGAGGAGACGGCTTTACAGCTTGACGACCAGTGGCGCGTGGAGAAGGACTGGGAAGATTAGTACATGGGCCGTACATGTCATGATTCATGTTTCCATTGGGTATAGAAGGCGTATTTGCGTGTTTATTGAAAGGGGGTGTCGGGCTGTCATGGTACTCCTCATACTTGGTGCATTGTACGATTACCTTCTGGCAGAAGCGAGCGCGAGCCTGGCAGCAACTTTATACCCACAATTCCAAGATGAAGAAGTCGAAGTTACAGTTTAGGTATCAGAATGCGCACGAGAGATACTTGAATTCTCCGCAGGGCTGACTTGACGTCTTTAAACCTTACAGCCCATGTATGCAACTGTCGCAGGCCTGTGAAGGACTAGGAGTCCAGACGCTTCCTACTCGGCCTGGATACTCCGGGGCAATGCACAGATCGGCCATGTTATGATGCCGCAGGGGGGCGGATCTCCGGTAGGCATGGGAGAATGCGGGGTGCGCTGACTGTGTTCACGGCCGAAAATGACGCTGTCTTGGATCTACGCTGGACCATTGGTACATTGATGGTATTTTTGCTGTCATATCCGCGTTACACGTTGACCAAACCGCTGGTCGGCCCGTGGCGAAGGCTGCAAGATCTCAGCTGTCCACGCCGTGGAGCCTTGAGGTCGCGTTACTCACAGCCTCCAGTATCAGAAATGGTAAAGGATGGTGATATACTTTTCATTGGAGCCGCGAGGTATGCGTACTGGACTGTTGGCAGTGTGTTATATCCTACTTATATTCCCTGTAGTCTTGTCCCGCCTCGTCGCTCTTTGTTGTAAGCAATGGTACCGACATCAGGGTCCTATTCCTGGCTCGGTAACCGCCTCGCGGTCTCGACGTATGTATCCGAGACTTTCGGACAGTTCACCGAGCTTGTCAGAGCGGCCTAGTGGAGGTTGCTTCATGCGTAATGTATTGCCAGTATCTTGCCTCTCCTGCTGAAGACTTTAAGTAGACCTCTGGGCTCTTGGGCTATTGGGCTCAAGGAGTCATGCTGTTGCCAAAAGCAAGTTGGATCTACTTTTCCTCCCTTCGGTAAATTGGCGGTGGTTGTAACCGTCGTATGTCAGCCACCTTTAGATCATCTTGGTATATGGATTCAGCCAAGCCGTCTGTAGCCTCTTCGAGTGACGTCCAGGAGAGTTCAGCACACAGTGTCCCCGGACCCTACCGATCCAGGTTGAAGACGGTCATGACAAACAGTCGCGGTTGACCCAAGCACAAGTCTAGTTTCCAAACACAATCGCGTTCCGAATCAGAGCCCATAACAATGGCAGTATTCTACTCCCCACGGCGTTGTGTTCGACCCCAAGGCTCACACGGCATCTTCGTCATCTCCAGTATGCTGCCATGATCATGAGTATGGAAAGACTTAACGGCTTGAGACAACAGGACAGAACCCCTAGGCCTGCCTCAAAGGAAGTACCAGCAGCCCAATCCGACAGCCGCTAGCAACCGTGGTGCCCTCAGTCTTCAATCGTATATCTCAACGATGATGAACCTCATCCCGGAGGTGATTGATGGCCAGCCCTACCCCGTATCCATGCCACCTTAAGGCCCAGTCTAAGCTGAAGAGCATGGACTGTCCGTTCGTGGCATCGATCCCTCGATGAACGAGCCGACACTCTATCTCATGGCACCAGACTCAAACAAGAAGCGTCGTCTCCGCCGGTCGGTCTGGGAAACCGCCAGTGCTTGATATTAGTTCGAGTGTGATGGAACTACATACGCGGAAGAGCAGTAACTCCAACTACCACAATAGTAAGATATGTAGACCATTTCTTCTTACCATTGCTGTGACCTGCCTGCGGCGTGGGTGCGAGTAGTAGATGATTGGTTACTCCATAAGCACCGACAAGCGGCTCCTTATTTATATTATTATACCTATAATTGCAGAACTGTTAGCATGTTCCTTTAGAATAAATATAACGTTAACAGTATCCGCCCAGATCATGATTTCAAGCATCAAACCGTGATGGCCGTGAGGGCATCAGGTATATATACCACCGACGTGGGCAATATCCGAATCGTGGTGACAGCGGTATGGACGTGACAGCGTTGTTGTCTATCGTAAAGGTCTATCTACTGTCCGATAGTGCGAAAAACACACACTGGTTGCTTAGGGTTAGGGTTAGCGAGTAACTGTTGCTATGGCGTTTATAGGGTCTGGGTAGAGGCCTGACTACCCAGAGCATCAATGGGTTAGATATTCAAACCAACATGTCAGGCAATTAGATCGGACCCGCAGGAAAAGCCAAGTGGTTTACTAGAGAGTCCTCAGTACGGCCTTCTACAGGCACTTGCAATGGTTTCCTCGTGCCATACGCGAAAGGGGCCGTCGGCCCAACGCGCCAATCGGCGAAGGACCTTCAGCAGCCGGTACATAGGTAATATAGACCTCGTATCGCCAATGGCATGGGTGATTGAATGAGGTAGGGTTGGGTTGAATGTTGACAATAGACGGCCAATTGCTTGGCAGGTACATTAGAGTGGCGCAGTACGTAGAATCTAGATACAGCGGCGTGGCTGAATGATGGTCCGCTAGGCACCCTCTCCAGACTTGCAGCTCATTGGCTAAGTTGGTAAGACAAGGGGCAATTCCCTCTTATAACTACGGTAAGCAAGCAACAACGCCTAAGGTATTTATATTCGATGACCATGTCTTGTATGATAAAAGATTCGGCAGCTGTAGCGGTACAGTCACATATAACAGCTTATTAAAGTAATGCAACTACCTCACTTGCACAACACAGAAGCTACTGGCGCGACCTGGTGCATTTGGACCATGGGAATGGTCGAACACGATGCAACCTGTATAAGCCTCTTCCACTGTCGTGGTTTTCCTTGACTGAACCGTCAAGGAGGCTATGGGCAATACGACTGAATTGTGATTCACATTAAGCAGGGTGGCAACCAACTGGAAGGCACCAGTAGGGCTACAGGCTGTTCATGGCAAAAGTCGACATAAACGCAGCGAGGGGAGTTTATATATCATAAAGTCAGTCGCAATCCGACAGTATAGGCACTGGGCAGCCCCAATTTCTTGAGCTGCTAATGAAGCGAATTCTATCTTCAACGCCTGTATGAGACGGTCTCAGGTCTGGGAAAAGGTCAACCTGGCGGGATGTGAGACGTGATGCATTTCCCTGCATCGCGAATGCTCCTCATTACCCCGTACCAAACCAGCACGAGTCTCACTATCTTCCGACCATCCTTTAGGGGCCATGGCAATCTCAATATGGCCCCATGCAGGCACTGACGCCCCCGCTCTAAAAGCATACTGCCTCTGCAGGTGCAGAATTCCAAGCCCGAAGGAAAATCTAACCGGGTATCAAACATGGCCAACAATGACTCATAACACACCAAGACTTCCATGCTAAGCGGAACCCCATCACTTGTCCGTCTAAGTATCTGGTGACTCGAATCGCTCCTCTAATCCCAGCATAAGCGAGGTACTTCCACGCGCTCCTCCTTGTGCGAGGTCCCTGTGCTCAACGCCTCTCCAAACCCAAGCGTTCCCCAATCGTGTGGCTAGCGGAAGAGGATGCCCGGCGTTATAAGATTAGGTAGAAACCGCGTAGAAAGTGGCTTCACGCAGCAGCACTGCCAGTCATATCATCCTCCGTGGTAGCCGGTGCAAGAGCGGCATACTCGCGTCCCTCACTCAGGGACAGTTGCTGGTCGTGATCGCTGTGCAAGAACTTCTCGGGCGTAGAATTCGACCAGCATTGTGGCGTATACCTCCAAGTCTTCGACGGGCACATTTAGCCGAAAGTCGTTCAAGAGGAGGAACTGCAACTCGAGATGGTTGAGCTCTGCGAGAGGCAGGCCACCGACCTAGTGTACGTTAGCATCCAGACTCATGCAGAGGTTGAATGACAGAAAGGTGAACAGAAGGCTACACCAAATGCTCAAAGAACCCTCTCGCGTTGCGACGTACCTTGGCGTATCTTGAATTGGTATAGAACACATCCGAGAAGAACTTGCTCGCGCAGGTGACGCCGGCGATGATCAAGCGGTGTATGTTGAAGCTGTCGACGACAAAATAGGTAGCCGGCGACGGACCAGCTTGTGGCGTTGCTGCGTCATTGGGCTGTCCCGCGGTCGTCTTCCCAGGACCCGCTCCCCCGTCCTCATCGTCAGCTAGATCAGATCCAGCCTCGTCGCTATCGACACCGTTCTCATCCCGCATCTTCATATCTCTGTTTCTGCTCGACTGGGCATCCACTGGGGCGGTACGGGGCTGCTGATCTTGCTGTGTCTGCCGCCTGGCCTCTTCCGCTTCCACGACCATATTGTTGACTCTCTCCGTCATGCGATCAAAATAGACGAGAAGGCTGAGGAATACCTCATAAGTAGTTGGACAGTACTTATGAATCCTGCTCAAGTAGCTCAGGATCGTGATGGCTGGCACATTCTTGCCATGAAATGCAAGAACAGAACTGCTCAAGGGGCTCATTGAAGAACCATCCGTATTATGACTTGCGGCAGTCTGCTGATGGGTCGCATTCCTGTGTAGCGCATCGTGTTGCAGATCGTTGGTGGTAGTGATCTTGGTCAACAAGGCCGCGACCATTTCGATTATGTCACCGATGGGCATTCCGCTGATCTCATACTTCATAGCCTGCTGAGGCGGATCGTTCAGTATGCCAGGTCCGTTGCTGCCATTCATCAGGTCCGCTCTCGCGAGACTCTGGATATGCGCAAGGTCGCGAACAACGACGGTGCGGCCCTGTTGGGGGGCGGATGCATTGTAGGCCGACGGCGGTGAGGGAACCGTGTTGGGAGTGTCAGACTTGGGCGATGGCTGCTGTTGAGCTGGTATAGGAGTGGCGGTGGTTACTGCCGATGCAGTCGGTTGCTGTTCGACTGCCATGTAGCTTGCTGGAGGACTCGTCGCATTCTGTGCTTTTACGCGGGCAGAGGCAGGGTTTGACGAGGACGAGTCGGGGGGCGAAGGAAATCGCGAGGCGCCACCGGTAGACGCGTTCTTTTGCTCAGCTCCTGATTCTGAGGATTCCCAGAGTCGTTTCGAAGGTGTTGCGCTGGACGCGGCGGCGCGATGCTGGGTGGAAGAGACTGGGGACCACGACTTGTGGGATACAGCTTCCCACGATGTATTCCGTGGTTCGGAGCGGTAGGCCGGTTCGCAAGAATGTGGGTGCTCGTGCTGCAACGCCGAGGGTGCTATCATGTTATGGAATCGCGAGTGATCCGTGACAAAGTCGCCAATTACCGCAGCCATGGCACCAAATGTGAGAGGCGAAAGCGGGTTGGAGGTTTTGGTGGGGGCGTCGTAGCTCGTAGCGAGGTGTAATACCTGTAGGGAACAAATACAGTGTCAGCCAGTGTCAGCCAGTGTATGCAGCCAGTGTATGCTGTTCGACTCTTGGTTGAATGAACAATCCAGGGAAGAAATAGAAATGGAAATAGCCCAGCGCACAAGGCACAACGCACAACGCATAGCGATGACGAAGCCGATGTCGTCGAGGCTGGTGCAACCTGGCTGCCCAGAGACATGGCGCCCGGTGCAACAACAGTACCATGGGAAAACAGCAAATGTTTGCACGGACTGTAACCTGTAATCTGTAACCCCAGGAATGCGTTGAGAGCCCTGCCTGGACAAAAGAGACAGATGTTCGAATGATAATCTGCAGGCTGTCCGTGACTTTGGTGACAAGGCGGCAATCTCACAACGTTCACGGTGCATCAACACTCTCACTAGCATGCATGCACTTGGGCCGCAGCCACAAGACGACAAACACAGGGGTTCAACAGCTTGTATTATAGATGGGTAAAGAAGAGAATCAAGAAACAGTGCGGCGCTGTGCAGGCATGGCGTCGTGGGGAGTGGGAACTGGGGACGAATGACAAGAGACAGTATGCTCACCTGTAGTCGACGTGCGAGATCAATATGCTAGTCTCGACGAGCAAGAAGTGATCGGTAGCAGGTGGTGAAATCAGTTAAGATTACCAGCTGATGTGTGTGTGGGTGTCCTAAAGGAGAGGGTATCGTGGTCGTGCGGTCGGTGGTGTTTCGGTCGCAATGCTCTATCTTCCAAGAGACCTGTAGTGGAGGATTCGATGACCAAGACGACGGACCTACGATGAGGCGCGTAGGGTAGCAACACGATATCGGGTATCAATAGGGTGGCGTATGGCGTCGCCTGTAATTGACAAGTAGTTGTGAAGTAATTGTCGACAGGCTTTTGGCCGTCGGTGGATTGTGGCTGGATGTTGGAGGTGGATGAAAGGAAGGATACATGCACCCAGGAGGTCAAGTTTCAGGTTGTTAAGAGTTGACGGGCGGGGGTGAGTTGAGTGATCAGCGTTCAATCTTGCCAGAAGAGCCAGAATATGGCGGCGGCTGCTCTGGAGCAAGCAGGCTGGCAGGCATATGTACGTCAAGCTCCAACAGGATGATGCCAATAGAACCAGGAAGGTGGTGAAGAAGCGGAGGTGGATGTGGAGGAGGTGGAGGTGGAGGTGGTGCTTCTGGTCGGTACCCAGTCGGTAATATGTAGTGATAGGGTGATAGGGTGATAGGTGGTACCTCTGTAGGATGCGTAGGTGTATTGTGAGAGTAGAGGATATTCAGGTATGATCGCGATAGATGGGCTGATTGCTTTAGGAGGTATGTGTGGCAGCAGAGCAGTATGACATCAAAACCGGTTGTTGCTTGCGACGCGACGACTATCATCAGACGAACCACTGGGCAGTTTCTGCTGGCCTTTCACCAAATGGCAAAGAGGGGCCCGCGGGTTGGGGTCGGGTCAGTGGTCGGTGTCGGTGGTGCCGACGGCAGAGAGGGGATTGGGATTGGGATTAAAATAGATAAAACACTTGAAGCCGCAGGTGGTCGACAGGTAGGTAACTCAAGTAGGCCCATGGATGACGGAAGACCAGTAACAAACAAGAGAGTAGTATTAAATATGCGGAAACGACTCGGGCACAATCGAGAAGGAAAAGCACGACAAGACGACAAGGCAAGATCCCACGTCTCTCGAGGACCTCAGATTGAAGAGGAGAGGAGGGAGAACGTCTCAAGTTTGGAAGAGTCGGCAAGAACCTAACATACTATGTAATGCTACATTAGCGTAGCCAAAAGGGGGGTGAGGCTGTTGTGGCGCTGCGGCACTGGACGCCAGCTTGATTAGGTAGCAGTTCGAAGTATCCTCACATGTTGTTTAATCTGTCCACTTTTGGGCGTGGGTGCTCGCACGTGTTTTCCGTGATGGATAGCATTAGCAGCGTACATTGCGTGACATGAATTGCGTGCCGCGCTGCTGGCTGGTAACTTTTAATTGGTCTGTGGTGAGGCCTGAGTTGAGGTCAGTGCCTTCGCAATGGCCATTGGCTGGGGGTCTTGTCAAGACGGGCTGCCATTGGTCCGTAGGAGCGCCGGGGTAGGAGGCTGTGCAGTGACCCTTCCAGGTTGCTGTGCGTGCCCGCTGTGGGGGTTTCGAGATGTCTAATCTCGAAAGTGAGGTTCTAGAATCATTGCCGATCGAACTATCCCAGGCCTGTCTTCAATATCGGTTTGCGCATGTCTCCCATTTGATACCGATATGCTACTTTGATTATTGCCATGTATTTCACCTGTTCAAGGGCAGCAGCCAGGTCAATATCGAGGCCACTCGGTCTGCCTTGAATAATACCGACTTCTAATCCATCGTTGGCCTTTGTTCGTGCAGTTCAGGGCTCCGTACTTTAGGTATTCGATTCGTAGTTGCGGCCACGAAGGGCACCGTCGATGGACTAACTTATTAGGACCTCGGGATGTTGAATGTTGAACCCTGCCGATCAGACTTCAACTGCCATGGACTCGGAACATGTAAACTTCTCTAGCTTGGATATGCCGTCTCGGCATTCTTAAATAAGTTATTCGCGATTCAGGGTCCTGTGCCTTGACCACAGGCACATGTCATCCTCTGTCATCCTCTGTCATACCATTCATCATTGCATTCGGCCCCTTGAGTCGGAAGGTCCATAGGTACGCCTGTGAAGCAGCCATCCCGCGCTCCATGGATTGGGTACAACCATGTCGCATCGGCGGTGAAGTTCCCTGATAGCAGCATCCTGTCTGTCGGGCCGACCACGATCAAGGATGAAGACCGCTGAGACAAGCCTCATGTCGATGCTGCCTATCAGGCTGAAGCTACCTCACAAAGCGCCTATTCTACTACTTATTAATATACCATGTCGTCTGAGCGCGTCTGCTTGCCGTACGGCCGCACAACGGAAATGATACTGGTCATGATCGAGTCCATCGCATTCAGACCAGAAGAGCAACTCCTGCCAAAGCTTGCTAACGCAGCGGCTCGGATCGCGACCACGTTCCTCATTCGTCCGAGATCGGCTTGTCCGATTCGATATCGGGAGTTGATTTGCTCGTGGCCTCACACACCGCTAAATTGATTGCATGCAGCCAAGACTTGAGGCAGGTATCCCAGACCCTGCAGCCGCAGAGCAGAACGTGACGGATTGACGATGTGATCGACAATAGCGATGTGACGGTTAGAATGAAGCCCACAGCTACAGCACGCCGCAACTCGCGGACAACGGAGGGGAACTGCCATATCGTCTTGATATTGATGGTATTGTACAAGTGGCGAATGACATCCGCTCGCCATCAGCCTCTCGCTGTTCTGCCCTGTTTCTCTCCTCGCAAGTCGCTCATAGTAGCGACGATCTATGTATGCCGCACCTTGTAGTCCTCGTCGGGTAGGTATAGGTGTCGGTCTGCCCCCTTCTTCGTCAAGACAACCATGCGGATCACACCTCCAGAGCTACCATCCCACTTGATCGCCTCTGAAAGAGCACCCTTGACGAAGTTGACGGCGTCTTCCTCCTCCATACCTTCCTTCCAGTGCGCATCACAGTATCCGTAGATGTAGGTCGAGCCAGAACCGCCGATCGAGTATGCTTGCTTGTGTAGAGACCCTCCGAGAGGGATCGCGTAGACCTGGCCACCGTGTCGCTCGTCCCAGCCAGCAATGATGAGTCCCGCGCTGTACCGTTTGCGTCAGTAGCTGCCCTGATATCAGTGGGCCGGAGCTGCATCCCTACCTCAGTCTGTCTTTGTTAGAGTAGCAGACCTCCTGGAAGATGGACGCAGCGGTTTGCGTCGTAGGCGGCTTGCCATTGCGCATCGCGAACATGCCCAGCTGGTACTGCACAATGTCCGCCACGGCTTGTGTATCAGCGGCCGAGCCGGAGCGACAGCACCAGATGGTGTCGTGTACCCGGGTCAGCTTGTCTGTCACTCGGTTCGCGATGTATGCTCCGGTTGTGGTTCGAGAGTCGGCGCCTGTGGGATCAAAGTAACGTGTCAGCTGTGTTTGAAAGACCCAGGCATACAGGTGGGATTTTGGCTGACGCACCGAGAATAACCCCGTCCTTGAAGGTTATGGCCATGCTATCACCTGGTCAGAGTTGGAGCTCGTGGTATCGTAGCTCCGGGATGCCAATCGGAGCTTACATGGAGGTACCCAGGCTGTGAGAAAGTCAGCATGATTGATCGCCCGGGTGCGCCTTTGGTACCTACTTCACTTCACCCTTCTTCAGTCGGTCCATGTCAACGTGGATGCCATCTACAGCAATCGCCTGTCAGCCTGGTCTGGCGTCGCGGAAGCTGCCTGTTCGAGCTCGGTGCTTCATACCTTCGTTCAAGACGCCTGCGTTGCCGAACTCCATATTGATTCGGGTGGGTGCGACTGGCAAGGTGATGATCACAGATAAACTCAAGGGCTCTGATTTTCCAGGTGATCAAGAGGGTCGTCGTTCGTGAATGGATCGATGTAGTTCGGGGTGATGCGGGATGGGGGCGAGGGAGCTTTGGTCGTTGGTACGGTAGCGATGGAGCTCAGGCAGCTCAAGGCAGCTCAGACGCGCAGGCTCGCCCAGCAGCACAGCAGCCCAGCACAGCAGCCTCGCCTTGCGCTTGGCGTGCCCCACATAAAGCACCTACGTCACGTGTCTCCCTGCCATCAGCCATCAGACTAAAGTATGTAGAGGGCCCCTCCATGCAGGCATGCATTGGAGAACTATATTTTGACCTGAATGTGAGTACTTACATCTCGATACTCTTGGGTAATCGGTGGCTTCATATCTACGGTCGAAACTTCAATAGTTCATAGATTCCGCAATACAGGCCTTCAGATTGCAAGCCGTCACTCCCTAAGCTTTGATACAACTTGCACTACTTATCTAACTGTGCTCTCGCAGTACGGGATACTGCAATACCAGAGAGCCTTGTCCCATGGACCATGACGTCTCGTATACCCAATCACACAGATTCGCTCCAAAAGGAAGCAATGGCTGTAGATGAAACAGGACCGGACCATACGTTCCACGGGACGCCATACGAAACGCATCTGTGTTGCTAACAGAGCACGAACCAGTGCGCCTCAGAACCTTGGGGTAATATAGACAGACACATGCCAATTTGTATACTGATAAGGGCTGGACCAAGGCAATAACTCCATTCGCCATGCTTCAAGATACACCGGGGTATCAACTATCAATCAACGGTTTGCTGGAACCCTGTCACTCATCAGTACGGTCTGAATCCAGGCAGCTCTGCTGACCTAAGTAAACTCACTCGTCCTTCTCGAGCTTCAACTCTCCGGCATCAACAGCAGCATCAGCATCGGTACCGGCACCGCCAGCAGCCCCCTTATTGTCCTCGTCTCCACAGCCGCAGTCATAGAAATCCCCCAGATTATTACAATCGAACAAAGGCTTCTCCAGCCTCTCGTTCACCTGGTTGTGTACATGGCACGCCCATCCTGCCGCTGCGTTTCGGGAGCTGGTCTGTGGTGGGAATTGGGCCAGTAGCTTTTGGAAGTGGCGGGCGCAGTCGCCACAGGGGTATAGTCGCGCGAACAGTTGGATGTACGTCTTGAGCGCGAGCGAGTCGTCATGAGTGGGCTTATCGGGGAATCGCGCCATCATGGTGTGAAAGAGTTTCCAGCTTGCGCGACCGAGTTCAGCTCTGCATTGAAGCCAAACGTCAGTGTGCGGTCCAAAGCTGGAAATAGCGGTGGGTTAGATACGCACTTAATTGTCGCATTCTCCAGCTTGGGGGCTATGGCTCCTCCTGTGAGGATATTGCTTGATTCGGACGCAAAGACGGCCGACTTTACATCGGCTACTGTCTCTGTTGATTCAACAACCACCGGGGGTTTTGGTGCTATCACATTCTCTTTGTTGTAATCACTCGAAGGGGGTTCCGGAACCACCACGGCTTCTTCTCCCAATTTGCTAGTCTCGGGTACACTCTGTGGTATTCGGTCTGGCCTGCTACCGAAAGAGTTGAATGATAGGATCACAAAACCGGCGACGGCCAGGATGACGATGATGGAAATATGTCGCGCCATGGTCGAGGGCGAGGAGCGAACGGCGCAAGAGGATTGATCCGTCGGCAAAGGGTTCGGGACAGCTTCGCATAAGCTATGGTGCAGAAGATAGTTTCGTCAGACTCCGAGGTCGTCAAAAAGCGGAAAGAGAGACAGTCGCGGAAGAGTGGCCAGCATGCTGTGTGGGTTGAGCAGCGTGGAGGCGCAGAGGCGACAACCCCGGCCGGGTCCAGACTTCTAACGGCCAGGGGTCCAAGTTCCAACAATGGCGCATGACGAGCCGAGGCGGGGACACTGGAAAGCCCCATCCACCTTATGTAAGCTGTGCGGTGTGCCACAATGGGGAGCCACATGTGACGCCAGACTCGCCCCAAGCCAACTCAACTTGAAGTGTATGATCACATTGAGGCGGTACTATCTTGTAGAATATCCATCATGTAATTAATGCCCGCAGTGCATCCTGGGGTCACCACCGACGGACAATCTTCATTGCCATTCAATGTGATGTCCGTCATTTTAGACGAGGCAGTCAACACCATCCACGGCCTGGGCGCAAGGGGCTGGCTACCCACTTCTCATGGCAGTCGGGCCACTCACTAGCTTGGGAATTGGTACACTTACGAGACATGTCACCAGCAAATACCTACCTACACACATACCTTGGGAAGAACTGTGTTACGCCCGCCTTGTTCACGTTTGAGCCGCAGGTACTCTCAAGAGATGAGCACCACCTGTAGGCATGGTCCAACGTGAAGTTTGCCAATTCGTTCGTGATTAACATCGCCGAATAAATGGTCAGGTAATGCACGACTTGGAGAGTGCCTACGTCATCAACTTCTTCATGGCCAACTTCTCCAGCACCTTGGAAAGACTGGCTGACGTTAGTCATATCCCATACAACCCCTTATTAACATAGACCGACATCGATCCAAAATATCGTCTTCTTAACCACCTCTTCACCTGCCGTCTGTCAGTTCTTCCGCCCAAGATACGCTGTTCAGTGACGTTCTTCCGAATACCACAAACATGCCAAACTCTCTCCAAATAGCTCTACGGAACAATAGCAGTTCTGACCAGCTGTATGCATACATCACTGGAATCGCCATACAGCATGGCGGCCAACGCTGTATGCTCAGGGCGGACGGCCAAAGCCTCTACTTCCCCCAGAACCCGCCCGGCATTGGCTCACCTCTGACCGAAGACTGTGCCATTCCCCTCGGGCCGCCTGGCAACACCGTCATGACCAAGATTCCACAGATTGCCGGCGGCCGGATATGGTTCGCTCGCGACGGCAAGCTCACATTCCTGCTCAACCCTGGTCCGGCCCTCGTCGAGCCGAGCGTGCTGAATCCCAGCGATCCCAACGCAGGCGTCGACTTCGGCTTTTGCGAGTTTACCCTCAACGACGCGCAGCTCTACGCCAACATCAGCTACGTCGACTTCGTGGCTAGCCTGCCTATCGCCATCACTCTGAAGACGGCCAATGGTCCAGAGCAGCACGTTGCCGGCATGGCGCCCGACGGTCTGGACCGTTTTGCAGCGAGGCTTTGCGAGCAGGCGCGCAGTGATGGCCGACCTTGGGACAAGCTTGTGGTCGAGCGCGACGGCAAGCCCCTGCGCGTCCTTAATGCAACGCATGGTAATGCGGTGGGCGCCAGTTTCGACGGGTACTACGAACCCTACGTCGACGAGGTGTGGGACCACTACTGCAAGAACCAGAAGGTGATCAAGATCAACACGCAGGCCGAGCCTGGCGTCCTCGACGGCAAGTTCACAGACAAGGGTGAAGTGCTGGTCGGCGATGAGAAGTTCGGCAAGCCTACCACCGCCGACATCCTCGGTTGCAATAGTGGTCCCTTCACCACGGGCCCTTCGGCAACGCGCAATGCCATTATCCCGCGTTTGGCCGCAGCTTTCGTCCGCACAGCTCTGCTCGAGGCGGATGACCATCCCTCGCACCCGCCGACTTTCTACCGGCGGGATCCTACGAACCACTATGCGCGTCTTGTACACGAGCACAACATTGATGGAAAGGGCTACGCTTTTGCTTACGATGACGTGCAGCCGGACGACGGCGACGATCAGTCCGGCAAGGTCAACGCTGGTGATCCGGTCCTCTTCACTGTGACAGTGGGTGGTTCTCAAAGCTAAATATCCGCTGGCCAATTCAGGATACAATGCTGGCGCTCGACACCTTGCTATATATGAAGCTGCAATGTGTGTGGACGGGATATTGGGCGCCCAAAGGGAGTGCGCCCAGAAGTGGCTGTTCTTGATGACACCTCTCAAAGGGGTGAAACTGCAATCTTTTGGCTTATCAGACGAGATAGCATAATATAAGGCAGTTAGTTCCATGAGGTTGCTTTTTCAGAGCGTTTCCACTGAAGCATTCTGCGTCGACCTATTCATCCTTGAATCCACTGATTTGCCGCCCGGATCAATCACGTCCAGATCGACGAGGCTGGCGATGACCTCGGCATCATCAAGGTGGTGCTCCAGCTCTATGATGAACAGGTGGCCTAGCAGCTTACCGACGGCGTAGCGGTCAACGGGCTTCCAGGGTCGCGATGCGTCACCGAAGACTGGCACTACGGCCGCTGCTGTTAGGCCTGGTGGGGTTATCGCGAGGTGCGTGCTGAAGGACTATACAGCTCGGGCCCCGGTGTTCGGCAAAGTACTGTACAAGATGCAAATGTACGAAGACTGTTTCAAGGGCAAGGTTGGCGTCTACAGGGAGGTATAATGCAAGTCTATCGGTCCCGGTTTTCTGGCACTGGTTACGGAAGAAGGGAAACCTATCGGCTTTCTCCTCGAGCTGATCGATGGCGACGAACCAAGCAAGAAAGACAAGGACATTTGCTTGGAAAAGGTTTGCGCATTTCACAAAACGGGCTATTGCCATGGGGATTTGAATCTGGAACAGTTCATCGTCAAGAACGGGCACTGCTAGCTCGTCGATTGCGAAATTGCGTCACTGTCGGGAGGTAAATCGGATATGGAAGATGAGGATAAGAAATTGGAAAGGATGTTTGATGAACTGGAGGATTAGCTTGAAGATTGTTACTTCATCTAGCTGACCTGCCGAATACAGTCTTCTAAAAAGCTACTCTGGGTGACGGTGGGGGAAGGAGCTTTCGTGTGGTCTTAGCGGAGGCGGGAGGGTACAGGGTTCACTGGAGCCATGATGGCGTTATGGTTAAGGGGGAAGAATCACAGGGTCCAGCCATAAGCCAAAGAAGTAGATTGTCATTTTCTCTAGGTTGTGGCAGAGCCAGGATTGATGAGTATATTGAGACCACCTCTCAATCTGCTGGGTTGGGAACCACGAACTCTGCTAGAAAGCCCAGCACTCCAACTCATGTATCTCCTTAACCACTGGGGTTATCGTTAAAGGCAAGTAGGTTAACGGTGCCGCTGGGAATGCTGGTGAGAGTCCCCGAGGTGGCAATCGAAGCAATGTAGCTGCAGAGGGCCTGCGGTGCGCGTTCACCCTCTAGGGCCAAGAGGTAAGCACCAAGGCCGGTAATGTGAGGGGAGGCCATGGAGGTGCCAGAGATGGTGTTCTGCCAAAGGTCAGTACGAGGTTCGCAAGTGCCAAGGATATTTGTAACGGGACACTTACGGTTCCACCATCGTTCCAAGTGGACAGGACGTTGGTGCCAGGGGCAAAGATGTCGACAACGCTGCCATAGTTGGAGTAGCTGGCACGAGCATCGGCAGAAGTCGTGGCACCGACAGTACAGACGGTCGGTTCACCGGCAGGCGACGTGCTGGCGGCATTGGTGTTGGCATTGCCAGCGGCGACAGCCAGGAAGACACCAGCGCTGATCATGGCCTGCGCAGCACTGTTGATAGCGGTAGAGGTGCTGCCCCCCAGCGACATGTTCGCGACAGCACCGTTGGGGCAGCTTCGGGTCTGCGAGTCCGAGGTGACGAAATTCATGCCCGCAACGACACCTGACGTGGTACCTGATCCGCTGGAATCGAGCACTTTCACTGCGAACAAGCTGGTCTTCTTGGCGACACCATAGGTCTTGGAACCCACGGTACCGGCGACGTGGGTGCCATGGCCATTGCCGTCTGTATCGGAGCTATCGGCGTAGTTGGCAAGGAAGGTAGCCCGGCCTTCGAACTCCTTGACTGCATATTAGCCCTGATATTATGAGTGGATCCGAGGGTAACCTACCGAATGGGCAGTGTAGATGCCGGTGTCAACGATGTAGGCGCAGGTTCCGGTGCCGGCGCTGTCATCGTATGTGTAGCCGCTGGTGCCCTCTCTGTGAGAGATGCGAGAAATGCCCCAGGTTGCATCACTCTGAGTCACGTAGGTGTTGATGCTCATGACAGCATCTTGTTCGATAAATTCGACCTGGGCCGTCCTAGGTCAGCAACCTTACAACGGTCATATGGGCACATCGCAGCTTACATCCGGATGATCCTGCAGAGCGGCAACGGTTTCTGAGCTCAAGGCTCCGGCGAAACCTTTGAAGCCGGGCACATTGTAGACATGGTCGGCATCGGCCGTAATGGTAGACATGGTGTCATCGAGAGCTTGGATGGCCGCGTTCTCGTAGAGCTTCACGATGTACTTACCCTCAACTAGAGTGGTGTCTTGGGGCACATGAAGGGGAGCAGGGGAAGGCCGCTTCGCAGGAGCGGCCAGTGCCAAAGGCACCAAGGACAAGATGGTCGTAACGCGCATGGTAGCGACTCAGGGTGGTATATTGGACTGGGCAGTATGGAGCAGATTCTTTGTGACCGTGCTGGGTGGTCTCATCCCTTTCAGCAGCCGTATAACTGGTATTTATATCGACTGTGACCAGATAGCTAGTATACATGTCAAGTCGAACTTACAAGATCCGAGCTGTCTTATCGACAGCCTGCTCGTCGATGGCTCCGAACCAAGGCCTTCCTCATGACCTCCATGCAGGAAGCCCCTAACGCCATCAACGGACAACGGTCACGCAAGCCACATGATGGTTGCCGTTGGTGGGATTCAGGGGGGATACATGTACGCCGAAGCGACCCAGCATGGGTCAGGAATGCATCAGCGACGGGTGCGGCGTACTGCAGTAGGGCTGCTCAAGTGGCCCAGAAGCTGCAACACAACCTCCGCGCCGAATTGCCCACAACGACGTACGATGCCTATCATGGGGTGGCATCCCGCCGTCGGCGCCAAGAGGTCGGTCTCGCGTAAAGAGTCTGGAGCCCTGGTCTCGTGGTGCGAAATATGTCGCCTTCCTGTTCGGGCATTCTTCCCCTCTTATCAATGCTTACTTGAGCTTGGGGCGCGTAACTTCGTAACAGTTGCTTTCAAGATTCTGCCGCAGCCGGGCATAGATGCTGGGTGCTGAGCTGTAGTCTTGCGTGTACGTCGAAAAAGCTACGGCTACCTCTCGCCATATAGAAAGAGGCCCTGGCCGCTGGACATATGAGATGAGACTTGTGAACTGTTACGACGAAGCTCGCCATTGTGGCCTGTATCTTTCTTGTCTGTCAAGCGAGCATATGCCTAGATATGCTTATCTCGTCCCCCACAGTCACAGCAGTGGCCGCAACTTTATCTCAAGCACAACAGTCGGGTTTTACCCCTGGCTAATGCCAAGTACCGTTACGGCCCCGCATACAGGGTACCACGGAACGAACTTGCATACCTACGCGCTCAAGTCCCGGAAGTCCTCATGCAGGTCAGCCATGCGGGCAGGCATGTGACAGTAGACAAGGGTGCGTCTAACGTGCAGACGGGGTCGCAAAAGTAGGGAAGCACATACCTATCTATGCAGACAGATGCAGGACCGGGTGCTTTGGGTCATCCAGTGCGGCCATTTTACGTGGGTAGTTCATGGATGGGGTTGAGCGCAAATCCCGACCCCAAAAAGTAATGTCCTAAGTCCGCCTGGGGTCCGAATGGTACGCAGTACCCGGCAACGTTGCTCCATTAAGGGGGGCGCGCGTTTGCACTTCCATTCTGATTTACAGCTTCTGCTCTGCATACAACGTCTTGTTGCATAGTGTATGCGATGCGTGAAGAGGGCTATCTCGAATCGACTCAGTTCTCAGCACTTGGGTAGTAGTATCCTCTGAATAGGAGTCGAGGGACTATAAGGTTTCAAGCGAAGGCTCAGACTGGACAAGCTGGCGTCGGCATCATTTACAAGGATTCCTTATAACTGACGACTTAAGCGCCATCCTGCCAGCTCAAGGTGTCAAAGTTGCAGTACACTTCATAGGAAGGTATGCATTGCGTGACATTGCGCGAGACCTGAAATGGCGCCGAAGAGGCCCGGGGACTCAGCTCGCCTTACAATCGCCTGCTACCTTCCCGAATGAGCCAACCAATCATCCCAAGCTTTCATGACTCCAGGAAGTTACGGGACTCCCTGCGCCCACCAGGGTCGTGGAATCACTGACTGCACTCCAATACTGCCTCTCAAGGGTCCAAGGCCTCGACCTGATACTCCGTCAGCCGTACATTTCGCCGGCTACCCGAAAGGATTCGACTTCAGTTCCGATTATGTGAGTTGCTACTGCAGATCGCCCAATCATATCAAACGGAACCACCTCTCGTATATTACCATGAACCCTGTCTTCAACGTCGTGAGAGGCTGCTGTGCTTCTACAGCGAGCCAGAGAGGTCCCCTTCACGGACAGAAGCTGGCCCATCAAACGTCAGCAAACTTGAAGCAGTGGGGGTCAGTTGTCAATGATGTCGCATATGGCAAGTACAGCGTCAGACTAGGGGTGACCGCTGTCCAATATCTCCCTCTTAACGACAGCTGCATTCTTGAGCATGAGTTTCCCGGCGATCTCAACCTGACAGGAACAAAATTCCCCAATCGACTATCGCATTTCCAAGAGCCCGCTGGAACTCAACAGCGCTGAGGGACACCCGATGTTGGCAAATGACGAGGTTCAGCCTAGCAGCTCCCCCTATGTGACGTGGTCTCCGTTGGGAGGTCCAATGGGTACGATCATCGTGTCTGACGCGGACCACCAACCCGTCTACATCAATCAACACATGGGAGCTGTGGACAAAGGGGGTTCGATGGATGTTCCTCAGCCAAGAGCGTAGACTAGCGCTCTGCATGTCTTCAATCGCATGCGCGACCACCTAGTGATACTTAGTGTTGGGAATTTGCCCGGTGTTGACCCCGAGGGCACTGTCCGTCCTTTGCTTTTGAGTGTTGTCAGTCTAACAAAATCGTTGGAACTACTGTAGCAGAGGGTAGTTGTCGGCCGTATGGCGCAATGGTCAAATGCGCCTGGCTGTGTTCTCGTTTGTGCGGTGGACGACGAGAACAAGTGGGTTCGAATCCTGCTACGGCCCCCTTCTGACCCGGCTTGTGCGAGTCGACAACCAGCACACGACATTGGAGAGGCCCCATTATCACAGAGCCCGATAGCCAAGCAGCTTGTCTCCATAACACCCACTCCTGTGAGGTTTTCCCCTTGTGGTTTTTCCCTCGCCAGCAGATAACAAACACCTGCTTCATCCACCAATGTTTCCCCTTGTGGTTTTTCCCTCGCCAGCAGATAACAAACACCTGCTTCATCCACCAATGCGACATATATCGAACGGCTACTAGAACGATGTGTACATCAGAGGACCGAGGTCCACTGGGTCGCTTTGTCACTAGACAGGAGGTTTTTTCTAACGGAATCGTGCTTAGGTATCGACTAAAACCATCTGGACACTCCAGCTTGGTACCGCTACAGCGAGAATGGGCTCGTGCGCGGATCTGAATGTATCTAGACTGACACCTCTACAACCTTGCGATGCAATGGCTCTGGGGGGCGTGGTTTGCCCTGTTGAGGGACTGCACCCACGATAAATAAAATCAATCAATCAATCAATCAGAGGGTAGTTGTCGGTTCGTCATACACAATACAGCGCTGACGGACTGGATAGGAACAACAAGACCGCAGCTAAGATTACGAGTGCTGTAGGGGTAAAAATAATGCTCAGCTTAGTAACAATGCAACACCATGAATCGACTACTTGCATGTGGATACTACAGAATTCAAGCATGGCTAACGAACGGGAGAAAGAAATAAGAAAAGAATTTTACAAACCAGAAAGATTATGGGTTCGATTCACCGTTTTGCATATGGAATGATCATTACTCGCATGTCACTCCATATACGTAGCAGTGGACTGCATCAACAGCTTTAGAGGCTCTAAGAAACACATTCAGGAAACAGTAGTTTGCTCCAGCTTCTCACCCCCTTGATATAAGCTCGAAACCGCATCTTCTCCAGAAAAGCACATGCCGAAGATCCTGTGAATGGTCAACGGCACAAGAGGGATGCGGTTCACGCCTTTGCCCACAGCCCCCTCTTGCCCTTTACAGCCACCAACCATGAAGTCGTGAGAATCAACAGGGCGCCGACGATGACGACGACCCCAGCCCAGACCTGACCCCACAGGTATTTCCCTCCACTGGCATCTATGATAGCTCCCAGAGCCGGGGAGCCTGCCAGTGTCCCGAGCCCAACCAACGCGTACGCCATACCAACCCAGCTACCCATCTTCGAGATATCGTTTACCAAACTGCTCGAGGCGCCCGGGAAAACACCTTGCGCAGCTCCGTTGGTGAAGCCCATCACGACACTGTACGCGTATAGACCCGCCCGCGTCTTAACGCCTATCCAGCCAAAGGCCGGAATGCCGAGACCGATAGAGTTGACGCTCCAAGAGTTCATGGCACCCACGTAACGGTCAGCTAGGAACCCGAAGATCGGACGGGCCAAGATCGCTACTGCGTTGGAGATGAGGACGAGGTTTATCGACTCGAGTTCGCTAAGGCTGAGACTTTCCCGACCGAAGGAGTTGATCTATCCAAAGATTGTGAGTAATTCTGCTGGGCACTATTATGAAGAAGGATATAACTTACGTAGATCATCATGCTGAAGGAGGCGCCGTAGATGAGAAGTTACCCGACAGAGAATCGCACGAACGGCGGGTGCTTGAAGGCACCCAGGTCGAGTATCGGAGCCTGCCTCTTCTCAATCTTACGAGGTCTCAGCAAGGAAAATCCCACTGCGCAGAGGGCAATCGTGATAAAGCCGTTCAATCTGACAGCCCAGGGGAAGCCGATCTTGGGGGTCAGATTCTGCGTGATGGATGCGTAGAGGATCGCTCCCGTGGACGCTCCGCAAGCATTGATCGCCATGGCCATGGTCCGCTTTCTCTTGAAGTAGGTGGCGACGGTGGCGGCGGCTGGCATGAACATCAAGCCGCCTCCTATTCCGTTGCAGAAGCCCTGGGAAAGAAGGATCTGCCAGTATTGCGTGGCCAGGCTGGTCGTGAACATGCCGAGCGTGACGAGGACGGATCCGACGGCGAATAGGAGCCTCGTGTGGCCGGCATCTGACAGGCATCTGACAGGCGACCGGAAATCACTCCCATAAGGAAGTACAAGAAGAGCTGCATTGAGCCGACCCATGACACCTGAGCGGTCGGTAGGTGTAGGTTTTGCTTGTAGTCTGGGAAAAGTTTTCGTCAGTAATCGCTCAATCCAGGGGAAGGAGATTATGAGAAGCCGGCGCCAAAGCGTCAATGACAAAGTTTGTGTGTCATAGACCTGGTCGCGAATAACAGCTTCTGAAATGGCCATGAATAGATGTAAAGAAATGCGATGTTCACATACAAAGCTGGAAGACGGCGTAGGATGTGCCATATGCCCATGATACAAGGAATGCAATGTGACCCACGATGACCTGAGACCAGGCTGTGAAGCCGCCATCCGGCGGATCGTCAAGAGAGGTTGGTGTGGCCGGTAAGGGTCGTACGGTGCCCTCAGCAGCGTGGATTCGCTCGGCATCGTCGATGATGAGCTGATTTGGGTTGGATGGGCCTTTCTCCATGTCTCCTATTGTGGAAGCCATGGTGACAGCAATTCCTAAGACCGAAGGGAGGCGTGGTAAAAGTAAGTAGAAGGATAAGGTATGAGAGTTTGGATGGTGAAATAAATGTGAGACGGCCCAAACACTTTTCGAGTAGTGTACGGCTTGCTTTTAACATGCAGCTGATTTTAAACACAATGGGATATCTATTAGATGACAGTGGAGGCTGCCATTGTAAGAAGACAATAAGAACACATTAATGAATGCAGGCACAACAAGAAGCCCCTGAATAGAACCCGCACTCCATTGTGGGACCACCAAGCAAAGCACAGAATTGTAGCAGCCGTCGCCCCTTTTGAAATGCATTCAGCGCAACATGGCGCGACACGTCTTCGGGGTCCAGTCCGTTTGGCTGAGTACGGCGTGGGTGGACATGGACTGACCCCTGTCCGTTATGCAGTTGGTAGCTACCTACATATCGCATGAGTGGCCTACAATGCGAGTCATCTGATGGCTATCCTCAGATACTTGTGCGAGTTTTGCAGTCTTTCGTGGGGGATACAGGTAGTCGTACTGAAAGCCATCGCTCTTACTCAGGGTGAAGACAACTTCTACCGCCGCATCTTTTGGAACTCTTCCACATTGCAACTCCTTTGACACGCAGGTACGTAAGGGAAAAAGTCTGCAACAAGGCGATGGTGATTGCAACTGTATGGGATAAAAGAGATTTTTCACGAACAATGATTTACACCTCTATGTAAACTGAAAAAAACAAGGACTATTCCCAACAGCGCAGCTACCTATTAGAAGTAGGTATGTCTATATAACCACCTACGAACACCATCTAGCCCCCCCCTCTTGATATTTCTCAGGATAATGATTAGCACCCATATTCTTTCACATTTCAGCTTCTGTCAAGCTAGGCAGTGCCCTCCTTTCGAACTTCTATTCACAAACGAGGTCACCAGCATTTACCGTTCGCCAGACCGTCGCCTACCATGGCTCCAAAAGGCTCAGCCAAGATAGCGAAGTACCTAGCCATGAACTACCACAACATCGAGCAACGAGCCGAAAGCAACCCAGGTGTAGTCGTGTACTCTGGCTTGTTGACTGGCGCGATCATCTTTGGCGCGATCGTTCTTGGGATTATGCTCCTATATCCGTCCACTTGGCAGGCTAATCATCGCAAGACACAGATTACGAAAGGCTAACAACGGCCACGATCTCGAACGGGGCTTAAACACTCAGTCGCCAGCGTCAGCAGGACTGCGCACCCCTGACTTTGGACCCTCGTTCGACTCACCCGCCGCTGGCAGACGTGCTCGTCCGTCGGAACACGCCGAAGAAGCTGCCTAGCCTGCCTCCATCCGCTAGAACGGGCGAAGTTGGTAAGATTTCTCGTGAGCATGATAGCGATTCGTCGGGCTCGCTCGAAGATGTCGACCTCAGTTAGGTACTGGCATGGATCTCCAGTTCCTGAGCTGACTTGGTTTTCATATGGCGTCAGAGCCAGGGCTTTCAACGTTGGTAAATAGAAGTACCAGTAATGCAAATTTTTGATCTTATGAATAATTTTAGCCTTGACCCAAAAAAATAACTGGATGGTGACACTAGAGTGGTTTCTTTCGTTTGTGTCGAATAGAGAAACGCAATCCTACTGTGAGCTGTCCTCTGCGTGCCCTCGTTAAGTCGCTTTCTGACACGGTAGCAAGGTCTACCCGAAGACGCCTGGTTCACCAGGTGCTCAGCGAGTAAGACTGCTTGCCCCGAGGTTCAGTATCTTGACGCTTTCATCCGCAAGAAGTGCTTCTGCGTCTGGGGACAAAATTCAATCTCCTCCTCGCAATTGCCGTCAAGTCCGTAGCCGAGGTCCATGACGTAAATGCAACTCTTCAGCTTCATGCCGCCACACTATGCCAAGTTCCACAGATTGGTGCCGAAGCAATTCCTGAGTCGTGGTGAAGCTAGTCTCGAAGCCAAAGGTGACATTCATCGGGCGCACTCCGGACTCGAGTTCTGACGTATCATGATTCGTGAAAGAAGAACATGGGCAATATCATCACGCCTTGGGCTAACTCCAGTCCTATCGGGGGGTATCATTGCGACTTGCCCGTCTGGGCACAGTCTTGGTACCAGAGACCGGAACCGGGGGTTGCTCCCGCCGGGGTAAGCTCCAATACCGTCCGGGAGGGAAGCTGAGGTGTCAGTTATCCTGGAGCCTCACCTGCGATACTGCTGCTTTGGGCAGTGGGCGCGCCGTGCCATGTCGACTAGCGCTCTGTCGCCAAGATGGTCGAGGATTACCGGGCTTTCAGGGGCAGATAGTCCTGACAATTCATAGCCATATAAGATGAGAGCAGGTCGCCGACCCCACTTGCGCAGAAGCGCTCATTGTCCCAGAGACTGCACGGAGTACAAGTTTTTGCAACTCGCTCAGTGACCACGAAGCCCTTGCCATGGTCCCCAGGTCCCTTGTCCTCGTAGGCCTCGTGCCGTTTGCCGCCGCCACTCCACTCAACCTGGCAGACCGACAGACGAGCTGCGACTCGGTGCACTTCTTCATCGCGCGCGGCTCGGGAAAACCGTACCAGTGTCGCCAAGGGGCCCTCGTGAACGCGACCTGTGTGGGCATCGCGAGCTGCGGCTCCGAGGACATCCAGTACCCGGCGGCCTTTTCGGACTACTGCAACTCGGTCTCCACCGGCATCAACAACGGCATCGCCCAGCTCACGGCGTACGCCACGTGGAGTGCCCTGACGCGCAACTGGTCTTGACCGGATATTCCCAGGTACGCACGTGATGCCACCGCGAAACGAGCAGGTAGCGCAGTGGTGGTTTAGGAAACTGTCAGCTAACACGTGGGCAGGGCGGCCACATCGTTGGCGACATCCTCGGCGGCGGCGGCGGTACCTTTCCGGGCCAAGGCTGCACGCAGCCGACGACGGAGCCGCTCTCACCCTCCACCTCACCAGGCAGCAAGAGTACGTGGCCATCCCAATTCACGCGGCCCTAATTTGTAGTGACTGACAGAAAGCTGCCTCAAGTCGTGGCCGCGACCTTCTTCGGCGACGTCCGCCACACGGCGAGCCAGGCCTACAACGTAGGCACCGGCGCTTCCGGTAGCGGAGTAAGTACCTGCAAGCCCCCTTCTCCCTTCGCGCGACGGACTTCCAACTCTCTAACGTCGGCGGGCAGATCTGGCCACGGGCGGGCTCCCAGTTGTCGCTGAACCAGTGGCCCCAGAAGCTGCATTCGTGGTGTCTATCAGGCGAACCCGTTCGCGCTGGCGGTTCCGACTACAATGCCCATGCTTCCTATTCCCAGATTTACACGGCAAAGGCTGCGGCTTGGGTCAAGACGAAGCTTGAATAGGCTCTGCTGGTCTTGAAATAAGCCGTCGCTGTTCCAGAGTAATGGATAGACTTCTAGGCCACATTTGAAATACCTCGATTTCGATCGAGGCACTTGGCTTCACATTAACAGTGACACACTTCGTCAGTTGGCTGGGCAGCCTCCGATATAATCATATAGGTCCATACTACTATGAGGACAGACAGTTAGCAACAAGGTGATAAAACGATCGCGAAATGCGGTGAATTCAAGCCAAAGCGCCTGAGGCTTGGTCGATACGGGATATCACAATGTAAATCGAAAAAAGACCACCCATCTGCTAGAGACGCGAATCGCAAACAAAGCAATCAAAACAAACAAACATGCGCACACCGGGAACTCAGACCGCTCATTATACCCACCCCTTCTGTGGCGCAAACTCGAAACACAAACCAATATGGGCAAAGAAGATGTTAAGTCGGGCTTATGGGTCGGCCGGACTGCTCCCATTCGGTCCATTCGACGGGTTACTCCCAACCGCAGACTTCCTCCTCTCTCTGATGCGTCGTGGTTCCTCAAGAAGGTCCACTAAGCGCTCTCGCTTACTCTGCCGGCCGGCATCGCCACCTTGTTCCATATCCTCGAGATCGCTGACGTCGTCCGAACTGAAGGAGCTGGCACTGGGGCTGCGGTTCGCGACCATGTGAACGGTACGGCCCTCCTTCTTCTTCGCCTTCTGCTGGGCTGCCTTGAGTTTTTCATCTTCCGGGTCATCACAGGCTAGTGTTACGACGCCCAGACCAGGAAAGTTGCGCTCTAGTAGCGCACGCAAATCGGGCAGCACAGATTTGTCGGGGCGATAGGTACCACTGTCATTGTCGATGATCAGTTGATAGTATTCCGGCTTCGTGGGCGGGGGTTCCTTGGGCGGCCCTCCCTCGATCGGTTGATCAGGATGGGTGGGTAGATCCGGTTCAGGATCCCCAGAAGCCTCGGGCTTCTTGAGCCTCCGGATGAAAAATTCGCCTGCGCAGGCAACGTAGATGTTGGCATCGCTGTGCATAGTGTGTTTGCTGAGCAGGTCGATCCCAAATTCCTTGCCGGTCTCTGTAAACCGCATGAGGCCATCCAGCGTGATCACATAGGTGAAAATACGTCCGCCTTCATCAAAGTGCGCCATCTTCAAGAAATGGATACTCGCCTCTTCGGAGCATGGCTTGACGGTGCCCCATTCAGTCGAACTATCAAAGTTGTACACTCGGCGGTGTTGGTGGTGCAGAGCCTTGTTCAGGAGACGGCCACGGAAGCCAGCATCCCTGAAAAGGAGACCGACTAAGTAAATATCGGAGTAAGCATGATGTATATGATGGGTATGGCACGGAAAGTACTGGTTGTGGGAGCGCAACGCTGAGCATGGCCCGATTGGACGGTCTCGACCCGCAAGACGAGCTGGAAAGGGTGGATAGACTATTGATCACTTACTGATAGGTTTGAACTCAACATATCTATGGTAGAGCTTGGGTGGCACCGGACCACACAGTTGGATCTCGTTGGCTTGAAAGTCGTACTTCTGGGTCCTGTTATTCGCCTGCGAGTCATGGTTATTGGAGGAAGGCCTAGATTGATGTTCATTGGAGTCCTCTGCCTCTTCTCGGTTGACTCGCACGCCGGTCATACGACCAATCATTGGAGAGTAGTGTTTAAAGTAATAAGAAGGGCCAACGGTATACATTTGCCCGTGAGGCGGGTCGGATTTCCCGACGACCTGGGCACTCATGTATAACCGTGGAGTCATTGAAACATCTCGACTCCAGGCACTGGTGCATGCCTTGAGCAAGTATGCGCGCTTACTCCCCACGCGTTTCTTGACCTCGAATTCATTGTGAGGAGGGGCAAAGCCCTCCCAGTCCTCGGAGACTTGGTGGACGAGGACAGTCACATTTCCTAGCCTGTCATCGGAATCAGGCGAATCCTCGTCGTAGAGACGACACTTGATCCTGAACCCGGATGATGGAACGTTGGCAACAAGCCATTCCTCCTCCCAGTGGGGTTCCAAGGATCTCTTGATGGTACGCGTCCGGTAGACGAGGTCCGGATCTTCTTTGTGACGCTTTGGCATGGAGGTTGCGAGAGTGGCAGTGAGAAAAGGATCCGAGGCCCCCTTGCCGAAGTCGGCGACGGGCAAGTTCTCGGCGCGGTGAAAGGTGAACTTGACAGTGTATCCGGGTGGCGCATCGGGAATGGGTGTCGAATCATAGCCCCCCGAGGGCTTGGCCTTAGCCTTGGTTTTGATCTTTTGTTTCCGATCCTTGAACTTGTCCTTCAAAGTGCTGCTACGGTGCGGCTGTGACGAATCCTTTTCATCCGCGGAATGTGCGCCATCTGCGCCGTCTGCGCCGTCAGAGCGGGCATCCTTCCCGACGTCGTCGGGAGGCGGGTGATCATCGGACACCTGTTCAACGTTCTTCTCATCGTTGACCCCGTTGACCCCGTTGACCCCGTTGCTGGGTAGGCCATGGGCCATGTGGGGAACATGGGGATGATGCGCTGTGCGCGCCGAGTCATTGCTGGGTTCGGACTCGGACATTGTGACTGTGTGAGACGCGGGCGATGCCAGACGCGGCATCTACGGCGGACGACGGGGCCCTATAGGTAGGTGTCTTGAGCCGGCGACGATGATGGAATGCCAAGAGCCAAGAGCCAAGAGCCAAGACGGGCGATTCGGGAGACAGAGTCACCGGCGGCAAGGCGGGCGCAACGGCTGGCTGGTTGGAGCTGTCCCTGGCAGCGGGGAACTGGGCTGAACAGTCCTGACAGTGAACGGTAAACGGTAATCGGTAATCGGTAAACGCAGGTGACAGATGACAGATGACAGATGACAGTACGGCAGGTTGAGCCGGGCGGGGACTGGACCTCGACTCGACTCGACTCGACTGGACCGGACTGCGACTATGGCTACAATGTACTTCTGTTGGGTCAATTAGAGGCCATTCAGCGTCCAGAGTTGCAGATGCAAAGTGGTCCCGATGACGGCGAATCGCGCGATTGGAGTGCGAGATGATGGAACAGCTGGGAAGGAGAAACGCGAGAGCGAGAGACTCGACGGGGAGGCTGGGAGGGAATGTCAACCTCGGAGCGGGCTGTGCAGGTGCAGGTGCAGGTGCGGGTGCTGGCTGGCCTAGGCTTGCAGGCTGGTAACAATATAAATAAGCCTTTCCGCATTCTCTAGCACGCATTTCAAGCTTTCGATAATGTTTCGATAAATGTTACTATCAACGGCAGCCGGCACTGGCACATGGAAGCCGGCAACCAAAACCTGTTGTTCATCATGATCAGCAATCTCAGTGGTTGGTGGTATGGATATGGATCTGATCACACATCCATGCTTGCCTCGTGCCTTTCCCAGTCGAGCCAGTCTCGTGCCAGTCCTCTTGTCTCCTCTGGTCGGCTGACGGCAACCAGAGGCTCAAAAGGGAGTGGGGATGGGATTCATCATTCAGCTTGGTGCCGCCTAGCCGGGCAGCCGGGTAGCCGACGCCAGCACCTGCCAACTTCCACCTGCCACCTGCGCGGTATCTGACTGCTGCCAGACGTCGGCATCCCCTCAATGGGACTCCGGGCCATGCCGAAACCCGACGTGGACTGTGCACCTGGGGGAAGTCCATACTGGGCCACATTACCTTAGATAACGTCCTTATCGGACAAGATAAGAGGCTCTGACTACCCGTACCGTCTGGTATCATAGAGTCCATCATGAAGCTTACCTCTCATACATCCATACTGCCCGACTGTGGTACGATGCTCTCGGCATAACCCACCGGTTTCTCTCTCGATGGAAGTATTCGTGTACTTATTTCCAGTTAGGAAGACGTCTCCTTACGCCCTTGCAATACCAGCAGCACACAAACGTCTTGTCACTGAGCTGACTTATTAACCCGAATGACGATGACTTCCCGCATCTCCCCAGTCCTCTTCCTCGATGGCGGGCTTGGCACCTCTCTCGAAGACAAATATCGTCTTGACTTTAGCAAAGACACTCCGCTGTGGTCTTCTCACCTACTGGTCACCGATCCAGAGACGCTGCGGTCGTGTCAGAGGGACTTTGGTCAAGTGCCGGTCGACATACTGCTCACTGCCACATACCAGATATCCGTCGAGGCCTTCGCGCGCACCGAAACTCCAACCCACCCAAACGGTATTCGTCGGTCCGACATCCCGTCATTCCTCGACCTCGCCGTTTCCATTGCCGGTCGTGTAAAGGCACCTTCGGCCAGCATCGCCTTGAGTCTCGGACCGTACGGAGCCACCATGATCCCTAGTCAGGAGTACAGCGGGCGATACGATGTTGAGCATGACTCGGTCGAGCGACTAGTCGAATGGCATTGCGATCGGCTGGGCTTGTTTGCCGAAGTCGAGCAAATCTGTGCGCGGGTAGACTTCTTGGCATTCGAAACCGTCCCCAGACTAGACGAAATCAGGGCTATCCGAAAGCTTTTCGCACGCCGTCCATCGTCTCCTGAACTAGCAGATAACGCCGGCTCACTGGGAAATATGCCATACTGGATATCTTGCGTGTTCCCTGGAGATGACTATACTCTCCCGGATGGCAGCAGTGTCGATCAAGTGATTGGGGCTCTTCTTGATTCGGAGAACGCGGATCATCTTCCGTGGGGCATCGGCATCAACTGCACCAGAATTGCCAAGATACCCCAGTTGGTTCGAATGTACGAAAGTGCCGTGTGCAAACTAGCAAGCGCTGGTCAAATCAAGGCTTGGCCGAGCTTGGTGCTGTACCCGGACGGGACGAACGGCGAGGTTTACGACACAGTCACGAAAGCGTGGCAGGCTCCAGATCGCTCTGCCGTTGCTGAGGTAAGTATATCAGATCCAATCTGGTTTCCGACAGATGTAGGTATTGCAAGCTTCTCTGCTGAACCCGTATGCAGTGTTCATGGGAGCATCAACTCGCTGAGGTCGTCGTTAGCGCACGGGGCCGTGGTAGTTGGCACACCGTTGTGGTAGGTGGGTGTTGCAAGGCGACTCATAGCGACATCAGCAGACTCTGTACTGCCATTCTGCAGTCCTCGTGAGTATTTAGCATGTTAATTCCAACGACTTCTTTGGGAATTTCTCTTATCATCCTCTTGGTGTTAGGAGTACTTTAGGGGCGACACGTTATCCCGGAGCTTGTGCCTTGCAGCACCAAGTTCTATGCACATCAAGTTACCCCAAGCAACCCTCCTGTTGCATTCAGCCTCGGGCATACTGCCACGAGCCATATGCAGGTCGGCCTGTATAACAACGGCATGTTCGTAACCCTCAGCCGAGTACGACTAGCCAATCCTCAGTGCGTCAACCGCATGGCAGCATGCGAGATCAGCACGAGACTGGAAAACCACATCTGTGAAATTCGTGTGAATATCAACGTGGTCGACCAGGCAGCCGGACCGGCGAAACAAACCTGACTATTCAACCGCTAGCGTACAGCCTCGTATCGGCCGTCCCGTACCCGTGGACTCGCACAGCGCCGTTGCGGAGCACACTGGTTAGGTACTCCACACCATCCCACCATACGAGGCCCCGAGGCCTTCTCGTGAAGACTTTTCTCTGGCTTCTGGATGAGGTGGCCCATTTGTCCCTCTACCGTACATACGTCACGTCACCAGCAAGACAGAAGAGCTCTTTCCCCTATCCCGTTCGGAGTATCTTTACAGGTGAGCGAGGTTTGAGGCAGGGTTATGTTGGCGGAGCATCGTGTTTGCAAAAACAAAGGACGAATATGGTACATATGCAAGACCTTCTCGATACGGTGTGCTGCTAAGTGCTGCTCACTGCCCACCCGTACCAGTCGAGCACAGTCGACAGCAACATCTGCAGTATTCGAAGGGGGGTGGGCGTCTGCAGCCAAGGGTCTGCCTGGCAGCCTGGCGGGCTCGAGCCGCAAGCTGAAGCCGTTCCCACACGATAAAATTACACGATCGGATGAAAATCACCAACAGTTCAGAGCACGAGTTGCCAAACTGGGCATCGTCGGTCTCCTGAACCGAGCTCTTCCTTGTTCCCCTGACTAGTACCTGGATCCACTTCGTCACCACACACGAGAAGAAGTCTGACCGTGGGTCCGTGGCTCTGTGGCATCCTCTTGCTTGTCCAGATTCGGAAGATCAAGCCGAGCTTATTATGTTGGGTCTCTCGGTCTCGTCTCTCGCGCGGGTCGACGCCGAACTCGTCACCCCTGTCCGGACGATGGCGGGGCTGCCCAGAAACCAGCATTGGGCCGATCATCGCGCCTGAGCCCACGTCGATGGAGATACCGGTACGGGGGATCTTGTGTCGCACGGCTCCCCGGTTCTCTTATAATAATATCGGGATTGCCAGTCTTCTTTGTTTCTTTCTCTCACCATCCTCAGCCAACCACTCTCGCTTCACCCTCGTCACTCGCTATCCGAAGGGTTACTGTCGATCGCTCCTACTTATCTCAACTTCAGTCACTCACTTCTGGTAGAGAATAATTCACGAAGATGGTCCTTCTAATCAAGTACGCTCGCGCCAGTGCCCTGCTGATGGCTGCTGTAAGCGCCACTCCACAACACCCGACATACCCCGAGGAAGACAAGAGCTCCTCCTACGCCGTTACCTCCTACCCGGCTGTGACGGAGAGCTCCTCGACCTACTCGACCACCACCTCGACCAGCACTGAGGAGGAGTGTGAGTGCACTGATGAGGAGACGTACCCAGCCACCAGTGTTTACCCTTCTATCAGCACTTCGGCCTCTGTGTATCCCATCACGTCGAGCTATCCCGTCAGCTCTACCAGCTCCGAGGAGGACGACTGCCCCCCTGAGGAGACTGAGTCCTACCCTGCCACCTACCCTGCCACCTCGGTCTACCCGACTGTGAGCGAGAGCTCATCAGCCGCCTACCCCACGGTGCCATCGCCTGGCAACGGAACTACAGGAGTCTACCCTACTGTCTCTGCAAGCTCGCCTGCCTACCCAACGAGCTCTGATGAGTACAGTGCCACTCAGCCGCCTTACCCCTCGGGCAACACTACTACAGCTGTCTCCCCTACCACCACTAAGGGTGACGAGTACCCAACCGGTTACACCACCTCCAGCGTGACTAGCACCATTGTGTCAACGATTACCTCTTGCGCACCGGAAGTGACGGACTGCCCCGGAAACCCTGAGCAACCGTACGTTACCACTGTGATCACGGAATACCTCACCACCTGCCCAGTTTCCGAAGTGAACCCTACCACCACCCAGGGTGGCCAGTACCCGACTGGTTACACCACCTCCAGTGTAACTAGCACCATCGTCTCGACCATCACTTCTTGCGCTCCGGAAGTGACGGCCTGCCCCGGAAACCCTGAGCAGCCGTACGTTACCACTGTGACCACGGAATACGTGACGACTTGCCCCGTTTCCGAAGTGACCCCGACCACCACTGCGGGCGGCGAGTACCCAACCACCACTGAGGTCGGCCAGTACCCAACTACCACTCAGGGAGGCGAGTACCCGACTGGCTACACCACCTCCAGTGTGACCAGCACCATCGTCTCGACCATCACGTCTTGCGCCCCAGAGGTGACAGACTGCCCCGGCAAACCCGAACAGCCGTATGTTACCACTGTGACCACGGAATACGTGACCACCTGCCCAATTTCTGAAGTCTCCACCAAGGTCTACCCGAGCGCGACCGGAGGTGTCGAATATCCCACCACCACGGAGGGAGGTGAATACCCGACCACGACTGAGGGCGGCGAGTACCCTACCACCACTGAGACAGGTGAATCCCCAACGACCACCTCGGAAGTTTACCCCACCACCGCGGCCACCTCGCCTTCGGTCTCGGACACTGTCGTCACTCTCCCCACCGAGACTATCCCCACTGAGTCAGCGTCCGTCACTTACCCTGTGACTGTCCCGTCGTCCTCAGGTACCGTCGCTACTCTTCCCACCGAGTCGGCGCCCGCCACCTACCCCGTAACTGTCCCCTCAGTCTCAGGCACCGTCGCTACCCTCCCCACTGAGTCGGGCCCCGTCTCTTACCCGGCGTCCAGCCCCTCTGCGTCGGGGACAGTCATCACTGTTCCCACCCTGTCGACCTCTGCCTACCCGACGACTGCTGAGTCCTCGGCCGCAGCCGCCACTTCGTCGGCCCCCGCCACCACCAGCGTCGTCACTGCCGGTGCTGCCGTCGTTGGCCGATCAGGTGCTACTGGAGCCCTTGCGCTCTTCGGCACTTTCCTCCTGGCTCTGTACTAAATGCTAGAACAGCCATGATGGGAGACGGCCTGGGTATCAGTCTGGGTTTCACGTGAACATGCCAAAGAAGGATTGGGGAAATGGACTTCGGGTCAAGGTGATCGGTCTACATGTACATGGAACCTTATTCTGCGATCTGGGGTGGAGATATTCGGATCTCATGCCCCTGCGCACCTTTTAATGTGTCAGTTGTTAATATAAACACATAAACTAGTCGCTCCTTACATTCTAGTACCCTATACTCCTCCATCATGAGCGGTGTACTGATGGGTATAGCCTAAAGATATCAGCTCTTCATACATCCCAATTATGGAGTATCTAGACCTACAACGTCGTTTACATCAGATCGGTGTGATAGTACACAGAACCGTCTGTCCATCTCCACGGAGGTAGCTTGCTCGTGCAGATCCGGAGCAGCCCAAGCGAACAGGTAGGTGAGAGGATATCCAATCGGTATTCGCGGGACCTGACGCTACAATCAGTGAAGTTACATCTGCCAGCTTAGGGCGGTAACGACGGGCTGATTTGAGAAAAAATGTATGTCTTACACGGGTCCCAAGATGGTAAACTTGAGTGTCAGCTGGTGGCTGGTGGCTGGTGGCTGGTGTAGACTTCCTGTAGTTGTGCCATCCAAGAAGCTGGCTTTGGGTAACCAGGATATATGGTAGCATCTGGCAAGCCTATTGACCTCGCTCCGTTCCAATGCGGGCTTAATAAGTGGGCTTTGACGGACTGGCGGATGGCTCGTCTATACCTTGACATGAGCAAAAATAACCACTGATGATATGTTCATCGAGCTGCTAAGAAAGCTCGTTCGGAGCCGGTGTGACATTCTCAAGCGACGTCTTCGATGGAAAATTGCTTGTTCAGGTCAAAGGCTTTGAGCCCGGGGGTTCTGGGTGGTGAAGTCAAGGGATGTAAGGTTTCATACGGGACTGACAAGAGTGAAGTTCGTCAATAAATATCGAGTGAATAGTGGTGTACGTTTGCAGCTAAGGAGTACAGAAGGCGGGAGCAAACCCAAAAGTTACCCCTGGTAATCGCGCATCGAGGGTGCCTTGACCGGCACATAGGGCGAATGGATGAAAAGGCTTACTTCTTCCAGAGTGAGGCGGGAATCATCCGATAGATACAAGATGCAAGGATGTGATCATGATCATCGGCTGTTCCTGGACCAGATCTCGCGATGCTTACTCAACCATAAAGGGTATCACTTGAGCCAATGAAGGGCCGCCATTGGAAAGACCAATGCTCCAAGGAGTATCGTAAGAAAACCAGGAGGAACAACAGAATAGAGATGTACCTGACCCCGAGTATGTCATCGGTGGCCTGTACGACGTTGTCAGGATTCGCTGTGCCATTTGGGGCCACCATCTATGTATAGACGTATAGCTGAACCCAAGCAAGGGGAGCAATATCGAGATGTCTGGTGTATTTATACAGGCAGAGACCAAAGGTCCTGCTGTTACTCTGGTAGGTGCTAAGGTCGATCCCAGGATGGCCAATGCTGGGCTGGGGTGGGGGAAGGGGGGGGGGGGGGGGGGGGGGCTATTTGGAATACATTACCTCCCTCGGTCCGCGTGACCCGTTACCACTGGCTGAGCAGCCAGGAGACGACCAGGAGACGGAAGATCTATGCAGGTTCCACGGCTTGTATGCCAGGTACCCGACTCGTCTACACAGGGGACCAGAGCACAGCCCAGAGCAGCCGCGTCCAGGTGCCGGCACCAAGCTGTGGCAATGCAAGGCAAAGCTTAATTTGACATCTGAACCCCGGACAAGAGCCGCATACCTAAAGAGGTTGTTGAATCGATTCTGATTGGATCGCGAACTGGGCGTTTAGTCGTCCCTAGTGACGGATCCGGCCCCGGATCCGTGGGCCAGAATGGCAGGACTCGTGGTTCAAGCCACCACGACCAGTCGACTACAACCGCCGGTCGAAGGGCAGGTGTTGAGGCTGGTCATCGGAGTGCGTGAGGCGTCTTTCGGGGTCTTACGTCAAAGCCGACCGTGATCTAGTAGCCGTGGCCCAGGGAGGCGGATAGCGGGAAGTGAGACTTGAGTCTCGACGGAACCGCGAAACCGCGAAACAGCGAACGCTCGGCTCGGTACCCGACGGAGGTAGACAGGCGGATGCAGCCACTGCTTCTGGTCCCTGGATGACGGAGCTGCCGGGTTGTGATGTCACCCTTCTACCCTCTCCTTCAAAGTATTGTATGGAGCATACCTTGGCTTTAACAATCTCTAACAAGCTTGCGCCGTGCTGTACGAAGCCAACTTTACATGCCACGGAGCTAGCCGGGTTTTCACCCGGGTTTTCACAGCTTTGCCCGAAGGTCCGAGACAACTTTGAAAGAGCGGAGTCGCCATGGGACACACCGCTGAATAATAACTGGATACCTACCTACCTACATGTCACACACACGCCTGCATGCAGTGAGACGACACCGGACAGCCAATAAGTCCACAGTTAATTAAGTAATCAAGACAGAGTGACATAGTGACAAGTGACAGGCGCCTGCGAATGAATGTTTCCAACCGCCCCAAGCCGCGAATAATGTGATGATTGAAGGTACCAACTCCCCCGAGCGATGCGGGCGAGGGAAGGAAGGCGCGGGAACATGCCACCAGCGGGTGAGGTGAGTCAACGGAGAGGCAAGGGCTGCCTAGCCCCATCCACGCCTGAAGGTGTTGATTTATTGGTAAGCGCGAGATGAGGCCAGGAGAGAAGGCGTGTGATCGTGTGATTAACTGATTAACTGGAGCCCATCATCACCGTACCTTAAGTTATTATTACTCTGGGAGGAGTCCATGTCCACCTGGCATGTCCATGTCCATGTCCAGAACCTAGAGGTCAATCCCAGGTCCTGCCTCGGATTCTCCGGAATCTCACATCATACAATTTCCTACAATTTCGCATCCCACTCCGCCGCAACCCTTCCCGTCCGGTCCTCGGTCCTTGCATCAATCAAATGCCAGCGAAGACTGACGACTTGGGAAGCACCGACCTCGCCAAATCAAACGCGACAAAGTTCTGACTGACCGACCACTGACTGACCTTTCCGCCTTTCCGTCTTCTTCCAGCCATTGGACCTTTCTAGAAGAGAGTGAACTTCCCCTACCACCTACCGCCTACCACCTACCACCTACCAGTCTGCTCGTGACAAACAATACCAAGGTCCCGTCAGCAGGCACAGGGCAGCACCCGTACCAGTACCAGTACCCGTTCGTCAACCGCACATAATCACATCGTCCAACAGTCGTCGCGAGCAGCCACCACATACATCCGAACATCAGTCCCTCCATAGTCATTCAGCCCTTCATCCATCCATCCTTCCAGCCCACGGCACGTCTCACATCTCCAGATCTCCAGACCTACAGATCACAACGTTACCCATCACACACCTGACCAGGTAACACAACCACTCAATGGCTGCAGCCGTGTCCCACCCCCCAAACACACACGCCACTGTCGCTCCTGCTATCGACACCGGCACCGGCACCTGCACCGGGAACTCCGCCCTGCCTGGCCACCATGACAGCAGCGACAGCTCGCGTACCAGCGACGCCAGTGTTGAAAAGGTACCGGTGCAGCTGAGCTCGCCCCCTCTCCAGAGCTCAAGTCTGTCGGCCAAGTCCAGCAAACGCGACCATGGCCGTCAGGAGGTGGACCGTTCTGTGTCACCCAAACGGTGGAAGACCTTCATCAAGGCCTTCAAGCACATCCATGACCTCACGCCCAAGGAAGTCGACGACTACATGGCGTCGTACGAGATCTACAATCTGGACTGGGCAGACCAGGATGAGATGATAGCCGCCTTCGGTCCCAACTACCAGCAACGGGTCGGTGATAGCCTCAAGGCTTACTACTCAGTCATCAACCACCTCTGCAGTCTCGGCGATGTGGAGAAGATGTACATCCCGCCCCTGATGGACAAAAAGGCGTCGGTGCTTGACAACCAGCTGCTCAACGAGGAGTCCATTGCCGCCGAGGTCGGCTTGAAGCCGGGCATGAAGGTTCTGGATCTCGGGTGCGGACGCGGCCGAGTCGCCGCGCACATGACGAGCTTCAGCGGTGTTGAAGTCACTGGTCTCAACATCGACGAGAACCAAGTAGCTCAGGCCAGAGAATTCAACCAGGAGTGCGGGTTCCGCAACGAATTCGTAGTGCACGATCAAAACGATCTGCCGCTGCCGTTCGCCGACGCATCCTTCGATGCATTCTACGAGATCCAGGCACTCAGTCTCTGCAAAGACCCATCCGCGCTCTTCAAGGAGATTTACCGGGTGCTCAAGCCTGGCGCCAAATTCCTCTTGCTAGACTGGGTCAGCTTGCCGGCCTATAACCCCGACGACCCAAAGCACGCCGGCCTGATGCGCCGCGTCAAGCCTCTAATCGGCGCTGTGGGGACCCCGACACCGGCGAGCTTCGAGAAGGCTCTTGTCGATGCCGGCTTTGCTGTCACACGATCCGACATTCCCAGCATCGATGGACTGCAGGCGCCACTCATTGACAAGGTCGACATCTACTTCCGATCCATAAGGCGGCTCATACATGGACTGGTCAAAGTGCGCGCGCTGCCACTGCACTTCAAGACTCTGTTCGACCGGCTGTGCCTAGACGGCCAAGCCTTTGTGGAAATGGACAACATGCGGCTGATCACCACCACGTACCGCTTCGTCGCCGAAAAGCCAACACCAACAGCATGAACGTCCCAACCCGGGTTTCAGTAGGGAGTGAAGAGCGGCGCTTGGATTTAATCAACTATCCTCCGTTGGCTAACAAGCAGCCTTCCGCATTGCTTGCCAGCACTTAGACACTTGAGCATTTGACCAGCATGGTTACGGCATTCCGCATTTATAGGCACATGCCAAAACCCAAACAACGGCGTGGAGTATCCAGACTCACCCACCGAGGGGTACGGCGCCCGACGGCTTGATGATGGGGCGGCAAATCTACAGCGCAGTACAGCGTGGTGCAGGTATCACACAACATGTACATTCATCGCGCCCGCTTCACATCGCCTTTAATCATAATATGGTATCTATGAATACACTACCTTCACTCATGCTCCTTGTGTGGGCCCGATGCATCACGAATGAATTGACCGCTGCTTTCTATGAGTAATGCAGGTATATGTCAAAGCTATAGTTCTTGAATGGCGCGTTTCGAGCTTCAGGTCGATGAAATGTCACGGCCCCGTTTTGGTGGCCATGCGGCAGAGGTCAACTCGCGCAGAGAATCTAAGTGATCCCATTTCCATGCTTTCCTCGACGCGCAGGATCCCTTGTATTGATATTCCCAAAACTCTTGCCAGTGCGCGCAGTCGCACGTTTGCAGGGCGGTCCTTTGTTGTGGACGTCGACTCGGAATGCATGAGACAAAGGCACCGAGACCGCCACCATCAAGAATCAGTCGCATGGGCGCCACATCTGAAATGAGAAATTCTTGCCATGTCTTTGGAAGCTGACTTCGATACTGATCTATGCATGTTTAGGTCTGTAAGTTCGAGGCAAGATGGCGTCCAGACGAGGTACACCAGCCATGTCCGGCCTTGAACGCCTGTTGGACGCCGAGGGCGCGCCGTCAACCAGATCGACGACACGACGGAATACACCTGTCGGGCCCGGAATTGAGCACTTAATTGATGCGTATGAGACATCATCAAGCAGGTTTGTGTCCAGGCGAGGGACGCCGACGATGGCCGGGATTGGGCAGCAATCTGAGGCGGGCAACATGCCATCGAGCAGACTCGGCTCGAGACGAGGCACGCCTGCTTTGTCGGGGATCGAAGGCCTGTTCGGCACCGACGAGGCTTCGTCGAGCCGCATGACAACGCGGCGGAATACGCCCGCCATGTCTGGGCTTGAGCGCGTATACAACGAGGACCCGAAAGCGGCGAGCAGGGTTGTGTCGCGGCGCGGGACGCCTGCTATGTCCGGACTTGGGGAGCTGTTCGACACCGAGGAGGCATCGTCGGAAAGCGATACGAGCGACGACGAACAAGGAGGAGCTGCGTTGAAGCACTGGGCCAACTCATTCCACATCACGCCGGTTCCCGAGCCCGATGATGTTCGCGCAGAGGCTACAGCAGCAAAGGACAAGGACCCAGGGAAGGAGATTCGCAACGCACCGACGGCGAGGCGCAATCAAGGTGTGATGGCTTGGAGGATCCTGCCGGGCTCCCAAGATGTCATTGATTGGATCATGGGCCGAGGCCTGAAACCAGCAAGAGAGCCCCCAGCCCCAGAGCGACAGGAGCGCGTAAGCCCAGCCAGAGAGACGCAGCAGCTCGTAGGCGAGGATTATGTGGATATTGGGGATATCCAAGACATATGTCTAGCTTGCACAACGCCGTATTGCCAAGGAGTAGAGTCGCTCCCTTTCAAGAGCAGTCTGAACTTGTCGTACAATGACTGCGAGGCACACACGTGGTATATTGGCGACAAGTACATCATGGCCGAGAGGGCGGACGATCAACCGGAAGATAGGAGTGTACCGCTGGCTGACGCAACGCAGTTGCTAAAAGGTCAGGCCCGAGTGCCCGTCCCGAATGTCATAGCAGGCTGGAAAGAGCATGGGAAGGTCATCACCATATCCGAGCGTGTGCCGGGGAAGACTCTGTACGACATCTGGTGGCAACTGTCGGAGAAGGAAAGGGGGGATATCGCGCAAGAGGTAGCCGGCTATGTTGATCTGTGGCGGGGGCTGACGTCGGACAAGTTCTCTAGCATGAACGGCGGCGCGGTCTGGAACCACGACAATCTCTTTGGGACGGGTCGGGAAGGGTTCGGGCCTTTCAGAGGTGACTATGACTTCTGGCGGGCCATCGATGGGCGACTCCGGCAGAAGGCGGTCGACGACGACACCATACAGGTACTCAAAGACTACGTGCCGGGATCGAAGCCGTATGTGCTGACGCATGGAGACCTGTCCTGCCGCAACATACTCATACACAAGGGCAAGGTCTCTGCGATCACGGGCTTTGACAACGCAGCATACCTCTCCATCTGGGCGGAGAATGTGGCTGTCCACTTCTGTTACTGCAAGGAAGACGAGCAGTGGAAGTCGCTGCTGAGCAAGCACATGCAGGGCTACCAGGCAGCACTCGACTGGTGGTCACTGTGGACAGCCGTGGAGGACATGGAGCCGGATCCAGCACGCATCGACATGCTGCGCGGTCGCTGTCAGCGATGGAAGAAGACGGAGATCATCAAGGGGCCATACTTGCCCGAGTCGACCGACGACGAGGATGACGATGATGCGCTACCTCGTCATCGAAGGCCCGAAGACACGGCGTCGAAGCTGGAAATGACGTTACCCCCGCGCCGTGGCGCCTTCAGGGTGGTCAGCGACGAAGCAGCCCACATCAAGGCGTCCGATCAAAGATATCGCAAGGCGATTGAGGAATCCCTCATGCAGGACGAGGAGTACCAAAAGCTGCGCGACGAGGGCAGATCGACCGAGAGGGTTTTTGCCAGCGACGACGAAGAAGAAAACGAAGAGCACGAGAAGGAGAGGAAGGATCGGTTGCAGCGGGCGCGTGAACTGGAGGCCAGCAGATTAGGCCGTAAGCCGGCGCCGCTGAACAACCTACCAGACAGGAGGCGAGCCGGAGCCAGAGCCAGAGAAGACTCGTCCGACGGCGACTCGGAGGGCCGAACCGAGCTCCCGCGCCTGGGGCTACGAAGAGGGCGGCATAGGCACCCGTTAGCCGGACCGCCCGAGACGTTCCCGATGCAGACAAAGGGTCTTCGGCCCCTCAGCCTGCCGTCGTACTCGCTCTCGGAAAGCATCAAGGAAAAGCTCAGTCGGGCCGACGACGGCGACGCGGCAACCCGCGAGGAGACACTCGCCAGGACGCTGCGCTCCCTGTCCTCGATCCAGGAGGGCGCCGCCGGCACGGAAGAGGACTCGAACCCGCCTCGCGACATCTCGGTGGCGGCGGCGTCGTCCCGCAATGACCGCAAGCGGCAGTCGATGTTCAAGGGCAAGAACGCGCCTGGCTCGTTCTATGCGGCTCTGCGGGCGGCGGCTGAGTCTAAGCGGCCGCCGCGGCGGAGGAGGTCTGAGGAGCGCACGCCGGTTGAGGAGAGTGGGGAGCTCGGCGGAGCAGCGCGGCCGCGGCCTTGGAGTATGTTGCCGCCGGTTCAAGGCGCGGGTTTGGGGGAGCAGGCTGAGGTGCCGTTTGGGCGCGCTCAGAAGACTGGCGTCCCTGACGGTATGGGTCAGAAGGAGTCGTCTGAGCAGCTTAAGGAGAGCGGGAGTACCCGGCCAGATGGGGCAGCCTGAGATGGCCATGGGGGCCATAGGGGAGGCGGACAGTACGAATCCTTTTGGGGGACCTCCGGTATCTTGGTTGAAACAGTGTCCTTGTCCCTTTGCTACTCGTAAGGTGACATGACAGAGTATCTGAAATTGACTGCGTATGTAGGCAGTGTCAGGTGTAGACGAAGTTTGGCTCATTGTGGTAGTAGATCCAGGTCGTTCGAACGAGCATATTAAGCGGAAACAAGTGGAATTAAGCCATTAACAGAGACGTGTAGTATTTTAAACGTACTGAATAGCATAAACAGGTGTTGAAGTGCTTCGTCTGTTCTAAAACCGGCTCTGGAGTCCAGTTTCTGCTTCGAGGCATTTGGGCAACGGCGGCCTCGCCGTTAATCTCATACCAGTTCATGCAAGAATCTCTCATGTGAAATAACCAATTGTGATGATCATCTCAGGCATTTTTAGAGATCCTCAACCTGTAGCAAGAGTGCCAACGGACTGCCGTAGAACGAACGCGAAAGCCGATCTCGCCGGCTACACACGCGTCGGAGGAGGACAATTGGACGCAAACCTCTCGGAAAAGGTGAGGACAATCTTAACATCTGACTACCGCCTACTTTTTGCAATCAGGAAAACTTGGCGACCCACGCTGACCAGTTTTCTCTCCCGCCATCCCTAGTCTGGCTAAGTGTCAGTGTGCTGTGGATTTGATATCAATTAGAATTTTGCAAATGAATTTTGCCGATCGCCGATCGCTAGAGCCACGGCAGCTGCGTGGCAGCTGGCACGGTCCTAGACGTTGCTAATAAGGCTGGTTATGTGGGTCGCCAAGTTTTCCTGATTGCAAAAAGTAGGCGGTAAACCCACCGCCTAGCAGTTGGCCTGATTCGGTGTTAAAAGCGGACACGGCAAAAGGTGCGATATAACGATAAGAAGACCAGTAAAAAGAGCGGTAGATATCTCTGTGCCTTTGTGGTAGCGGAACCAGAACGGAGATCTATCACAAGTCTTGGTTGGGATGATCTGTATTCTGGTTGGTGCTTGGTTTCGTTCGGATGGGAAGGGATCCCATCCGAGAAGTATCTAAATACCTAAATTACAGTGGGTTGGTACCTGTCACCTGGGGCAGCCATCCCAGGTAACCTTATCGTAGAACGCCCTGGATGACAGGAGATCCGATAAGGTACTGGTGGCTGGATCCAGTGGCTGGGATCCACACCTCCTAGCTTGGCTTAGCTGGAGTAGCACTGTGTGCATAGTATATAAACGAGCATTTGCACAGTGTAGTCGTGCTAGAAAACCCCCACCATTTCTCGAGTATTGGGCTTTTCTCGCCTGTCCCATTGTGGATATCACAAAACGCGTTTGTACAACTGTCAATACCAACCATCTTCATTCCCATTATCGCCTCTGAAGCCTTTCACTGCACCTCGCCTGGTCTTAACCGGTTGTACGGCGCATTCCCTTCAATTTAAAGCCTTGATCAACGACTTTGGACCACTGCTGGGCCTGTTACGACGCTTCAAGGCCTCGACTCGCCCATATTCGGAGGTCATATCGGCCGCATAAACAAAGCACGTCGAGCCTAGAAACGAGACTCATTCTTACGCGGACCATCTTAACTGGTATTTACGCTTGCTCCGAAGCTCCAATTATCCTACCTGTGTATCAATGCCGTTTCCACCACCTGGCCAGTCCCGTATACGGCCTTCGAAAGCCCTTCCCAGCGACCCAGATGAGGTGTACGGCATGGAGAGGCTGAACTCCATACCAATGGGAGACGCCTTGAACCAGCAGGAGATACGCGAGCTCTTTCAAGGCACCGTGCCTTTCCATGTGCAGAGAAGACTTATAAACTCCCGCAGCCTACGGCAAGCCTTGTTTGGCACCGCCGCTGAAGATGATATTCGGCGAGCTATGGTCCAATCTGAGGTCTCGATGGAACTCCGTCGTCAGCTGGAAAACAACTTTCCATTCTTGAAGCCCGCAGCGCCCTCTGCCGTAGGAAGTCCGGGCCATATACTTCGTGACCCCGACCTTGCGGTGATTCACAGCCCTTCCCCAATGGCTAACGGCATTGCGACTGCTACCGGAACGCCAACATCAAACCCCATAGTTTCCAGTGCCAAACAAGCGATCGATCAGGCGTCCTCGGTCGAGAAGGCCTTCACAGCGAAGCGCACGAATCGCCCAGAACGGCCTTTACCTGCAGCTGCCGGTGCGAATCCTCAGCCTTCGGCGAATTGGTCCCCGAGTATTGCTTTCAGCGTTAAAAAGGGGGCCATCAAAGGCTCGCTCACAAGTCCCAAGCCCGCAAGGATTGTCAGTGACATTGTAGGAGCCCCAACCGAGTCTACACAAAGGCATGACCCTCCCTCTGAATCTCCAGCAGATCTTCGCTTCTCGAGTCAATCATTAACAGATCCTGAAGTGCTTCTCCGACGTCCAACCTTTCAACAGTACCCAGGCAGCCGCTGCCGGCCGTTGTTGGGGTTGCCAACCGAGCGCCCAGTGTCACGTCGCGCATTGGTGAGCCCAACACCGAATCCTCTGTCTGCGTTGTACGGCTAACATACTTCTTGAACCTGCGTTCCGCTATGTGGACGGGAGAGGACTGAAGAGACGACTGGATGGAAGTCCTCCAACCCCGAATGCAGGGCCCAACTCACAGCTTGCTCGGGCGGGACAGGCTACATCCCAACGCCTGTCAGCTCAGCGTCAAGGGACCATATCTCCCTCGACATTAGTTCTAGACGCCTCAACTACACAGTCCCTATCAAACAAGTTGCCTGCTCGACATCAGCAGAGCAGTTCCCCGTCGATAGAGTCAGACTCTTCATCCTCAGAACCCGTGGCGAAGAGGAGAAACACCGACGATACGAGCACAAACACAAATCAGGTAGCCCCGTCAACGGTGCCACACGAATTCGAGAGGCCCAGTTTCAAAGTCAAGCTGTCGTATACGCCAACGCCGCTCGTTCCAAATCGTGCCACTGGCGCAGCCCCTGGGCAAGGAACTTCCAGTAATATCTCTACAGATCAATCATCTGTAGGCTTGGCAGGCTATAAATCCGCTCCTCTGCATGTGGCTAATACGGATGATGAATCCGGGCTGTATGATATGAGCGATCCGCCCGAAACTGGATCCGAATCCATGGCCGATCCGCCCGAAACTATATCCGAATCCATGGTTTTAAGTGATAGCGACACTGGGATCGAAGACCTGGGTGAGATTGAGGATGAAGAGGAGACTGATGATCTTCCTTCCGATATTTCAGGCCAAGAGAAATTAGAAGGTGGAGAAGTCGCAGCCCCCTCTGGCCAAGGATCGTCGTCATTGGATGACTGGAGGTACAACGTAATAACAAGTGAGTACACTGAACCCTCATAAGTCTCCGTACACGCCTCATTCACCAAGCGAAAGGTGCGTCTATTATACATGGGATAAGCACGCTGGAATAAGCATCAGAGGTGACTTCTTGGGTCAGAGCTGCTTATTCCAGGGTGCTTATCCTATTAACATAGATTTAGCATTGATACCCAAGAGTTGATTGAGGCACGCCGTACGGAGACTTAATGGGGGTGACTGTAAAACAGCTTCTCTCGTCAAGAACGGCTGTAGCTGACGGCTATAGACGCATCAGGGAAGAGTGAGCACACCGGAGGCGCATTGCTGCCTCGTGAGTATCAGAAACATGACAATCCGAGCTTCCCATGGATATGTCCGGTTCGATCATGTAGGACTGTTTTCAAAAGGGTGCTGGGACTCGGCGCCCATTTCGGTGTGAGTACCTGGTCCACAACGCGCTGTAGTCATGGGCAGGCATCAATGCTGACCTTGACGACAGAAAGTCCACTACGGTTGGCAGTTCAACGACAATGGAGATGGGACATTGTCGGCAGTCGGAAAGAAGAACGGCGTTTCAGCAAAAGTGATATCGAAGAAACCTCTCGATCCCAAAGAGCCGCCCATGCTGGACCCGAAGATGCGCCTACAAGATGCCAAAGCCCGTGGGCAGTCTTTGCTTGGTACTTCCGAAGCTGGTCATGCTTCGAGTATCCCAAAAGCCACGCCTAAGTCCACACCTTCAACCGACACCAGTCTGCAAGGGCTGGACACCCGAATACAACCGACAAGGACGAGCCAAAGAATGCAGGCAACATTGAATGCACCAGCCCTTGGCTCTCCCCCGCCGGCAGCAGGTGACCAAGGCGATCAAACAAAGCTCTGGCACTATATTCACTCTCGGTTGAACTCCACACCTCGATCGCGAATGCCGCAAAACTGTTGGCTTCCTGATCTTCTGCGGCTGCCTCGTCTCCGAGAAGTCGAGTACAATCCGGCGGCTCCATATCCCTACAAGGAAAACAGACCTGGGGATATCGCAGCCATGGTTATCCAAGTGACTGGAGCTGAGCCGCCGAAGGCGTGTGAGAGGTGTCGAACGGGAAAGGGTATCTTCAAAGGCTGCTATGTCATACACCCCAATGCTCCTCTGACTGCTCGTCAGTCTCCTTCATTAGCAGGGTGTGCGAATTGCACGTACAAGAACGTTGGCCGTAGATGCGAGCTGAAACAGTGGGCGTACGAGACATATCCAGAACTGGGGATACAGCCCGACAGGGCATCTACTGAGATCCAAACTCAGCCCGACAGACCATCTACTCAGACCCCAAATCAGCCCGACAGACCATCTACTGAGACACAAACTGAGCCCGACAGACCAGCTAGCCAGACCCCAAATCAGCCCGACAGACCATCTACTGAGACACAAACTGAGCCCGACAGACCAGCTAGCCAGACCCAAACTCAGCCAGGCTCGCACCGGCTGGCCGATAAGCATCCGGAGAGGCGCTCTGAAAGGATCTTGCTCAAAGACTCAGCGGCAGCAGTTTCCCCAGCCCACGCATCAGGTAGGCGCATGTCAGCTACCGCGGGTGGTGTGGCATTTCCTCCCGTCTCTGCTACAGCCAAAACGCATCAAATTCACAACCATGACTTGCCCGAACAGCGCCACGCTGGGTACGAGGAATCCGGCTCGTTTTCGAACGTACAGGGAAGCGCTGTGAACCCAACACACCTGTTGCAGCTCGAGACGTGGGAAGTTGCTCCAGGTCGCATCCGCAATGACGGCCAATTCGCTGATAGTAAGTGTTTGCTTCCACATTGTGTACCTCTGGACCCTCATAAGTCTCCGTATACGACCCTTCTAGCAAATAACGGTAAATTTATCGAGTTGGAATAAGCATACCGAAATAAGCAGTTGGATCTTTATTGACCATGCTTGACGTTTATTCCAGGGTGCTTATTCCGGTATTTCCAACTATCCCACCGGTGATCTGGAGTCTTGTCAACAAGCGCGTACGGAGACTTATGGGGGCTGGGTGTCGCGAGGCACTCCATCGCTTTTAGCCTCGCTGATTGATCTGCTTCCAGATATTGCGTTTTCGAACTCGTACCTCGCTCAGAACCTGGCCGTCAGAATCAGTCGCGACATCTCGTTTCAAGTCATCACCGTCAAACCAGGTACGGCATACAACTTTGAAGCCATTGCCGATAGGCTACGTCTGTGCTCAGTGGCGTCTGGCAAGCTCAAGGTCAAAATAGGAGACCAGGAATTCGACATGGGACCCAATGGCATGTTCAAGGTCAACACGCAAACAGCTGCTGCGGCGACGAACATGCTCTACATTGACGCCACAGTACACGTGTCTATCATGCCTAGTCACCTGTGACGCCTTGAGCTGCTGTTGGGGATCTCCCAGAGCATGTTCTGAATGTGGGCGAACTACCTAAGCCACGCTACGGATCGGGTCCCAGCGTAGAGGTGGACTCAGATTCCTGGACCACTTCCTTTGCTCAAGCCGCTCCCCTCTCGAGCGGCATTCACGACAAGTCAGAAATGACAAAGCTCGACTCCCCTCGGTAAACGGTCTCGCTCGTGGAACCATAGGTCTCGGCTGGGAAGTCGGTCGGAAGCCACTCGTGGTAGCCAGAGTGTCCCACGCCGGAAGCGTCGATATAGGTGACGACGATGCGGTACTGCCCTTCGGCCCCAGGCAGCGAAGGATCCTGGTGGAATTGCCAGATCATGGCCGAGTTGTCACACGTAGCGGCCGAGACGCTAGGCAGCTCCTCAGTAGACGTGCTGTCGAAATACGCGCAGTGTGTGCTCATGACACCGGGAATGGCGATGTCGTAGGAGATGCTAATTCCAGAGAGCGTCAGTCAGTACTGCGATCCTGTCCATACAGCTACCTAGACATATTAGAGCAACTTACACAGCACCGTTGCCATTTGCGATAGTGTTAGCGACGAAGTTGGTAAAGTCCATCTCAGTGGCCTGTCTCTGCTCCACTGGGACAGCCGCAACGGTCAGCAGGAGCGAGGAGGCGACTGCAACGGTCTTCATGATGGTGGGTGTTGTTGGAAACAGGCGAGGATGACTCTGGTATGTAATAAAATGAGAGGCGTTGGTGACAACTGAAAGAAGGGAGATGCGAGAATGGTCCTCTCATGGTGAGCATGGGATATTTATACTTTTTCGCCAGTGCTTGCTTCTGCAGTGATCACGTCCTCCCCCCGTTGACCGACTTCATGGTCCGTGACTCGAAGTCGCCAAAGCGTCCAGCTTCGTATGGCATGGCAGGACCAACAGAGAGGGTGGATACTCATTTCTTCAGCCTCTCTTTTGGGCTCTTGCGCCTCTCACCGACAGCTCGGGCCCGGGGCAGGGCATGTTGGTCAGCGTGACGACCCAATCGGATGCCAGCCGCTCGTGCATTCACGTCCTTCTGCGCCTCGAGCTAGATCTAGATGCATGCTCTTGCAAGTCCCGTGTAACGGTGTCACGACTCACGCACGGCCTTTATGCCACGGAGCAAGCGAATCACGGGGTGTGGACAGACCAAGCGTGCGAATGAAGTTGCTCGGATGACCGTCAAACGGCCTTATTATCATCGTCGTCGTCAGCGGTATTACGCCGTGTGATTGTGACTGTAGGTTCTTCGCTCACTTTCTCACACTCACCTAGGTGAGCGTGACGAGATGGGTGGCCACGACGCCACGAGAATGACACGAGGTTCGCCGCAGCGGCGTGTCCTGCGCCGCCGAAGGCATTATCGTGACTCGACACCCTTACCATGACCTTCGTCGCTCGTATGGCTAGTCGAAGTAGGTCCCCGTCGTATCGACACCCACGGGGAGCAGCTTGCAGTCTGGGCCAGGCCAAACTGAGCGACAAGAGTAGTGCTTATTACAGGCCTAGCCCCGTGAGCGGCCTTCGCATGATGCCTGAGATTGAGGAGAGAAGTGTGGTGTGGTGAACTTTGGATATCCCTCGCCTCACAGGCCTGGCCAATAGTTGCTTACCTTATAGAGCTGTCTCTCATGCTCCAGGTGAACACATCGTGAGGCTTTGATCTGCAGCGAATGCAAGCTGAGTTGAGCGTTATCATCTTAGTAGGTTGTCATCTCAGGTTAACGGGTTCCGCCTCATCCTCATTGATCCGGGCAGCTGGAGGTGGTGAGGCTGTGTGGTGTGTAACACGACGACAATCATCCCGTCCACGGGACCACATGCAGCTTTGCGCTCTGGGACAGCTAATGCCAGCAATGCCTTCCAGCGGTGGGCTGCCGGCCTACATACTGGCCCATCAGATCTCACTCCCGTTTAGGACGACGAGCTTTCCCCTCATGCCAAATTGGACGGCTTCTTGCTGGGACTCCTTTACCACGCTCTTGATTCAGGATATGGGTCACACTCCAATCCGGTGGATGCGCGCTGATTGAATTCACACAGCACGTCTTCAGTGATCCCGTCCATCGTCGCCGAAATAGTCAGAGCTCACGACGCTTGAACGAGTCAACATGACTGTTGACAATCCGGCAGCCGACCTGGAGAAGAACAGCGCCCCAGCGGCAGAGGAGCCTGAGGGAAAGCATCCAAAGGCCGCAGCTTTCACCACCGTACTCGCTTCATCAGCACCTGAACGAGCTCTGCTGTGGAGGCAGGATAAAACGCATCGTGCCCTATCTTGACCGCAGCAACATCGCCAACGCAAAGGTCCTCAACTCATCAACCGAGAATGACATGCAGACCGAGACCGCCACCACCAACTACCAGTCCCACATCGCGGTGATGATATTCCTCATCGGCTACTTCTTCTTCGAAGTCCCCTCCAATATCCTGCTCTAAAAGCTTCGAACATCGCGATGGCTCGCCTTCTTGGTGTTTTCCTGGGGCGTCGTCACCATTGGTCTAGGTGGTACGCACACATTCAGCCAGATCACCGGCGTTTTCTTCGGCTGCATTTGAGGCCGGCCTGTCCCATGGCCTCGTCTACTACTACCTGACCTTCTGGGTGAGTCTTGGTCGGACTCATGCTACACTTTGGGGCTCGTCAGCAAGCAGAGGCTCTGAACGACTGTCCTGGTAGTACAAAATGGACGAGCGCAGCATACGCGTTGCGTTCATTCTCGCGAGCGCAACCCTTGCCGGAGCCTTTGGAGCTATAGCATATGGCGTTGGCCATATGAACGGGACCAGCGGGCTGTCCGCCTGGCGCTGGCTGTTCATTCTTGAGGGCATCCCCTCCTGCTTGTCTCCTGTGTTCGTGTGGTTCTTCCTCCCAGACTATCCAGAGCGCGCTTTGTGGCTCTCCGAGACTGAGAAACACCTGGCGGTCGATGCACGGGTCGGTGGCGCTCGGCAAAGAGCTTGTGACGGCTTACTACACGCGGTCGGTCCTGTACTCGTACTACAGCGGCTGCTCGCCAGGTGGGCGGCTGGGCCTCAAGGGGGTGCAGATCTCGCCAGGGAGCTTCGACGGCGTGCTGGTCGGCGACGCCGCGTGGTCCACCAGCCACCTCAACACCTGGGTCACCAAGCTCGCGACCTACAACTGGCCCCTCGACTGGCACCTCTTCGATCCGCTGGGGGCGGGACTCTGAAGCAGTGCGACGATATCGACGGTGCGGCTGATGGGATCATCAGTTTGCCGGAGCAATGCAGCATCGACTACGATCTACTCGTGTGCAGCAGCCCGAAGGCGAGCATGTCCGCGCGTCTAAGCAATCCACAGATCCAGACGCTCAAGAACGTGTACAGCGACTACGACTCCACGACGGGGGAGTTTCTTTACCCGGGCCTGAAGCCCGGCGTCGAAAAGCAGATGTACGCGTTGCTGAACTACTCCACGTCGCGCCCGTACGGGATCGGCTACTCGAAATACTTCATATTCGACGACCTCAACGACACCGCGGTAGCGCTGGCGGCGCGGCTGAACCCCGGCGGCGCGACGACCGCCGACTACAACCTCTCGGAGTTCCGGGACCGCGGTGGTAAGATGATCATGTACCACGGCATGGCGGACGGGCTAGTGCCCCTGAAGGGGTCGACTTTGTACTACGACCAGGTCGCACAGACGACGGGCGGCGGCAACACGACAGCCACACGGGGGTTCTTCCGCTACTTCATGCTCCCCGGCATGCAGCACTGCGGGCAAACGACGACGGATGCGCCGTGGGCCTTCGGCGGCGAGTTCCAGGCCGCCATGCTGCGCAACGACACGTGGTCCGTGCCGGGGGTCGAGGACGCCACGCACGACATGTTGCTCGCGTTAGTTAATAGACTGGGTCGAGAATGGGGTGGCAATCGACAGAGTCGTCGCGACTGCGTGGGAGGAGCCTCTGAAGAGCTCTTCAGGGATGCTCCGGCAGCGGCCGCTGTGCCCCTATCGCGAGATGGCCAGGTGGGGTGGCGAGGGGAATGTTGACGATGCTGGCAGTTGGAGTTGCGGGTAGTAAAACTACTCTTGAGTATTTTGTTGTGGGTTCTAACTGACGTTCTTGCGCAGTGGTGATATCACTGCGACACCTACCGTGAACACGTCAGCAGAGCACCATGGGATGAGTTGGTCTCCGTATGCCCTTCGCGGCGGTGATGTTCTACATTGACGGCGGCCGCCAGGAAATACCCACCTTTCCACTAGTGTCTTGAGTCTCGCAATGGAATAGCAGTAGACACGCACCTATCCATTCGTTTGCTGGTGCGTCTCGAGCAGTCTGTTTCCTAAGTCAGAGTTGTCCTGAGTGTACAAGACGGCACCAGATGGCTGGGTGGCAGGCATCGAGGATCAGGGTCACACTGTAGTCTTATAACACGAATCTACTCTTCTAGATATAAGTATCTACCCTGTGCGTCTGGACTTCAGCCGGGTCACACATGGGTATCGACAATGTTGAAATACGACTGCAGGTCTGAGTAAACTGATCAGAAATTCACTGGCCCGTAACGAGCCCTAGACAAAGCAACTTCAGTCCCAAGTCCGAGTCCTGTACTTACTTTCCAATTCCGTCTCGCGTTTCCGGGAAGGCTTTGGTCAGGTTCGTTCGCGATGATTCCGTGTCGTAGGAACTTGGCAGGGCAAGTTGAGACTAAAACAAGTTCCAGCTCCTCCGTAAGCCTCGGAAGCACCGGAGCACAGCGGTTGAGTGTTGCGGTTGCTTACGGAGGAGTTGGAACTTATTATTCCCCAATGCATACAATATGAGTATCAGGCTATTCAGTATCTTGCTGACTTGTGATGTGTTCTTCCCACAGTCTTGAACCTCAAGGTACATACATGTATGATGTAAGCCAGCCGTCGCTCTCGGCAGTGGGCGTCACTGGTCAGGCTGTGCAGTTGGGGGCAGTGTTCTTCCTCAGAGCTTATTTCTGACAGCGATCAGCCTCCAACCATGAAATCTGGTAATAATTCTTCATTCAGGTCACCACCCCCTCAGACCCCTGTAGGAGCGAGACCCCTCGTAGAGGATCCCTGCGATGGATCTCTGCGGCGTGGAAGTATGGGCGATGCGTACGTGATAGTATCAGCAATGTGCTTGAACGCGTGGTTCATCAGTTGCATACAGTATCCACGACCCCACCGAACAGAACAGGTGGGTGTTTGAGGTTAGAGACTCAGACGGGGACCATACATACTTTACTTTACGGATTGATGAGCGATCATTCAAATGGTACATATGCAGGTACCGTCTGTCTATCGTGCCCCTTCCTAGTTCCTACTCGTGGCAAGGCCGATTCAGTACGGACCGCCGAGGTAGCAATGTAGCATGGATGCCATTGTGAGATCCTGGCTGCAGTACATATACATACTGCGGTGGTACCCACGGCGGTCAAGCGAGATGACTGGCAGGCATCTCCGACTCTGGCGGTGGCCGAACTTTCCAGTCTGCAAGCGTACTGCGCATTTGTTCCTGTTGCTTACCATCTAGCAATTTCACAATATCCCATTGTGACGATGCCTTCAATGTTCAAGCAGCTTCGGCGGTGAGACACCAACAAGTCGGTCGTGCAAGGGAGACACGGCGCGACAGGTTGATGAAGAACTTATTATTATTACCCAACACCTACATCTGGATTGGATTGTCCACACAACCACAGCAGCACTGAAATTGGCAAACCCACCAGTAGCCAGGGGCCGTCCAATGGCCTGAGCGCGATGCCAGGATCCCGTCAGTAAGGTAGCTGCACGGGCAGGGGAGTACCGGTGCTAGAGAATCCGAGATGGATCCCATACTGACTACTGAACCGGAGTAAGGACCGTAAGGTACAGTGGCGCTCTTGAGTCTTCGCTCTCGGCTGCGGGGGTCTTATCTGTGCAGTGTACAAAGTACACCGTCTAATGACTGGTGATGGGCATCGTCGCCGTCGTCGTGGGGCCCGGGCCGGACAGAGTCTGGAGTCTGGCAGTCTGGGCTGATGGGGGTCCCACCACCTGTCAGATTGTCGGATCGTCGACAGATATGGGTGGTAGGCCGAGACGAATGGCCGAGGCAGCGGCTGGACTGCCTGGACTTGCAGACTTGGTGGTCTGGTCGGGTCTCTTCCTACGATCCTCCATCCGTCTCTGCAGTCGCTCATTTCGTCTTTCTACCAGGGCCTCTCTCTCTCTCTCTCTCTCTCTCTCTCTCTCCTCTCTCTCTTCCCCTACTCTCTCTCTCTCTTCGCCTTCACCAATCTTCAGCGCCAATGTCGGAACGGTAGTTGTTCGGCTTCACCAACGGCGACACACTGACCGTTCGCATCAGCCATCGATCGCGGGAGAACCGCCACCGGTGCGATGGACCATGGCATGTATGCCAAGCACAACGCCAGCCAGCCGGGGTTGGAGGTAATGCCCGAGCCCGAGTTGCCACAGGTCGTCGAAGGGCCCGTCGTCGCTATCGGGGAGAAAGCGTACGACGGCACCGCGCACTCGCCTGCGCATTCACCGCCACCGCAGCAGCACCACCAGTACGCCGCGCCGTACGCCCAAGCGCCGAACGCTTACCCCAATGACGGCACATATCCCCCGCCGTCCGCCTACGCCCAGCAGAACTACCAGCAGCCATCCTATCCGCAGGAGTACCAGCAGCAGCCGTACCAGCCGTCCTATCCGCAGTCCACACACACCGGCACCCACCCGCGCGGCTGGAGCGCCTCGCAAGATGGCACATATATGAGCGGGCCTCCGCCGCCGCCGCCTCTCGAAGGGCCGCCAGCGAGGAGAATTCTGGGGCTGCGCATCAAGACTTTCTGGCTGGTGTTCGGTCCCATGCTGGTTCTGCTTGTCATTGGCTTGGCCGTCGGACTGGGCGTAGGACTCAGTACGGGACAACATAATGATAGTGACGACTCGGACTCGGACTCGGACAGCCCGGCACCAGCGTGAGTTCACCCGGGCCCTTTTCGTTTTACTTCCGTTCCGGTGTGACTGACAGGGGAACCAGGTCACCGCTTACGTGTCCCTCGGCCAATTCGACGACGTACGACACAGGTAGCGGCAGCTCATTCTTGGTCCTATGTAATATCGACTACAACTCTGGCGGCGGCACTACGGACCTCACGCACGTGGTCACCTCGTCGGTCGAGGACTGCTTCAGCGCGTGTGCCGAGAACGGCGCGTGTCGCGGTGCCGGCTGGGGCAGCTACGAGGGCCAGAACGTGTGCTGGATGAAGAGCGAGCTTGGGTCGCCCCAAGATGCGGGCGACTGGTTCTTTGGGATAAGACAGTGATTGGCACGTCTCAAAACAAACGGAGTTCAGGGCGTACCCGGGGTACGGTTTGAACCAGGGCGGAAACAATGCTGCGTTTTTACTGGAAATATCTGTGCCTTTCAAAGAGACCTTTGGGTTGATACACTATGCAGAGCAAGTCGTCAACCCGTTTCTTATCCAAGGGCCACGGCTCTTTGGGCTGGCTACCTGGCTGCCCTCCTTGTCCTGGTGGGCGAGCAGAGTCTGTACATAGTGCCATTCAAACCTCGACGGGTTAATACAAGTCGTATATCTATCTCATATCTACAGCCATAGCAACATGCCATGACCTGTTATAGCCAGCGGTCGCGAGGACACATTGCGCGGGGTCTGAACCCGAGTACCGGCAGCACAGCACGCCAGGCACCACATGAGATATCCACCACAAATCAAGTCAAGATGGATCCGCTCACGGCGCTGATGGAGTGACAGGAGTGACTACCGGGTGACGACGAGACTACCTTATCTAGACTATCCACCGTCACTTTCGGCTCGGAGCGAGACCCACAGGACCGTTACCACGGCTCTGGATTCTCATGACACATACCACACCAGTACTGATGCCACACCTGCAGTACCTAGCTAGGTATTCAATATATTGGTCCATCCAGCGGCGCGCCCATGAGAGCTGGTGAAAGATGTAACCATGTGATCAGTCAAGGATGCATCATGAAGTCTGTACAAAAGAGGCTGTCGGGAGGAGAAGCACGGTTAACACCTGCTTGAGACCAGCGACACTACCTGGTGTCGGCCCTCCGACGGGATTCACGGAGCCATTGGTTCATCAGCATGATAATCAGGCATGGGACGAACTAATTATAATAAAAGGAGGAAGGATTTGGCCCGCCGGAATAGCACTGCCAATACCATGACATGATGGCATGGACCGACCGCTCCACTCTGAAGGCTGACTGAAAGCATCCCGCCGCGACCATTGTCAACCGATTCGGCAGTACTGCCCCCTTCGCCACCTAGCGGGATACATACATACATGTATGTCTAGACGCTGCCAAAACCCCCAAGGAAGAGTAAGTAGCATGCATGAGAAGTGAAGTAACACGCAAGAGTAACCTCGACTACGATGCTCCTACCCTAGCAATTCACCAATCCGCCTAGGTAGAGCAGCTCCTCTGGGGGCCCAACCCCCCTTCACTTCCCGGTAGGCGCCATCAAACAGGTGCAGGCACTGCTGATCATCTGGAAGTTCCCCTCGCAATTGCTCACGGCGTCCAGCGTCGTGGCGAGCGTCTGGACGGCGCTGCGCGTGAACGTGGAGCAGAACGCGCTGGCCGTCTTGGTGAATCGCGCGTCCATCAGGTTCCGCAGGCAGTTGTCTTGGTTGCACACCACTGGCACCAGGGGGTTAGTGGGGTGTTTGCTGCTTCTATCTAGGTGGTCTGCTACTCACATGGACTCTGTGTTGCGACACCTGCGCCCGTCGGACTCGTGCCAGTGGCGGCGGCCGTGACAGCGACGGGCGTGGTGGCGGCTGGAGTGGTACCATCCGACCCCCCGAACCGGCACACCCCCCCAACCGGCACAGCCAAACCCCACAACCACCACCAAAAGTCCCCTTACTCACTTACACGGATTACAGCCCCTTTTGAGGGTATCTAAACGCTCTTTAGATAGTTAGATAGCCCTTTCCTTGGTGTTTAGCTTAATATAGATTATTTAATTGCTGGCCATCGGCATCGGCATTTAGCAGCCTCCGTGCCCCGCCCTTAAATATAAATTTGCTGTAGAATTCTCTCTGTGAGCCCCTGTCCCTCATGCACCACAGCATCCTGAAGCCAGCCACGATGCCTCCGCCCACGTATACAGAGGATGATGTGGTGGATGCCTACCTAGACGTCACAGATAATGGCATGTCAGTGAGAAAATCCAGCCAAAAATACGGCATCCCGGCCAGCACGCTGTCAGCACGCATAAGGGGGAGAGGGACTAAAACAGAAGCTCACACCACCGAGCAGAGAATTTCTCCCGAGCAAGAAAGCAAGGTAGCAGCCTGGATATTGTGCCAGGAGACTTTGGGGCTTGCCCCCTCTCACTTAGCCGTCAGGGAAATTGTGATAGAACTCCTAAAAAGAAAGGGGGATTTCGCACCACTTGGGAACCATTATATGGACAGCTTTAAACGACGCAACCCTACCATTCAGACTAAAATCGGCAAGCGAATGGAATCTGCTCGGTTTAAGGGGTTTACCCCTAAGTCTGTGAACTGGTTCTTCAACATCTTGGAGGACTACGGCTGGGTGAAGCCAGAAAATACATACAATGTCGATAAGGGCGGCATCATGTCGTGTTTTGGTAACTCTTTCGAGCCCCCTACCCTCACAGTCAACTAACTACCCTTATAGGCATTGATTCCCTTGTTCTGGGAAGTTCTGAGACGAGGAAAGCTTTCCTAAAGAGCCCCCAGGGCCGCTTGTGGACATCTTTCATCGAGACCATTTTAGCTACCGGTAGAGTACTCAAACCAGGCTTGATTTTCAAGGGAAAAGATCTCCAAGCGCAGTGGTTCCTTGAGGAATTCCAGAAGATAGCCGACTGGTACTATATAACATCGGAAAACGGCTGGACCAGTAACGATATCGCCTGCCAGTGGCTTGAGCACGTTTTCATACCACAAGTGGATGAAATTCGTGGCCAGGAGCAGTGGGAACCAGTCCTTTTGATCCTAGATGGCCATGGTAGCCATACCTCCGTACGTACCCCAATTTTTTCTATTTATTTACTGGTTGTTTGATTTATTCCGATTTAAATAGCAACTGACTGTAGAAAAGGACGAATTTATGATGCGGTGTTATTTTGCCAACATCTTGCTGTGCTTTTTCCCAGCACACACCAGCCACGGAATGCAACCACTGGATAACGGCCCCTATAACGCCCTTAAGTCCTACTACCAGAGATTCCTCACCCAGTTAAATTCTCTGACTGATTCTTCCCCTGTTGACAAGATCAACTTTATCCGCTGTTACAGCAAGACAAGGGACATGGCATTTACGCCAAAAAACATCCGCTCGGGCTTCCGAGTGACGGGATGCTACCCAATTAGCCGCAAAAAGTGTCTAGACCATCCAGAAATCCAAGAAGACAAGCGGAAGACCCCCAAGCCGGAAGAACAGGAAGACTCGGAGCTGGAGGATCAACAGACCCCTACCACGAGCCGGCAAATCCGGGATTTCGGGAGGAACCGTTCCCCAGCCACTCGGCTGAAGTTCCGGAAGATCTCCCATGCTTTTGAGAACCAGGAGACGGAGCTGGCCATAAAAGACCAGAAGATCAGGGCCCTGGAGGCTGAACTGGAGCGGCTACGGCCCAAGAAAAGGAAAAAGATACCAAATCCCAACAAAAAGTTCATGATAATGATAGAAATACTAGCCCAGAGTGGTGATCCGTTAGTTCCGGTTGCTGTAGAGTCTTCTTCTTCTTCTTTAGAGTCGGAGGTTGTTGAAGACGAGGGTGAAGAGGACGAGGAGCTTGCGGACGCTGAGGAGGCTGTAGAAGCCCCTGTTGCAGAAGCCCAGATGACTAGATCCGGGCGGTCAATCCGGGCGCCGGCTAGATACGTCGATTGAGCAGCCAAAACACCACAGAATGATAATTTTGCTGATTTTTTTGACCCTATACAGCCTCAAATGCGTGTAAGTGAGTAGGGGGGTCTTTTGGTGGTGGTGGCGGGGTTTGGCTGTGCCGGTAGTGGGGGTGTGCCGGTTCGGGGGGTCGGATGGTAGCTTTGATCTCGGTGGTCGGCGTCGTGGTCGCTGGGCGGACTATCGTCTGAAAGCCGCTGCTGCTGAACAGCAAGATTGGCGACGAGGCCGGGACAGAGCCCTGGACCAGCCTCGCACCTTGGACACCGGGTCGCGATGAAGTCGCGCCGGCGGGACCTTTGAGATAACACGCTCCGGCTCCGTCGGTGCCGATGAAGTTGACGGCTGCGCACTTGCCGTCGGCAAAGGAGGCACATCGATCGATGCAGACCTGGAAGGAGGCGGCCGACTGCCCGTTGGAGAAGGATCCAGAGCTCTGCAGGTCGCCGTTTGCGTAGTCGGTCGAGCACTCGATCTGGTAAGTCCCGCGTGGAGTTACGTAGCTAGCCTTGTCGGAAGCAGGACAGGTTACTTTGGTGTTGGACGGAACCGCAGCTGGCGTGTTTGCAGCGGGAGCTGGACTTGTCGAGCTTGACTTGCTCTGGGACGAGGACGTCGTCACGGACGCGGTTGGGGATTGGGTCGTGGTAATAGCTGCAGCCGTCATGCTGGCTGAGGCGGCAGTTGTTGGCCTGATCGCATTTCTGGTCGAAAAGCTGCTCATCTGAGCAGTAGACGAGGTACTGCCCGAAAGTGCAATGTTCGGCTTTTGGTCCGAGGTCTTTAAAGCGGTCGACTGAGCTGATGTCTGAACTAGGGCTTGGGATGAAGATACGGAAGGAGGTTGGGCCGCGGTAGAAGTACGCCGGGCTGAGCCTTCGACTGGCTTGTGGACTGGGTTGCAGATGGAATCGAAGGGGTATATGTTGCCGGAGCTGAGGAGGGGGAGGCTGCCTGCGTCGAGGACGGTGTACTAGTCGTGGTAGTGGTCATGCTGCCGCCGCTGCTGGTGCTGCTGCTGCTGCTACTCGGCTTGCTGACCGAGGCGCTGATACACTTGACTGATCCACCGCTGCCGGTCGTGTCGGTGTAGTTATACATGGCACAGGGTTTATACGGGCTGATCTTGACACTCTTGACAAAAGCCGTATACGGGAACCCCTTGACGTCTGTGGAACCGCCTGCCCAGTTGGCTGTCCACCGGGCAACGTTGGGTCCTCCGGCGTCCCACACGCCCAAACTTTAGCAGATTGGAGTCAGTGATTACTCTTTTCTGACGAGAAACAAAGAGTTGCAATGCGTATCTCGGGAGCAAGGGCTCTTGACACAGGACAGAAGGGGCAATAGGAGACTCTAGAATGTACATACTGAAAGCGAGACGGAGTCTGCGGGTACTGGTGCGCATCCGAGTCGCCATCCTTAGCATAAAGTGTGCGGATAGCTGTGCCGTCGACACTCCAGGTCAGGGAATCTGGTAGCCAGTCCAAGGTGAAGGTGTGGAAGCTTGTGGTCATGTTGGTCGCAATATCTAAGGTCACATATGAGTGTTAGCTCCCGTAACGTTGGCTTTTATAGAAAGTACAGGCAGTGTTTGGTAGAATCACTCACTGTCGAAACGTTAGTGGGAGTCTCAAAAAGGTAGAAGCTAGATCTAGAAACGAAGACCGGGGCCTAAAGAAGGGATGTTTTTGTACGTACCGCGGTTGTGTTCCCCTGTCCCAGATGCCCGTGATCCCCTTCCCGAACCAATTCGTCTGCAGCGTGGGCGTTGACTGTCCGAAATCATTGCCTGAGAACTCCCAGTCAATCTCGTCGAGGTCGTCTGACATCACTGCGGCACTCAGGTTAGTCCCTACTACTTGCAGATGGTATGGCACGTGAAGACCATATAGCGGAAACCTGTATTCCCGAGAACACCAAGCACAGGATGGCGGGCAAGCCGGTATGCTACTCACGAACGGCGCTGCTGATGACTCCGATACCAGGCGCAGTTTGCATGACTACCTCGACGTGTCCATATTGCATGTATGCTTTGGTCCAGACATCTAGTAGCCGAAAGCACCTTAGGTTCGTCTGCGTAACAACTGCGGTTGGAACAGACGGGCATCGCCTGCATCAATGCTTACACTATCGAGATGTTAGCACAAGGTAACCTTAAAGAGCACACTTCAGTTCGCAATCCCCAAACACGCTCAAGGGCTTGGGTTTTCAAATCGCGATGTATGAGTACATACTGGAGCAATGGTCGGATCAGTGAGCGTGAAATCGATCCCCTTGGCCCCAAAACTGATGGGCTCGTAGTCGGCTTGGATCCATTCCGACGGCAAGCTGTTGGTCTTTGTAAAGTCGACCGAGTAGTCACCCGTAAATCCAGGAATGGGCGCACATGGGCCTGGTTCTCATAGGTTAGCCCCTCGACAGCCTAGCTTTTTGCTTTCTTCTGCTGATGAGTCCTCTTTGCCGGCACACCTTGAGTTGGATTACATTGGGCTTGTGCCCGGGTGACGTATGCTGTCAAACTGATAAGGAGCAGAGGGAAGCCTCGTTTGGATGTCATAGTTGCAAGATGGCGATCAAGAACGTGTATTGCATAGTTGATAAGCTCACAAACACAACAGGAGCTGTAGGTTTCCTGGGATCTCAGTAGTATCTCAGCATTTTCTACTGACAAACGAGTTGCCACTTGGAAAGGGGCTTTGCTTTGTAAAGGATGTTTCGCGCTAACTACGCCCGGAGGTTTCATGAAAGAAGATGAATAGGTAGCATCATGACCAAGGCGATCCATTATCGTTCCCAAACGGAGCGTCTCGGAAAAGGGCGAGGACAACTCAATCCCGCCATTCAGTGACAGAACGGAGCCGGTACCGTAGTTCTAGACTCCCTTGAACTGTTCAAGGGAGTCTAGGAGGACAGCAGCAGGTCCGGCAGTACCCAGGTAGCAGTTCAATTGCCACTGGCGTATTTACTTGCGTAGCATATTACCAAGGCTTTCATGGCATCAGGATACATACTCTTGTACTCAAGGAACGTGGCAGTTGGCAAAAGGGGGGCGGTACACCAGGACGGTTGTCTATTACTAAGCAAAGCTCAGAGCAAGCTGAACCCCAATTAACGGACACCTCGATATATGCAAGCATCGATTTTATGTACATAAGGCATGTGCGCAGGAGATGCATTGCGGTGACGCCTCCTCGCCCGCGTCATTCTCGGTGAAATCATCAGCAAAACAACCTTGTCGACGGTCCAAATGTCCTCCCAGTCTGGCACAAATACCGACGGCGCCGATCCTTGGGATAAGGAGACGAAGCGCAAGTTCCAGAAGTAGGCGCTCCAACCGCGCGGCCCTGTTCCCGCATCCGGTCGTGCCTGCACCTCACTGACTGTCCATTTTGGCGAACAGCAAGTCCAAGAGCGAGTACTTCGACCCCTGCCAGCAGGCGGCCTCGAGAAGCATTCGATGCCTCAACCGCAACGGAGGCGATAGAGCCATGTGCACCGACTACTTTGAGTGAGTGTTGCCGAGCAATGTCTTACGAAGCCCATGTGGCACACCGGGCTGGTTGCGCCGAGCTTACCATGTGCTTGATCGCAGGGCGTATCGAGCTTGCAAAAAGGAATGGGTGAGTAGGAACCAGCTCGGCTCAGTCCATCCAACCTGACTGAGCTCCCATCTCTGACGTTTCCCAGACCGAAAGACGCACCGCCGAGAAGAAGGGCAGCGGGTTCTTCTCCTGAGCTTTCGATAGCATCCCACGCATCGGTGCGATCCGAACCCCAAAGATCGAACGACCCCGAGATCGACTCCGAGATCGACTCCGAGATCGACGGCGATTGTTGGCTAGGTAAACACGAAGACCACTCCATACAAAGATCCTAATGCGCTACATGGGCAGGACTTGCATTACGGGCTTGTAGCAACACATGTATACTAGAGGGGGATTCGGCAAGACCAATGCATCAAGTGGCATCGCCATGCCCTACCGCTAAGGCTGCTCGAAGTGGTAGAGTACAGATATAGTCGGAGACGGACGAGGCAGCTGGTGGTTGCTTTCTTATAGTACTACCGCCCAGTACCTTACTACATGCATACCTGAGGCATAGTACCTACATATGTATCTATCCCCTCCATTCGCTGTCACCGCCTGCTGTATCGGGGTGACTCGAGGTACTTCTACTAGTAGCTGGCAGAAAAAGCACCCCGCCAAACGATTTTCTGTTATGCGGTCAGATTGTTGTGCGTGTTGGACGCCGAGTCGCGAAGTCTCACACCCAAAACGTGGAGCGACTCTGAGGCTTCGTGACCGTCGTTCATCATTACGCGCCGGAAAAATCGAGTGCAGGCGGCATTGGCATTGTATGGAGTGTAGGACCTCTCCCATTGTCAGATTCATAATTAGGTAGCTGAGGTTGCCTCTGCAATGATACCCCGCCGCGAACCCTCAAGCTCCCCTTCAATGCTCTCATTATCGATTTATTAGACACCACCTCAACTCCCGGTCCTGATGACCACAGCCCCCCACCACCACCACAACGTCAACCGCTCCGTGACGGCTTCAGCATGACACATCCCGCGATTCCTCCCTCGCCCGAGACCGTCTGTCTGCGGCCGTTATGTCCACGCAACCTGGACGAAGCCTGGCTGGGCGAGCGCTGGGTTGACGCTGCCGTCTTTGCCCGCCAACAGCAGAAGTCAGCAAAGGACAAGAAGGACAAGAACTACTACCACGTTAGTGTATTGTTTCTACCTCATCACTTTGAAATCTTCGCGTTTTTCTCAATGATGTCGGAGGCATTATTCAGTCGATATTGTCGAGTTTAACAACTCAGCTTCTAGCCTGAAACCAAGCCATCGTCTATTCACTCGGGGGCCATACAAGCAGGCTCGTTGTAATTAATCATCTTGACAATACGGAGCGCAGGATTTGACATCGTACGGAAAGCTGACCGCACTTTTCTTCCAGGTTGTGGAGCTGGCTGCCTGGGCCCATGCACCAGACGAACGTGGCATCAATGGCCGTATCGCGGCCAAGGCGGCCGTGGAAGACATGGCTAAGCAGAACACCCCTATCGATGATGCAGCTTGTCTTGATCTCTACGAGTTTGCATGCTCTAAGGTTGCCCTCGACTACAGCGAGACCATTGGGCTGCTTCGGTCGAGATTCGTCAAAGCTCAACCCAAACTCAAAGCCTCGGCTCTCCGCTGCTTCGATGCTTGCCTCTGGCATCTTGACTGGGAGAATGCTCAGCAGGTAGGCTGTCTAGACGGTTAGCTTGGCACTCGACATGTTTCACTGACGACCTCAGATTGCGGCTTTGCTCGACAAGAAGTTTTCGGAGGACCGCAAGTTTCTATTTCGAAACATATTGACCACATATCTTGCCGCGGTATGCCGTGGAGCTATCTGCATTGCCACGGCGACTCGCTGACCAATAAGTAGTGCACTGAACGCTGCCCTGACAATAAGAAACAATTATTCCTGAGCCTGGCAAAGGCTCAAGCCGATAGGGCGTTCGATCTTCATGCGAAGGTGGTACTTTGAATACATCTCATCCGCGGTATGGTCTACTGACCATGCTTACCAGAATGTGGATGGTCAGGATTTGCACCCTAGAGCCGTCACGAACGAGACGGAACATCTCATGTGGTGTGAGCTACGCATCCTATGTGCTAAGCCAGAGGACAACCTGAAGCTCTTCACATCCTCCAAGTCTGGTCCACTTGCCTTCCTTGAACATGGCTTTGACCGATCTTATCACCAGACTATGCATTATCTACATAAGTCTGGTGCATGGGCTGAACTGTTCGAAATTGGACAGACAGTCGCCGGACGATCTGTAGCTATATATCAAGAGGAAGGGAAGGCCTATGCAGAAGCCGTACGGGCTATTCACCAGAACCGAAAGGACGGCGAAGATGAATCAACAACCGAAAAGGAGAAGGAACGGAAAAGAGCAGAAGTCATCCAGAAGTCTCGAGCTTCTCTGAGTACTAAAGACCGACGGTATGAGGAGGTGTGCTGTGACTACTTCCTCTGGAAAGCTATGGTCGTCGCAGCCAAGCACCAGTCTGATACCAACCAGTGAGTCGAGCCTGACGTGTGTTCTGCGCGTGGCCAATTTACTGATGTGACTAAGGAAGCTTGAAGAAACTCGCCAGCTGGCTCAAACAATGCTGGAAGCCAAACAGCAGGCGGAGGGCAAAGTGAAGTCTGTCTTTCGGAAGAATTTCCATCTTCTAACACTAGAGATCTTGTTTGCTCGGGCTTCCGAGACCGATGAGGAACTTGCCGATGGATCGGAGCAGACAACCCGGGTCGAGCGCCTCGAGAAGTACATCGACACGTACTACAAGGACCGGTCTTGCTTTGATGATATCAAGCCGTTTTTCTCGAGCCTCAGCAAAGACGAAGCGGCTATATTTCTCAAGTCGCTAGGCACTAGTGGTGATAAGGCGAGTGATTTTCCATTGGTCCCGAATTGACTAGACGAGCTGACTTCGTATAGAACGCCGATAACTTCAAGGGCTTGATGATACTCTCAATGAGGCTCAAGCTCCGTTTTCTGCAGGCCACATCAGCTTCAAGCGGCGAGAAATGCGATTATTGCTCCGAGATTTGCCAAGATACCAACTGTACGGGCTGTCTTAAGTCAATTGCTAAGGGTGCGCTTGACAACTTCAGTTCCGGTATAAAGGATGCAGATCTCCTCAGGGAACTGCAGGACACACAAGATGATCCGCTCTCGGATATGACGATGATCGGGTCTGTATGCCTCCTGAACCTCGCAGGAGTTGGCCGCGGATGCTGGGACCAAGGAGCAAGCTCGCCATTCTATGAGACCGACACCCAATACTTCTTGCAGGCAGTTACCTGGGTGGAATTATATGTGCGCATGATCCCAAGGAACGACCCTCTTCGTATGTTGCTTGTCAAGCTGTACCTCTTGATGGGTTGCGTATCAAGGGCCAAAATTCTATGGGACAGCTTCGGCGTCAAGAATGCCATCGTCAACTCTCTGGGCTCATTGTTCTTCGATCGCCTGTCGACGATTTCTCCCCGGGATTTCGTCAATAGCATCACTCCAACGGACAAGATACTCCGGGTTTTCTCGAAAGCGATCAGAAAAGACTTTCCAAACTCGATACGGCAATCTCTCCAGTACGACAACTACTGGAGCGTGGCCAAAATCACTAAGTCTGGGGAAGATCTTTCTCGTAGCTGTGCTTTAGTGATGGCCGTGGTGGAAGGACGGCGAGGCCTACGTTTGGGCAGTGATAAAGGTGGTGCTGTCATCGATGACGAGCCTCTCATCCGTAAGTGAACAGATGCTCACTCCGTATCTGAGCATGATTTCTGAACTTATATGGGTAGGAAACCACGCTCTTGAGCACCAGCTTATCGACAGTACCGACTACAGCTATCTGCCCGACTTTGGGGGACCCAACTCCAAGCCTACCAAAGAGCTGCTCAGCTATGGACCACCTCCATCGGTTAGCCTCTCCTGACAAGGCCCGGTTGTCTCTGGAAACTAAAATTTGATATAGCATGAACGCTCGCACCTTTCGATACTTGCAGAACGCTTTCTCGACTTTGTGTCTTGTGCACAGCCGAGAGATTACAAGCCACCCAAAAAGGGTCTGGCTCTTCAGTTCAACTGGGACTATGCCGTCACGACTTGCAAGCAAATAGAGCAGGGGATCGGTGTTGTTCTGCCGGCCGCTTCCAAGGACCACCTAACAGGTGCAGAGCGCTGGTACTATAGCGTGGTACTGAAACTTGCGGTGCTTGTGCGAACCATCCTCGACAATGCTATCACGACTCGCTCAACGGGTCAAGTACAAGAGACGGTCCGTTCTATCATTGTGGGCTTGCTCGATACGTTCGAGACGCAAACAAATGACCTCGTCAGTGTCCCCAACGATGCCCAAGCCAAAATCCAGACTGTCTATGGTGCAGCTCCTGTTCATGCCATGGGTATGGTTCGCGAATCGACCCAGGCTATCAAGCACACCGTTCGCTATGTAACGGCCGCCGTGGATAGGATCAAAGCTACCGACAAGACTAGAGGAGCAAGCGAGGCTGCGTGGCTGGGACCGGAATTGAAGAAGATGACCACTGCGGCAAGCGACGCTGAGCTGAAGGTGAAGGATCTCATCAAGCAGCTCAACTCCAAGGCCAGGACCGGCGGATGGGTCGACCGGCTGAACGAATGGACGTTCGGCGACAGAACTGCCCCGGCTGATCCCGAGGATAAGGCTTTCCGGAGGGACTTTGCCGACCAGCTTTCGAACACCATCCCTCGAACAGACCGTGAGTTTTGGGCGGATAGTGTCGCTACATCTTGGCAGGAGCTGTTCGAGGGGTGGAAGAAAGTCAAATGGGAGTGATCCATCCTCGATCTCTAGCTTCCCATCTGCTCCATCTCGAATGCTTGCTAAGCCGACACTTGGGCATGGTGGACGGAGCACCTTTCATCCAGCTGGAAAGACACCAGACCTACCTGATATCCTGTGCTACGGCCTGCGAAGCTACGTTGCTTGAGGATGGGGCATTCGAGGCTTGTGGGATACATCGCCAACCGGGGTTTCTCGTGAACCACGTTTGATATCATCCCAACATCCAGAATGGCACGTCTTGAGATATGTGCGGTAGACAAGTGCACATAATCAATAGAGGAATCATTTGACCTCTCTTGATCTAATCGTATAATTATGACGGGAGTAATGTCTGCGAATCAATATGCCTCTTCCATTCATGCTGACCATGGTATCATCCTTGGGTACGGCAGCTAGGCAGGGCCTAACTATATACCAGATACTTGGCCAACTCATCAGGGTCAAGTTCTCTTGTTGGCAAGGACTCATATACTTTCACCAAGCAAAACCCACGTTCTACGTCACCACAATTGATGAAACTCCTGCATAGGAGGTGCCCGACATGCACAACGTTCGGCATCTGGAGATGGGCAGTCACAAACGCATCTTTGAAGGCGAAGAAACCTCTCCTTGAAAGTCGAAGCCAGATTCACATATTTAGCCACATCTCCCAGCAGTGAACCAGGGCGCGAAAAAGAAATGGGGTATCTTGTCTCAACATATGCAGGCTAACCCGCTCGCACGCCATGAATCGTAACCCAAGCTCATTGCTCATTCCCGTTCCCATGCCATGCCTTTGCGCGTCCGTACGCGCTAACCTATAGACCGCAAATTCCGTCGTAATGCCAAGTGAGAAAAAGGCTCCGTGACAAGGCGCGAAAGACCCTGCCTATCCGTTCTGTTCGTCTTGTACCCGTGTTTCCACTGGGAGTATTGTCACCCCATCCCATGACTCTGATCAACCCGGACTCGACTATGTATTTCAAAGCCTCTCCCTGCCACTGCTGCTGGCACGCCGTCTCTTCCTGGTGGCGAATGCGCGCGTCTCCTCCTTCAGCGTGACCCAGACCCAGAGCCAGCTCAGCGCCTCGAGGAATGCAAAGGCGAAGAAGACGCGATTGCGCAGGCCGTCGCCGCCGCTCGCCGTGCCGTACAGGCTACCCAGGAACGGCACGTGGGGCCGCGACATGGACGCGCGCGCCGTAGATGCGGGCGTCGACACCCAGCTGAAGACGGCAAGGAGCCCGAAGACGGTGACGCGGGCGGGCGCTTGGCTCCCCCAGTAGTGGACCAGCCAGATCTCCTCGGGCATCGACAACGTGATGAGGTCGGAGAGGCCGACGACGAGCAGGACGACGGCGAGGAAGGAGGACGCGGGGGACGGGGTCGCGAAGTACTGTGTTTGCGGCTGTTGGTGTTCGCAGGCTCGTCAGCATGGACAACACACAGACCGACATTGGCGGGTTTCCTGTACGTACCATGCCCGTGGCCTCGCCCAAGAACCACACCAGGGCCTGCGAGGCTATGGCGTCGGGGTTTGTGAAGAAGAAGAAGGCCAGCGTGACGTGAAAGAGACACAGAGAGGTCAGAATGGTCATGGCGGATATGAGGGCCATCGTGGTCTCGTGGTCTGGTGGTCTGGTGGTCTGCGGTAGTACAGCCTACAGCCGACGGTGGCTCTGGTCGACTCCAGGTAGGTGTAAGTAGGGGTTCATCCAGGGTTGAAGGTAAAAGAAGAGAAGCCGGGCTTAGGAGATGCCAGCTACAGCCGAATGTCGACACGGGCTTGGAAGAGCACAAACGCGTTGCAACGTAATGGTCCAGCCATCGGGCGCATGTTGAGTCTGTCTTGGAGGTAGGTAAGGTACCTATTGGGCGCACCTACATGTCTGTATGTACATGTCTATGTCAGGTATAAAAGGGTCCAAGGTGCAGGTGGGCAGCACATGCACCCTGAAACAGTGAAACCCCTCCACCCCGCATCTCCACCCTCAAGCCACACCAACCCCGGATCTCGGTGCTCACGTGTCGGTGTGGCTCAGAAGCTACCGTGCTTATCAAATGCATGCAGTGTGCTGCGATAGAGGGGCCGAGGCCTGGGGGGACAGCCCTTGGAGGACGGGAGCTCAACGACTGGAAGCAGACCTATGTATACTACGCACCCACATCCCAAGGTCTGGGAAGCAAGGGCTACTACCTCCTGACTGCTGCTGGCAAATGGCTGCCGCTGATACCCTCGAGCCGCCGCTCGACACAGCTCGACACATCCGCTACTGGCAGCGCTGCTTCCGCTCGGTGCTCCCCCACCACTACACCAGCAACGACAGCATCCGCCTCACCCTGGGCACCTTCATCATCTCCGCCCTCGACCTGCTGTCCGCCTCCACGCCCGACGCCCCGATCATCACCTCGGCCGACCGCACGAGCCTCCGCGCATGGATCCTCAACCTGCAGCACCCGCACGGCGGCTTCTGTGGCTCGCCGCACCACGTCCTGCCCCGCCGCTATACCACGGCCTTCGACTGGGAAAAGGAGGTCGAGGTCGCCCGCGACCCGGCCAATGCGAACATAGCAGCCACATACTTTGCCGTGCTGGCCCTGGGCATCCTGGCCGAGGGTGACGGCGCCACCGCTTATGACGGTATCGACCGGGCCAGGACCCTCAGGTGGCTGAAGAAGCTCCAGAGGAAAGACGGCAGTTTCGGCGAGATCGTCACAGGTGATGGTTCTGTCGCTGGAGGTAGGGACATGCGGTATTGCTATCTCGCAGCTACGATACGCTGGGCGCTCGGGGGCGCAGAGGGCGGCGGCGCCCACGATTTCGACGTCGACGCCCTCGTGGGACACATACGGCGAGCCCAGGCGTTCGACGGGGGCATAGCCGAGAGTTCCACGCACGAGAGTCAGAGTATGCACCGGCCCTGTCCAAGCCCGCCCCCTTGACTTTGACGGTTTGATGCGATCCGTTCGTCGCGCAACGGGTGGCTAACATACCGACTTGATATCAGGCGGCTACGCATACTGCGCCGTGGCCTCGCTCGCGCTCCTCGACCGCGCGAATCCCGACCCGTTCGCGCCGCCCGACCACTACGTCCGCACCGGCATTCCCTCGATACCTGCCCTCGTCCACTTCCTCGTGCACCGCCAAGTCGCCTACCTCGACTCGGGCTCTGACGAAGACGAAGATGATGACGACAGCCCTAACCACCCTCTTCCCGACCTTGCCTCGCTCTCTTCTCCCGACCCGCCAGCACCACGGGTATCCGGCTTCAACGGCCGCCCAAACAAATTGGTCGACACGTGCTACGTGTGGTGGAACGCCGCCGCCCTGACGCTGCTCGGCCAGGGAGGCTTGATCGACCTCGAGCCCGTGCGACGCTTCCTAATAGAAAAGACCCAGCACCTCATCGGTGGCTTTGCGAAGCACCCGGGCGGCCCGCCCGATGTGTATCATGCCTACATGGGGCTTGCGGCGCTGGGGACCATGGCAGGTGATGCAGTGGAGCCAGGACTGGGGAAGTTCGATCCCCGGCTTTGTGCAGGGGCGGACGTGGCCGGCAAGATTCTGAAGGCGAGGGAGGCATTGATAGCTACGAGCCAGGATGACTAACAATATTCATCAGTGCGGGTGCCTGTGTTGGAGCGCCAGCAAGGGGAGGCTGCTGCATACATGATAGATACCCTTTTCATCAAACTCCACATCTCGTATTTGCCACAGTTGTGTCTCATGTCTCGGGTATCTACTATGAATCCCGAGGACCTGTGCCCTTCCTATCATGCGACCACACGCCCTTCCAAGGCCCGCCTCTCGACATCTAATACCAACGGCCCGCCACCGGGACCACTGGCGTCTAGACTGAGCGTCACACGCGCCCTATCCGCGATGACCCTGACCGTCTCGGCCATGTTCCTGTAGTCCGTCTCAAATTGTGCCATGACGCCACCTGCTCCTATCGGTGCTGCCGCCGGGCCCTCAATCGGCGTCTGACCACCACTGGCGGGCCCGACATCCGTGCGCACCTCCCGTATATCGACACCCGGGTATGGCAGCAAGCCCTCGCGCAGCGGGATGAGCAGGATGGGGATCTCGGCCTCCGTCTCGGCGGTGCTGCTGTGGCCGTTGCCGTTACCAACGGCCCCTGATGGCGCGGGTATGACGAAGTGGCCCTTGCGCCGGCCACCCAGTAGCCACGTGTCCTGCGGTGCTGATAACTCGTAGCTGAACTCGAGATCCTTCTGGTCTGACGGTGGCGTGGCCGTATCCCATATGCGCGTCCACTTCAGGTGCAGCGTGGCTGGGAGCAGCTGATGGGTGCAGACGGTCGGGGTGGCGGCGTCTAGAAATGAGACGGGGGAGGGCGGTGGTTGGAGGCGGATGTCGGCTGTGTGTACTATGGTGACTGGAGGAATGTCCACCGGGATCAGGATGGAGGTCGGTTCAGCTGGCTGCGACGTCGGCAGCACTAGTGCAGGGGTTTCAGCAAGCCATTTCTGAAGGAAAGCCCCGAGTATATCAGAAATATTGACACCGTCTGAGCTCTGACCTACGCCGGCAAAAGACCTCGCCCAATTGACGGTAGTTAGGAACGCCGTAGAAACCGAGCCCAGAAGGGAGGCACGTTCAAGCTCGAGTCCTGTCAAGTCGCTTCGCACACGGGGCAAAACAGTTGATGTAAGCAGTCGGGAGTAGCGGCGCAATGGGGTATCATGTAAAGCCTTGACCAGGGAATCCTCGACCAACGATTCGATGTCATCATGGAGGATGCTGTATTGTAGCTTGAGATACATCATTTTGGATGCTTTAGGGTGGGCCCTGGCATCGGCTTTTCGTATTGTCTTGTATAACAGGCTGGCGGGCTGTCGGGGGAATATCACCACTGACTGAGCAGGTGGGACGCCATAGTCGGACTCGAAGATATCAGACGCTACGAGTTCACTTTTGAACAACCGCAAGGGGCTGGGACTTGCAGTAGATACCGTAAAGCGGGAAAATAGCGCGCTGTGCTTGAAGACATCCTGGACATTGACGCCTAGCGCCAGACCGGTGTGGATGGTCGGTGTCTTGGAGAAGACGAAGGTGCCATGCTCGGTCACGTAGGACACTTCGATACGCACGGCTACGTTGGGTGTTTCCTGCTCGACCGTGTACGGAAAGCGAGCTCTTATAGTCGTCCTCGGGGGTATCGAATCGAAACAGAAGAGACCACCTTCTGGCGGGCGGCAAAACTTGATGGAGGAATGAAGGCATTGGGCCTCACTTGTGAGCAATCTCAAGCCTCCGGCAGCAGCCTTGACTCGTACTTCAGCGCTGATCACCTCGTTCCACCCCGTGTCTAACTCAATGTCCACTGTGTTGCTTTGGTCGAGTTGGATGTGCTTTGACGCATGGAGCTTGGCATCAAGCGCATCGGCCTGATGATAGACAGAGACATATGGGGACTTCAGAATGCTGCTGGCCCTATCTAGGGGGTAGCCAGTCTCACGTTCATAGTGGAAGCACAAGTTGCTGGCTATCAAGTCGATCTTATCGATCTCATACGAGCCTGGTATTGCAGCCTATTGTCATTGGTTAGCCTGAAACCCCCAAAGATGTTATGAGGATCCTACATTGCTGATGAGCTTGAGTTTGCTGCTCCCCGTTCTAATCGTGATGGGACCCTCTTGCTCAAGCCAAATCTCCCTCTGCAGTCTGGCAGTCGTATTCACGATCCGTAATTTTGCGCTTTCGAGCTTCAGATCGTCCACAAGCAAGCTGCTGACTTTCAAGTTGATCGACACGCTGTCCCGTCCTAGATGGTACTCTGGAGGGCCGTCGACTTCAACGCTGGAGAAGAAGTTTGAAAGGGGCATTCGCACCGCGTTGGGGAGCGCCTTTGCCTCCACGAGTAAGTCGTGCAAAAACCCTTTGATTGCTTCACCCTCGGGATAGTCCGCCTGCTGCTTCTTGCCGATTCTGAACGACGACTTCGCAAGCTGGCGATCCCGCTCAGCGGCAGCGGCTTTGGACAACAGCTTCAACAAGACCTTGACATATTCATCCTTACGCTCAAGCTGCTTCAGACATTTTGAGTACATCACAAGCATCGACAATTCAAGGAGGCTCCATCCGCTCTCCCCAAAGAATGGAGTGGTCCTCCAGAAGTAGGACGCGGCAGAACCATAATCACCCAAATGGTATTTTAAGACCGCAAGGTCAGCCATACTGGCTTGGATGGAGTGCGTGTGGTTCGCAACTGTGTAGTGCCGGAGGGCTTTGTCGGTGAGGATCTCATATAGGCGATAGAAATCTCCGCTGTTATCCAGCGCGGTCTTCAGCAATCTGCTGTCAATGCCGGATAAGAACACGACTGGTTCGTGTCTACCCGGCGCTGCGTCCTCCCCACCTGGGCTGCCTTCTTCCTCTCCGAGATCTATTTCCACCATGTCGACCATAGTGGACTCCCCAATGACTGGGACGTTGGCCCATCCGTCGTTCCATCCGCGCTTCTTGCCACGTTCCTCGAGAATATTCCTGGACAGCGCATAGAGTTCCGCTCTTCTAGCAGCGAGCTCCTCCAAGCCAACCTTCAAGTATGTCGACTGTGTGCCTTCGTGGTCAGGCAAACTCATCCGTCGACCCGGGAAGGCATTGGGACTAGGTGGTGGGCGGGTTCCGCCGGCTCCGCCTCGACGCACACTTAATGATGAGGTTCTAGCTGGGTGCATCATGGTCTTTGGCTCAGGTATCGCCGCTTTCGGCTCATGACCGTCTGGCGATGCCAAGGTAGAAGGAGGAATTGGTAAGGCTTTGGTGGAAGTTTGGGCTAGAATCTGCTGCGCAATAGAAAATGCAAACGAAGCTACCAAGTTGTCAACAACCTCACGAACAAGAGGGTCGTCTTGTATGGTGGCAGCGTCGCTTTCACCAGTATTGGACATCTCTGAAAGTGCCGAAAGAACGTCCCTTCTCATAACTTGAGAAACTGACGGGATGAACTCCAGCGTCCTTCGACATATCTCAGCAAGCATCGGCAGCTCTTCCAGTACGTTTTCTTTGTGCTTCGGCGGGGGCGCTCTAGGGGCAACGCCATGCAACACAGACTCTTGCTGCTCACGCAGTTTGGCCAATAGCTCTTCCCTGGTAGACCAGGCATTGCCAAGTCGAAGGAGGAGGGCTATCTGCCTTGCAAAGATGTAGCATCGGAAATCAAAGACCGAAACGTTATTGGCGACAATCATGTCGCGATAGGGCTTCTTGTTGGAACTAATCGGGATATCATCGTAAGCATCCTTGGACTGAGCGCTCGCTGCCTGGGACGACTGCAAATCGACGAGTTCATCTTCTTCGGTCTCTGTCACGGCAACGGCTGCTTTGGCCTGGAGCGCAATTTGTTTCAACTCTTCAGTATACCCCAAAAGCGCATTGGCGGCCGAGCCCGATTCACCCAGAGGCTGGTCCTGAATCATGTCAAGTCCGACGCTGAGCTCATCGTAGCCCACCAGCGCGTCCTCAACTAGGCCAACGCTCTCGAAACCCCGGGCAAGTCCCTCCTTCAGGATGAAGAATGTGCAGAAGTTCCACCCAGGCAAAGCCCTCTGTGCATCTTTTTCCTTGATGTCCTCCTCGTACTGGCTCACGCGCAGGTCGAAACTAGACAAGATCAAGCCCCGGAACTTAGATAGCAGGTCGGTCCACGAGTTCTCCGTCTCCTGATCCGTTTCCGTGTAGCCACTGGGTACCGCCGGCACAACTCGAGGCAGGATGTCGTATGGGACGTCATTAACCCCGATACGGATCTGCGCGATGCGATCCGTGCCACTCTTACTCGAGGTATTAAAATCAGACCTCAGTTTCTCGAGGAGCGTGCTAGATCCTGGGCGCCAGCGCGACGCAGCTGATGTCTTGTCGGTCCCAGAACCCGAATCTGACTTCCGAGGCTGCGTCGCGGCAACGGTATTGGGTATTACGACGTGGACAATCAGCCATTCGAAGGCATCGTGGTTCTCGGCCGTGTTGACCTTCTTGGTGCTCGATGGCGGCGTGTTTTCCTTGAGCCAATCCCGAATCTCCTGCCTGACATGCCCCTTGTAGGTATCGTTGTCGTCGCACCGTACCAGTAGCACCTTGAGATAGGGGGTCCGTCTCAGGCCTGGGATCTGATGTCGCCGCGTAGGCAGGCTCTTGCGGTGCGAAGTCTGCTCAACCGCGATAGACAATGGGGTCGCTGGCGCCCCAATCTGCGTCTGGAAGCCATCGTTTTCGGGTCGCTGCGGAAGAACAGGCGGAGACGACAGCGGCGAGGTTGTGGAGCTCTTGTCGCCTGCTGCAAGTAATTCGACATGGAGGGTGTCGATAGACCGCAAGGGACCGGCATGCGACTGCCAGTGAAGATTGCGCAAGGGGAGTCGGGGTACTAATCCTGGAGCTAGGAGCTTGAAGACTCCATGGGGGTCGAAATACTCGACTGCGCAAGTCAGAATGTGTCACACGTCAAGCATGGAAGCGCAGCACGGTACCTGTGACTTTGGAAGTCGAGAATGGCTGTTCCATGGCGAACAGCTGCAGAACTGGCTCATGACTTCATGACGGAGCCAACTGATGCCCTGCTATTGTCGTGAATGCGCCGAAAAGGCTTGTCCGGCTAAGTTCGTTGCTGTTTCTGGGGCAAGATCTGTGGCAGGCTGTACTGTCTGGCCACCGTATGTCCGCGATGTGTGTTTGTTACGGATAGGTGTATCTACCTCCAGCTCAATCGCGCAGCTGGCAAGCTGTGTAAGGGCAATCTTGCCAGCTGCCGACCATCTGCTCGGGGGAACCACTCTTGCCACTGTGCTGTCCCGGTGGCGGGGCCGGGTAGCGCCGGCCCGGGGCGAGTCCCGGCAGAGTTTGAGTTCGAATTTCTCCATCATCTAGATCTCCATCATCTAGATCTCCATCAAACCTACTTTGTTACTATACTAATAAGACCTTTTGCACTTTTGAGGCCATTCTGTATTGTCGAGCTTGAGTTTCTATTTCACTTTGACTCCTATCTGAGGGGTGACGTCTTTCACCTGGCCTCATACCCGTCATACCTATTGCACAAGACAAGACATACGCCCGTCGGGACTCCTGAGTCGCAACTAGAACTTTGAGAAGTCTGTAATCTGAGATTCGTCAGAAACTACGGTCATGTCTGGCCTCCAAGCGATCCGGTACACCAGGGGCAAGCTGGACGTGCTTGACCAGCTCCGGCTGCCTCATGAAAACCATTACGATCAAGTTTCAACGAGCGAGGAGGCTTTCGACTGTATCAAGTCGATGAGGGTGAGAGGTACGGTACTGTATTCTTAGCTACGGAGAGGCAACAAAGACGAAGTCTTACCTTGGTCTCACAGGCGCACCGGCGATTGCCATCGTAGCAGCCCTGGCCCACGGCGTTGAATTACACAATGGGAGTTGCAGTAAGAGCCCCTGGATTCCTGTTCTAGGAAGCCCATTTGAGCCCTGACAGGTTCCTAGAGGCATCGACATCCGACGAGGCGATTGCATACATCGACTCCCGTCTGGATTACCTGAAGGAATCTCGGCCAACGGCCGTAGATCTCACCAACGCCATCACGCATCTGAAGAACACCATCCGCTCCGTTGACGTCTCCGGGAAGGACAGCTCTGCAGCGCGCTCCGCCATCGTGGACGCCTACATCGCGGCAGCAGAGGAAATATTTCGGAAGGATACCGAGACCAATCTACTTATAGGGGAACACGGCAGCAAGTGGCTACTCGAGAATGCCCCAGTCAAATCCGCCGACGGCAAGGTGTCCGCCTTGACGCACTGCAACACCGGCTCCCTTGCTACGTCCGGCCACGGCACGGCACTGGGCATAATACGCTCTCTGCATACCGCGGGCCACTTGTACCACGCATTCTGCACCGAGACCCGGCCGTATAATCAGGGAAGCCGTCTCACAGCGTTTGAGCTGGTTTACGAGAAGATCCCGTCCACCTTAATCACCGACTCCATGGCCGCCGCCCTGTTCGCCACCAAGAAGTCCGAGAAGCATATTGCTGCCGTCATCGTGGGAGCTGACCGGGTCGTGCGCAATGGAGACACGGCCAACAAAGTCGGCACGTATGCCCTGGCGGTACTGGCCAAGTACCACGGCATCAAGTTCATCGTGGCAGCGCCAACGACGAGCATTGACCTGCAGACCGTTTCGGGGGCGGACATCCAGATCGAGGAGCGCAAGCCAGAAGAGCTGACACAGATCAGCGGTGCGGTCGTCGGGAAGGATGGCAAGGTGGACGTACATCGGAGCGAGAGGGTGGCGACGGCGCATCAGGAGATCGGGGTCTGGAATCCGGCGTTCGACGTGACGCCGGCAGAGCTGATCGATGCTGTCGTCACAGAACGAGGCGTGGTCGTCAAAGTTGGGCGTGGACAGTTTGACTTCAAGGGCATCATGCCGGAGAGGTGGGCGCATGTTGTCGGGCAGTGAAGAATGATGGAGGTAACCCCCTTTTAAGTCAACAACGCTACCCCCGGCCCAGCCCAATGCAAGACAACTGAAGCCGGGGCCGGGCGATAAACAACTTCACTAAGCATAGCGGTGTCTACCTCCCCCACCACATAGAGTAAGAACGCCATAAAATCTCACCACTTCCTTAGGTACGGCTCGCTGTCACTCGTCACCATCTCAAGCTATTGCTTGTCGCCAGCAGACAATGGTATCATAATCGTGATTGGGATGGGCACACTGTTATAAGCGTCAAAAGTAGTACATGACATCAGAGCTGCTTAGTCCTGCATGCTTGTTCCAATACTTTAAAATCTTCATAGGTGATCTTAATCTCATCAAGGTGCGCGTAACGGAGACTTCTAAGCCCTGGCTGAGATCTCAGCTCAGAGCTGTCGCGGATAGGGGTAACCTGTCGCCAAGCCACCCGTGACCCGACACGGGCAACGCCACAGGAAGTTATTACCTAAGTACCTAGGTAAGTTACCAAGGTTAGCACTGCAGCACGGACTCACAACATACAGGTGAACCACTGATCAGTGAGCGGCCCCCGGGCACAGATGCCAGACAGTCTGACAGTGCAGGCATCAGCCCTGAGATGGCTGATTTCCAAGGTCGGATGGATCCCCAAAAAACCAAACCTCCAGCAATAATAATAACCGGATAACCTCCCATCGGCCGTCAACGTCTTGCCAGTCTGCCTGGTCGTGCTTTGTCCCCAGAATTGTTGTATTGCCTACCTCTGTATCGTTGCCTTCAGTTTAATAGACTCTGCCTTTGCGATTTTGTCACGATATACCTCTGAGATTGCACAGCGAGCGTGTTCAACCTAAGGTACCTACCTACCTACCTTCGTTAATATTCAACCACTGCACCGACGACGTCTTGTGGCCCACCGAGTCTTTTCACCGTCCCCGTCACTATTATTAACCTTCCCGTCACCATCACCGACCTCCGACGCCGACCACCGACACCGACACCGACAGCTACCTAGCCAGCTACCTCACCTACTGCTACCTCGAAACGGGAAGCCGAGACATATTCACCGCAGGAAGACCCCCGGCGAGCCGAATCCGATTCTTCACGCGCCAGTCCGTATACCGAGTAGCACTGTCGCATTCCGGGGAGAGTCACAAGTCCGAACCACGTCGATTTGGCGTCACTGTTCCTGCCGACCTGACGCGATTCGGTCGACACATCCATGAGCGATAATCCCTGACCAGGCGCCGACCGCCATACCCGGAGCGCACTTCTCCAACCACCCTTGTCCCTCCAGCTCGTGTCGGCACCACAGACTGAAGCTGGAGATCAGCCGGTCAGGGTCTGGTGTCCCGGTGGTAGAGGGCAGTGCCGAGCCGAAGGGTCGCCGAGGGACATGCAGACGAATAAAGGCAAGGCCGAGGCGCTAGGAAGAAAGGCAAAGGTCAGTGAATACAGCTACGCTGCCCTCGTCGGCCTAGACTGTCAAGGCGTGCGACGTGCAGGGGATGCTTGGGTGCTGACCGGTCTCTCGTCTGTAGCTTGCCAATTCGTACCAAGAACTACTCGAGTAAGTCCAATGCATAGGTGATGGGCGATGGGCGATGGCTTGCTGGATAGGGTGAACATGACGCTGATACTGTTTCTTTTTCGCAGTGAATTCTCAAATACGGATCTTAAGAATGTTGGGAACTATTCGCTAGGGAGGCTCATAGGAAAGGGTTCCTTCGGAAAGGTCTACCTGGCACATCATAAGCTCACCAACGGCTCCAAGGTATCTCTCTCGCCCTTGCCATCCGCCGCCTTTCAAGTGTCGTATTTAACGGCAGCAGGTCGTTCTCAAATCAGCCAAGAAGGATGATTCAAACCTGGCGCGCGAAATCCACCACCACCGGCAATTCGTCCACCCTCACATTGCCCGCCTGTACGAGGTCATTGTCACCGAATCTATGGTGTGGCTCGTCTTGGAGTACTGTCCTGGTATGCAACGCGCTGCAGCATCGCGAATGCTTGGTTGACTGACTCCTTGCTAGGTGACGAGCTGTATAATTATCTCTTGGAACACGGGCCTCTTCACGTTGATAAGGTGCAGAAGACGTTCACACAACTCGTTGGTGCCGTTTCGTATGTCCATCAGCAATCCTGTGTACATCGCGATCTGAAACTGGAAAATATCTTGCTTGACAAACATGAGAACGTCAAGTTGGTTGATTTCGGCTTCACCCGCGAGTACGAGGGCAAGTCGAACCATCTGCAGACCTTCTGTGGCACCATATGCTATTCAGCACCAGAAATGCTCAAGGGGGAGAAATACGCCGGAGAGAAGGTAGATGTTTGGAGCTTGGGCGTAATTCTCTACGCGCTACTCTGCGGCGAGCTACCTTTCGACGACGATGACGACAACGTCACGAGGCAGAAAATATTGTCGGAGGAACCGAAGTACCCTGACTATCTTCCCAGCGATGCCGTTGCGCTGATCAAATCTCTTCTCTCGAAGAGGCCACTGCTGAGGCCGGCATTGCCCGACATCCTGTCACATGCCTTTCTAGCAGAACATGCACCGCAGCAACAGGCAATACTGAAGCTGCACCAGCCACTGCCGTTTGCTACAGCTTTGGAGAAGGAATGCTTGGAACGGATGCGCAGTGCTGGAGTGGATATAGATGCTGTGATAGAGAGTGTGCTGGCTCAGAGATGTGACGCTCTGGCTGGTTGGTGGACCCTGCTGCTCGAAAAGGAGGAACGAAAGTCCCGAAGACGGGAGAGGAGGCGCAGGGAGAGAGAGGCCGAGAACAGGAACTCGCGTCGCTTCTCGGCGGCATCCAGCAAGCTTGAGCGCATGGCCCCTATTCTTGACGAAGATCCAACTGGGGCAGGGATCTATCGACTTGGGGAGTCGTCTTTGCCTAGAACACGTGGGCGCCCGGAAAGGAGAAGCGCCCACTATGCCGAACTTGCCATCCCAGACCTGCCCAATCTGCCCGAGTCCCGCGAACGGGGCACCTTCAGTCCCGACACTGCGACGCCGCCGCCACCCATCGACAAAGACTCGATTCGTTCGGTCAGCTCGTCTCGACATCGTCGGCCCATACCACCTCCCAAGGAGGGCATTCTCCGAAGCGCGAGATCTAGAGGCTCCACGCTCCATCTTGTGACTACTTCGGACGCACTGGGCGGCCATGGCGTACGCGAACAATCCGCCCCCCAGAAAGTCCGCAAAAAGCCATCACAGGCCATCGTGGCTACCTGGAAGAATTGGACTCACTGGATCGTGGAGAACACAAGGAGGCATAAACCAAACAAACGAGGGAGTCAGTCTACGCCTAATCTGGTCCACAAAGACGGCCAGTCGGGCGGAAAGGGCTCCAAGGAGGCCAGTCCGCGACCGCATACCAGTAAATATCCTGCGTCGGGATCGGGTCAGGTCATAGCCAGTGGCCAGAACTCACCGGGCCTACTCAACGGGAACGCTAAGGACCCGAGCAGGTTGGGTGGGAATCCGTCCAAGAAACCCACGCCAGCGCCGATATCGACCTCTTCTCACCCAGGAAGTCGGCTGGCCTCGTCGACAAGTTATAAGCGCCAGTCGTTGTCGCCTGTCCCTTTAACGCCCCGATCCACGGTCCGCCGCACATCCACGGGGCTTCGGGGACGGAAATCGACCTCGTCATCACTGTCCTCTATTCGAACTATGCCACATCACCATCACTCGCATTCCAAGGCCAGCTCGACCAGCTCCAACGGATCTGTGTCGACAACAAAGACGCCGCTCGGGACGGGGCGGTCGCCACACCACTCGGTGAAAGTTCTTCCAGCTACACCGACCAGCACATCGTTCCCGTCCAACATTCGTCTAGTGCGCGGCCCGGCACTGAGCTTGAATTTTAACGAGGGTATGCCCTCTGGCGGGTCGTTGGCAAACAATCCGCCTGGATCCCCGAACCCGTTTGGGCCAGGAAGCCCGTCCGTGTTGTTCGCCAAGCGGAAGCGAAGCATATTTAAGGGGCCCACGCTATCGATCGGCAATTCATCTGGAGGACGCAGCGGTACAACGTCCAGCAGTCACAGCCGGAGCGCGAGCGCCAGTGGACTAGGGAGGAGGAGCGGCGAGATCACGATTCAGGAGGAAGACGAGGAAGCGGCGGAGTTTAAGGGCGAAGAGGACGTCGAGGAGGTGGATCAGTTCTCCCCGATCATTCGAGGCCCGGGAGAGAAGATCGAGGAGATATACGAGGGCGAAGGTGAAGATGAAGGCGCAGGCAATGGCCATGCTGTCGGACTAAGCGTTGGCGCATCTGGCCATTGAGAGGAGAGACCGAATGATACCCTGGAGATACTGTAGCATGTATTAACTAATACCGTACTTGAACAACACACGAGCATGGCCGAGCCACCAGAACTTCCCCCACCTCACGGAGTTTGTCGACGAAGACCGCGAGTGTGGCTATATGCACGGGGCCTCGGCGTGTGTTGGTTGGAAAGACGGCGACTTTGTGAAAGCGACGACATAGGTATGAACAATGTAATACCTCCGTTGACCCACCGAGCTTTCCAAAGCACCTACGCCCGCGTTCATTCATATGGAGATCCCGTCTCGTCCAAGGACACCTCTAGCTGCCGGCAATAGGCGGAGGGCATAAGCTGGAGCTCGTAGCCCCCACCTCGGACTGCCCATTATCGTCCCGAGATAAGGAATAGAACGGAAACACCCCCGGCCAGGTACCATTCGGGACATCAATCAGCGGCGTTTGTTCGAGCAGCAATTGGCAGTACCATATTTGGAACCATATTCGAGGGACGATGAAGCTCACCAAGTTCGTCGCCCTGCTGTTCAGTAGCTCCGGAGCTCTAGGGCCGGAGCCCATCGCGCAGAAACCCCTCCATCCACCGCATGCGTCGACTCCCTCCGCCTCGCCCGAACCCAATGCCCCGGCCTACCGCGACGCCCTCGTTTCCCTGCACAAGTCTCTGGTCGACATCTCGTCTGTCACCGGCACCGAGAATGAGGTCGGAAGCTTCCTAGTCGAGTATCTCACCGAGCGGCACTTTGTCGCCCAGCTCGAGTTCCTTCCGACCAACGACACGCGGCCTTCGAAACCACGCTTCAACGTCCTCGCCTGGCCGGGCCCCAACCGTCACCCGTCACCGAGCGTCCTTGTCTCCAGCCACATCGACACCGTGCCCCCGTTCATCCCGTACTCGCGCTCCGACCACGTGCCCAACGCCGACACCGTCATCGCGGGCCGGGGCAGCGTCGACGCCAAGGCCAGCGTCGCAGCCCAGATAACAGCCGTGTTGGAGCTGCTCGACGCCGAGAGCATCGATGCCGAAGATGTCATGCTGCTCTTCGTCGTGGGGGAGGAGCGCACCGGCGACGGCATGCGGTACTTTTCCGACACGGTATCGTCGTTGGACCCGCCGCCCAACTTCAAGGCCGCCATCTTCGGCGAACCGACAGAGGGCAAGCTCGCGTGTGGCCACAAGGGCTTCTTTGGTTGCACGGTGACGGCACACGGGAAAGCCGGCCACAGCGGGTATCCGTGGCTGGGCAAGAGCGCCACCGAGATCTTGATGAGGGCCATGGTCAAGGTGCTGGACACGGACCTGGGAAGCAGCGACGACTTCGGAAACACCACGATCAATGTCGGCACGCTCGAGGGCGGCGTGGCCGCTAATGTCATCTCGGAGACGGCCGTGGCGCAGATTGGTGGCCGCGTGGCCATTGGCCCCGAGGCCGATGGTGGCAAGGTCGTCGTGGAGAGGCTGCGTGATGTGCTGGAGAGTGTGGACGAGGACGCGTTTGATTTGTCATGCACGAACGGCTATGGAGTGGTCAAGTGTGACTGCGACGTTGACGGTAATCCCCCCTGTCCTTCTTCTGCTCCGTCGTCGACGAACTGGCTGACACTGGCTGACACTGGCACAGGCTTCGAGACCATCACGGTCAACTATGGCACGGACGTGCCCAACTTCAAAGGTAACCACACACGCTACCTGTACGGCCCAGGCACCATATTGGTGGCACATGGCCCGGACGAGGCCATCAAGTTGAAGTATCTGGAAACGGCTGTTGAAGACTACAAGAAGCTCATCTTGCATGTACTTCAAGGATAGGTGTCAACAGAGCCAAACATGTACTGGGTGTTCAGTACTCTACTATATGTGGTAGGGTAGGTAGACACCGCTATGCTTATTGGACTTGTTTATTGCCCGGCCCCGGCTTCAATTGTAGTTGTCTTGCATTGGGCTGGGGTAGCATTGTCTATATAAATACGGTAAGGAATTTGTAGGTTTTTGTGGCGTCCCAAAGGCAGGCGCAGGCGGGGACAGTCTACTTACATTGGATACCCCTAAGGTGATTAGTAAGGTATGGGGTAATACAGTACGTGGGCCGAGGAAGGAACGTCACCACTTGGGCGAGTCAACTTATAGGTACCTAGGTAGTTATCACCTGCTTGCCTGGCACACCTGCGCTTCTCAATATACGGTGGACTGATCGAGATCCGATCATTCGGAATGTTGATCACGGAACCCGACGGGCGAAACGGGCACGTCAGCCTTCTCATTCTAGGAGCCGGCTGGACGTCCACCTTCCTCATCCCGCTGCTTGAGCGTGAGAAGATCAAGCACGCCGCCACGACGACAGACGGCCGCGATGGAACCATCCCCTTCAAGTTCGATCCCGGCTCGGACGACCCGTCGCAGTTTGACGCACTGCCCGACGCCAAAACGGTCCTCATCACGTTCCCGCTGAAGGGCACCGGGCCGGCCGCCCAGCTGGTCAAGATGTACTCGGCGTCGCATCAAGGCGGCAACAAGCCCAACTTCATCCAGCTGGGCGTGACCAGCGTGTGGACGGCGCTCACGTGGCAAGACGAGAACTCGCCCTACGATCAGCAGAACGCCCGCGCAGTCGCCGAGGACGAGCTCATGGGGAGTGCGAAGGCTTCCGTGCTCAGTCTCGCCGGACTCTACGGCGCGGCGCGACAGCCCAAAGACTGGGTGGACCGCGTGGTGAAGACCAAAGAGGACCTCAGGAACAAGGGCGCCTTGCACGTCGTCCACGGCGTGGATGTCGCCAGAGCCATCGTCGCCCTCCACCGGAACTTCACGCCCGGCAAGCGCTGGCTTCTGTGCGACATGCACGTCTACGACTGGTGGGACTTGGTGCAGGACTGGGCGATCCAGACCCTGCACGCCGCCGAGTACGGCCAGCCTGGAATCGTGTCCGAGGCCAAGGCTATGCGGCAGAAGGAACTGCTTTCTTGGGTCGGTGAACTGATGATGGAGGAAGGCGTACGCGCTCTGCCAAGGGACACGGCGTCCGTCGGCCGCAGGCTGGACGGGAGGGGCTTCTGGCACAAGATGGGCATATGGCCGTCGCAAGGGCGCATCAGATAGGCAATAGGCAAACACCACACTGATTGTTCGACCATAGAGATTCGGCATCCAGGCTTATTTCACCGTCACATCTGCTTGTGCATAGAAGTATTAGATAAATCAACAGGCAAACACGTCTAGCTAGTCTAACACATGCCAACGCTTAGGTAGTAGGCTCTGTCCAAACACATATCATCCACGGTGATTGACCATTATTCGGTTGGCGAACTTCCTAGTCTTCTTTGTGAATTTCAACGCCCGGCGGCGCGCCCGTGAGCGCCTTGCACTGAGCGTAAATGACAAACTGGCCCGACACCAGACCACATGTCATCAGTACACGGGGACCGAGACCAGACAGCAGTAGACGTTTCGGACCGAACTCGCGTGCCAGCGAGAACATCCTAGCCGTGGCGCCTTGTTTGGGATCGCCCGAGCCCTTGTTGATGGCCGAGAGCAGGGTGTCGGCCGGGTGTGAGAGCACCGCTGCCGCCGCACCGGCAATGATACCCGAACTCAGCTCCACGCCGGTGGATTCGAGCTGTGTCAGCCTGGCCTTGCGTTCGGAACCAATGGTGCGGTATATGGCCTCGACTGCAGCCTCGTGGACGGAGAACTGGCCAACGGCATAGGGAACCTGCTTGAAGAGCAAGGGGACGAAGCCCGAGTAGAAGCCTCGGAGACCCTCTTCCCTTGCGAGACGCATGAAGCCCGGCACGAGACCCGAAGCGAAGCCCCGCTGGGAGACGAGCCGGATGCGGGTGGCCTCGAGCGGGCAGAGGGCAATATCGGCAAAGAACTCGGCGGCGGCACTGGCGCCGAGGTAGATAGCGGTGCGATGTCGCGTTGCCTTCTCCTGCGACCCGGTCCAGTCGATGAACTTCTTCTTGAAGTATTCGTAGCCGGCGAACTTGCCACCGCCTTGCACCAGGTAGCCGACCGCGGTGGGACCGAAGCCGGTCAGCAGGGCCGACGCACCCTCGGCGGCGACGATCTGGCGCGTGGCGCGGACCATGTTCAGACCTTTCATGGCGTCGTCAACCTGGATGCGCGTCTTCACGACATCGACGGGGGTTGCGGCCTGTGCAGCACGTTAGATCTCTGTGTACTCCGTATGAGGTGCGGAAGACGAGGCTTACGCCGTGCGTCGCCGTGGCCGCCAGAGCGCCGGCACCGAAGAACTTGGCATAGTCGCTTGCCGAAAAGGTGGGTGTGATCTGATTCGGTGAAGACATGCCGAGAGCAGGTGTGGCAGAGAGTCGTGACGAGATACAGCCGGTGAGACTGCCCTTCCCGTCGTCTGTGGGTGTTTGGGAGCAGATGGGGGATTACTCGGCGACCGTACAGTATTCTAGGTAGATACTTAATCAAGTAGGGTGAGGCAACAACACAATGCTGGGCAAAGTAGGTAGGCACAACTGAGGCACGCAGCAGGCAGATGTTTAAAATCAGGATGATGGAACTCAGATTCGGGTTTTCACGATGTCTACCTTATGAAGTAAGATACGAACCGAGTCACTCCACGACGGGATCCATGCAATCCATGCAATCCATGCAGGTGGACATTGCAGAAGCTCGCGACTCGCGCCGTAGCTGTGACGTCACCACCGCGGACCACGACCACGACCACAAGTCCAAGCTAAAGGAATATTAGTAACAACCTTGGAACCTGGCAGCTGGGACGAAGTTGAGTTCCCCGTTCCTGTTCCCGGCATTCCGGCTCCTCTTCCTCTTAGTACTCTTCCTTTTGATTCGCCAAATGGCAATCGATAGATGGATACGGATACCTCTAGGTACCTAATCACCAATCAGGGGCCGATCGAGCACGGATCGCTCGGGCGTAACAACTTACACGCTGTCGCTCTTCGGCGCTCCGGCATTCCAAGGAATGGCCGACATCGGGAAGTGCTGTATGCCATACTGCTTGTCATCATGGTCCCTGCGGTAAGGATCCGGAATGGCAACGGCAACGCCTTGCGTCTCGATCACCCACCCCGGATGATCGGATCTGCCCGGATGGGTCTACCGTTGCTGAAACATCCATCAGTTCAGGGGCAGGCAGGCGGGCTCTGTTAAGAAGTTCATCATCCACCTCACGCCTTCGACTTGACTCTCTGGCCGTCCAACAGCACAATGCCTCTCGAGCTGCCAGTCTTCACCCTCGCCGACGCCGCCGTCTGGTCAAGCTGGTTAGCTGGGAGCGCCGCAACGTCTAGAGGCAGACGGTCTGGCTGACCCTGGCCAAAAAGGGCGTCGCGACTCCCAACGTCGCTGACGTATGCTCAAGCACTCGACGAGGCCCTCTGCCACGGCTGGATCGACGGCTAGGTTCGCAAGGGCGACGCAAGCACCTACGCGCAACGGTTCACGCCCCGCACCACCGCCAGGAGCACCTGGTCGCAGCGCAACGTCGCCCACATCGCGCGTCTCGAGCAGGAGGGCCGCATGACGGGCTCTCGGACGCCAGGCAGTGCGACGCGGCGAAAGCGGACGGGTGGTGGCATGCCGCGTACGCTGGCTCAGTCGACGGCGGAGCCGCCCGCCGAGTTCCCGGGCGCGCCCTCGCTGCGGTCCCTGCGGCGCAGGCCATGTACGATATCTGCACCAAGCAGAACCGTTTCGCCCCATCTACTTCCGGCTCAACACACTGAAGACGCAGGCAGGCCGGGAAAAGCGCATCGCCGCATTTGTCGAGATGCCCGCACGCGGTGAGACCATGCACCCGCAAAGGCAAAAGCAGAAGCAGAAGCAGAAGCAGAAGCAAGCACAAACGGCAAAGGCGCCAACTGCTCTCGCAGGAGCCACGGCTACAGCCCCGAACGCTCGTGTGTCACGCGCTCCAGCGTCCCACGACGCTGGTGACGTACGAAGGTGTACCCGCCTATCGAAGATGACTGCGGGTTCTTGAGTGTTAGAATCGGCTTCGTGGCCGTGGACGGCGAGAAGCGGAGGGATATTAATCTGCGCAATGGAACCCACTGCTGTACGGGGTGATCGGGAAATATCTGTTTGGCACGTCTCGGCACGAGGCTTCGAGGTGACGAGTATCATTAGTCGACCCAAAACTTTTGGGGTTGGGGGGGTTGGGCGAGACTTGTAAGTCCCCTGTGCTCGAGACATCGGATACGTCGTTGCTGTGATCCGGCCCTGTGGCGTACGGTATGGACTCGGGCCATCCAGCTTTTGATGTCAGGTTGAAACCCAATTATTAGTAGGGAGTTCGCCCTGTTGTTCAAATACCTATGTGGCTTACTGTGCTCAATTCACTATACTCACTACTTCAGACATGTAGGGGGTACTCTCCTAGAGCAAACTCTGACAGGCTTGGCGGAGCATACCTTGAGCCTTCGAGAACAGGTTTCATCCGTCGTGTTCCTTCTGAACCTCTTCAAACGCCGATTTTGACAGCAAAAGCAAGCTACCGCTGGCTGGGTATCTCTAACAATATAAAGCAATGCCTTTCTTCTCCGAAAGGGAGCACAAGCTGCGGTCCATGACCAAGGTTTCTTTCACAATGCTTGTGAGGCATATGTTGCCTCATCTTCTGCCTTGTCGAGTGTTAACCACAATTGTTCCATCCTCTTCCAAACAGGGCTGTTCCGGTTCTCATTGTGGAGCCGTAACAATAGAACTCCCTTCAACTTGAGTATTTGGTCGCCAACCTCGTTGAGGCATAGTTTGGTGTCTTGGTCTACCAGGTGACTGATTGAATTGCCGGCACGGACGTTGTCGGAGCGAGGCACGTGTTCTTGCATAGCTTGCAGTCGCTCTTCGATGGCAGAAATGCGTTGCTGTCCTTGTTCTGTGACCTTCTGGGATGCATCCAGGGCTGTCTCCTGGGCTTGTAACTTCAGCTCGAGCTCTCTGATCTTCTCTCGAGCGTCAAAGGCGTTCTGGTTCTGATTACTGGGTTGGTCGATGGCATCAGAGATTTCCTTGGCAGGTTTCTCCACTGGTACAACCTGATGGGTGGTTTCATCATTGTCCGCTAAGTTCTCAACCAGTGTAGTTTCCTCTCCATCCAGTGTTGCTTCTGGGCTGGTCATAGGAGGCACGGCCTGGTCCTGAATGGCCTCCTGCTCGGTGACGTCGTCGGCCTGCTGTGTAGGAGTCTCTGTGGGAGACCAGTCTTGCTCTTTGCTGTTGCGAACACTGGCGTCGGATCTATTACTGGCAGTGGTGACAAGGTCACCCATTGGCTGGTCACCATCATGGCCGTCTGCTTGGTTAGCTACACCGACTGAGGGAGACCGGGTAGCACCATGGGAGGCAGGTTCAAGTGCCTGACGTTTGGATGGACCAAGGTCCACGATAAACATGGCAGGTCGCTTGTGCGAGCCCAGGTGAGAAAGCGGAGAGGCAATTGATTCCGCAGGCTGAGCCGAGTTCAGACCTGATCCTGGTCCAGAACCTGGATCTGAATCCGAATCTGAACTGTCATCGGATATCACAACCACCTCATCACCAGGTGTAGGGAAAGAGGAGCGATGAGATCTTGCTTTCTTCTGGTTATCACCGCCATGAATCAAGCCAAATCTCGACGGATGGACGGACGAGATGCGTCTGTCTGGTTCAGGGTCGCCATCATTGCCTTCGCGCTTGATCTCCAGAAGCGTTGCCCGTGAGGCTCTCGAACCATCCTGACCATGGTGATTTGTCAGTTCCTTGTCAGTCGGGGACCTGCGATTCAGGCTCTTGGGGAGTTCGGGCTGCAAGATGGGGCTTTGGGGAGTCAGAGTTGCCACACGAGCAGAGACGCCCTTGCGCATTTGACCGATGGGGGTCTGACTGGGGCAAGATGGCTCTAGATGTACAGACTGCTTGGGCGATTTAGTAGTGACGTCGTCGGTCTGAGATGCCGCAGATGCTTCTTGCGGGACTCGGTTTCTCGAATGGGAAGCAGCGCGGGGGTCGTATGGGACGGGGGCCGCAGTGGTGTGTGATGCGAGTGAGGAGCCGTTGTCGACCCTGGCGGCACTTCCCTTGACGGACATTCCTTGGGCTCCGGACACTGCCGAGACGATGGCGGCGACCCTTTGCGGATTGGTGTGGCGCCAATCGACCTGTCTCTGCTCGAAGGCAGCTCTGGAGGCTGCGTTGCGGCGCCTAGGAGGCTGCGGCCGGTGTGAGTTTTCGATGCAGGCGTCCAGAAGCGCAGCGATCTCGCTGGGTGCGTCAGATGCGGTGGCGGCAGGCTGGCCAGGCTGGTAGGACGTAATGGGTTCACGGATGTAGGCTCTCCTCGCGGCCATGTAGACGGGAACAAGTTCCTCAAGGACGGTACCGCTCCAGGTCTTACCAAGCAGCTTGGCCAAGACTTGCCAGAAGGATTCTATGTCGACAAAGCCGTTGAAGTACAGGTAGATGCTGAGCACGAGGCGCAGGTTCACCTCGTGCCGCTGGCGATGGGAGGCGTCAGGGATCTGGCGGGAGTACTGCGTGTGAAGAAGCATGGTGCGGAACGATGGTCGATTGAGCATCGGCTCCCGATCTTTGGCGAACTTGACGCCGGCAATGCGCCAGTAGGCCGGCGACTTTGTTTCGGCGTTCTTGACATGTCCGGACATGATGCCGACAGCTGCGTGAGACCCGTGTCTATCGCAGAAAATGAGTGAAGTGAGTGAGTGGTTGCGGGGTCCGGAGAGGAAATTTATTAATTACAGTATCACAAGACGGCGGGAGACGGCGGGAGTGGACGCGCAGCCGATGCCCGCGCAAGACGCGTTTTCTTCAGATCCATGAGGTCCACTCCCAGGCATCTCGGGCTCGGACGGGGACGCAGATGCGGGGCTGGTGGGGTAGTCGGAGCACGCTGATTAATAATCAGTACATGTACATACCGTAAATGTACACGTGGACCTGCAGTCAGGTCCCAGCGCGGAGCAGCTTGGAAGCTTCGAAGAAGCAAGGTTGTGTTCAATCCATGTTAGGAAGTTCAATTCCATTCGTAGTGCAAGGCAAGCGGAAAAAGTAACGCGTCAGTTGTGTACGCACATGTAGGTAGTTGCCAGTTGGCATATATGATATTAAAGTGTCCACTGGAATGACATGATTACCGGGGCTGGGGTTCGGATATAGGGGGGACAGACGCGGGATAAGATCACTTCCGGGAGGCACAATGCATGTATTCAATTCATGCCTTGATATCAAGATTGTGTGAACATGCTTCCATAGCTTGCAAGGTTTGCGACGATCTCTTTCTTGAACAATTGGAGCTAGCTGGTCAAGTGCCCAGATACTATTTCGACACTCATCTAATACAATTTCGGTCTGCGAAGGTATCATCTGCCTTGAGTCACTCGAGACTCAGACTACATGACGACGCGCTGGTAGAAAGCTACCTGAAATCTGTTGTATTCCGAGTTCATGACTGGATCAATGTCGTTTTCCGCGTAGACGTCCCGTGACTTATAAACTTCATCGCCCATGCCTTGGTGGCGTGGTTCCCGTCTTCACCCGTGACATTGTCCAGACACCACGTGCCGGTCGTCGTCTTCTGGGCCAATGTGTTCCGCGGTGCAGTAAGGTAGTCAGGATATCGGTCGTAGATCCTTTGGTCTAGTTAGCTCCATCAAGCAACGGGTACTTGTACGGCACATAGTCGTGATTGCTCTCATAGATGAAGTACATGGTCCCGTTGGAGCCACTGTGTCCAACGGGGCCGTAGTTCCAGATGAGTATACCAGGACCTCCCGTGTCTTCATCGCCGACTGCACAGCACAATCAGACTGACAAGTCCATCGATCTGTCCATAGAGGTATAGGGTCAGAACCAGCGGCTGGCTTTTTGGATCAAAGCTGATTATCCCAGGGTGCTTGTTCCATTAATATGAATGGCATTGGTATCCAAGACTTGATATCCAAGACTTGATATAGGCATGCTGAATGGAGATTGACGAGGGTGACTGTACTCACCTAGGCATATTCATTCGGGTATGAAACCAGCATTCCCAAGCCGGAATATTCAATCCCTGACCCTGCACAGTTGTCTGCTGCAGGGTATACATACATGATGGAAACTGGCAGCTCGTTTTCATCTTGCAGGATTTGACACAGCTTGCAGTCCAAAGCTCGTGGTTTCTGGCCAATATGCTTCCATCCGCATCTCAGTGGCAGATGCACACTGCCAGAACTCCCAGCTCAAGCGTTCGGGTGATAATTGCTGGCTACACGTACACAGTCGAGGGCCTCGTCGCCCGCGTACACACCAGGGCAGTGACTTGGGCGTTCGTCATTAGTCGTAGAGCTAGCTATATGGGTGTCCACGGATCTGTCCATGTTTCGCCGCCGGGGATCCTCGACGAAGGGAAGCAGACGCCAGCCCATCAGACAAAGCCATTCCCTGAAGTAAGATGTATGAGGCTGTATACCTTAGTAAGAATGCGCAGTAACCTGGATCTCTTGGATCCGCCGGTATGTGCGTAGGGGTTGGTCCTACGAGCTAGGGCACATCCAATATCATTGTCCCACTGACCAAGTCTTTCCATCATCACGTGGTATTCGTCAACATACATATACTGGGAGGTATCAAAACATAATCCTCATTCAAGAAGACGGTAATCCAACACAGGTTTTGCCCTCGTAGACGGGCCAGGTGACAGCGCCGTCATTATTCAAAGGGCGAATCCAAGATCCTCCCTCCGGTCGTCGACGATTCGTCCCCACTCAAGCAAAAGCCTGAACATGTAGACCTGCATATCCTCTTTCCTCATCGCTTTCTGTGCCCACGCGCGGCCGGCTTCGGCGATCTCTTCTGCGTCTGCTGATCCCGGTCCACTGCCGAGATAGTCCACGGCCGTCCACAGATCGCCGAGTCTCACGTCGAGCGGGATGTAGTGCCGCCAAGCATGGACACGCTCTTCCCACCAGGTGCGAAACAGAGCTGCGCGGTAAGGTAGGGAGGTCGAGTTGAGGAAGGGTAAAAATCGACCGCTGAAGGCAGCACCGTCGAGATCGACCAGATGACGATGCCGCCAACTATCTTGGAAGTCGATAGGGGGCGCTGGCTCGGCGGTGGGTGAACCATAAAATGTCGTGTGTTCGGCTGTACAGTCGCGGTCATCGCAGCGAGCAAAGTTACCGACAAAGGAGACGTTGACGACAGTCTGACCGCTGATGAGCGTTGACTTGGCGGAATTGAAAGAAGCGAGGTCTCCGCGGGACGAAACGAGGCGCAGTAAAGAGCCTGCTCGGAGAGATGCATTGGTTTTCATAGCTTTATACACGAACCTAGCTCGCAGGAACATTTGCCATGCACCATGAGCGGCGAAGCCATCAGAAGAGGCACCACGCCAGAAGACACTATTGAGCTTCTGCGCCCATGGAACATCCTTCTCCTCTTCGTAGGTAACTTTGTCGCCAAAGTTCCACGGACTCGGATATAGGATATCAGCAAAGTTTTGTACCCGGCTCTGGCTGAAGACGGGAAACAGGGTGTGGGAAGGGTTCATGGCAGAGGGCGCCGACAAGAAACCGTGCAAGTATGCAAGGTCTGGCTGATGGCAAAGGTCTCCAGCTAGTGTCCAGTTGGAGAGGAAGCCGGCCGTCATATGAGGCGAAGCACAGCCCCTACACTCGGCCTTCCGGTTCCACCAGTGGTAGTTGTTGACGGCTGAGTCGGCGGGGCATGTTGACGATATCCACTCGTAGAAGATCGGACTCTTCGATATTGGTATAAACCAAGGTGATCTCTGCTCCCATATATTCTCGTCCGCATCCATGAACTGTTGTGCCCACGGTGGGTTTTGTGTCTTACTAAAGGGGAGCAGGTCCTTCTTCCCCCCAAGTCGAGCCCTAACCACAAGCGCCTCTTCGGTGTAGGCCCTCATCCGATCAAATGGCACCGAAATGCGACATTCGTCATCAAGGTTGAAGGCGAGATGCATGTTGGGAAGCCAAGCTGCAAAGGGCTCCACCATCGATTGGATGAAAGACAGCATCCATCTGTGTGTACCTGGGACAAGAGGCGAAATCTCGACCTTGCCGTCGACAACGACGAGACCGCCAATGGACAGCGACGGATGTTCAAGTATATGACTCGTTCTCTCGCGGAGGACCGACGGGAGTGTGCCCCAGTAGGGTAGAAGATCAGAGTGGATCTGGTCGAAAGTGTCGATAATGGGGGAGTCGACGGACGTGGCAAACTCGTACCATTTGTCAAAGTTGGGTGGCGGCGGCACGCCGTATCTCTTTCGGTATTCCTCGACGGCGGTGGTGAGTGTGGTGCTTTTGGCCGCCCTAGCAACCCAGGAATCCGAACCACTCCTGGCGTCCACGATGAGCAGTTCGGGAGTAGCCTTCCCCTGCCGGCCAGTGAACACTGTTTGGCAGAGTACCAGGATGAACACCACGCCGGCACCAAAGACATACCGATTTCTTGACGCGGGGCTGTCCTGGTGGGAGGGCGGGTGAGCAGCAGGAGCAGGCCTACTGAGAGACAAGAGTACGCCAAATCCGAGGAAAGTAGCTGCACCAGTCGCAAACCCCCACCAGCTGGACCATACCTCCATCATTGTGCCATCTGCGATACGCCACTGGATGTAGACAAACATATTGATTGCAACGGTAAGTAGGCCGACCACATGGGCAGTGAAACTGCCCAACAGGTGAATTCCAGATAGCATCGCTACAGCCACAGCTACGCTATCGAATAGCAGATCCCTGACCGCCAGCCCTGTGAGGAAGAGATTCCATTGTAAATTGATGCGGTCAACAGACGACCAAGCAGCTATAAAGGCCAACACGCCCGCGGATGTTGTGAACAATGTGCCCAGGGAATGACATGTGCTGGACTGATCCTCATTACTCTGACGGAGCCTCCCAACCAGGCTCATAAGCGAGGCGTCGAATGCCAGAGCGGTCAATTGCGCAAGAGGTACGAGGCGCTCAACACACCAACCTGCTGGGCAAATAGCACCCGTGTCGCGCCCGGCGTGGAGGAGGGTGTCGGTGGCTGCTAAGCCCCATACCAGCGCGACGATTGCGTGCCTGGGGGTAGTCGTTCGAGCGCCCGTCTCTTGCGCCTGTCTCGGGAGATATGTGGATCGCAAGTCGAGGTTGTCGCATATCGCTAGGAGTAGGGGAAGAAATGCCTGCGACAAGATGTCAGGAGCTGTCCCAACAAGATGCGACCCGTCATAGACTAACCTGGAGACCATCCCAGGAGCAGTGGACAGTGCGTATGATCCTCCAATGAAGTACGGTACGGGTGACTATGCCCAAGAGCAGGAGCGCAAAGGTGGCGGACGGGGGTTTCAACCGCAACCAGAACTTCAACTTGCCGGCGAGGGCAGGGAGCTCGCTGGATATAGTGGCGACGTTGGGCCAGATTTGGCTGCGTTCCTTGGACACGAAGCCCAGGAAGTATCTGGCATAGGCGTGGAGCGCAAGGCCGGACAGGAGCAAGGCCGTGATGGAAAAGTGAAAGGGCCGCTCTGCGCCGTTGGGGTACTATAATAAGTCGTCTGTCAAGTCACAAGAGCGAGGTGGGACCCGACATACCAAAGGCTGCGCTCTTGTAGTAGCGGGAGGAGAGGTACGCGTTGCTCAAGGCGAGGACACTGTTTCGAGTCAACAGAGGTCTGGCGGATGGACATGCAGTCAGCATGTGGCATGTAGCCAGGCTACCAACTCACCCAATGGCGAGGCCAGCAACAGTCGTCCTTTGTTGCATGGCCATCCTGACGCTCAGTGACATGATGTGAGCAAGCAGTGGGTGGAATGGCGCATCGCTCGCCGCATGGTGACGCGGTGCGAGGAGGAGAGATGGTGTTGGGTTCCCTGCCCTAATGAGGTACCTCCTATGCGTCCATACTGTGTACAGCCTTCCATCCAAGTTTCACAGGCAATGGTAACTTTGAAAGTCAGGCTGCATAAAAGGAAAACTCGTTACCAACTCATCCTATATGCGTTATTAGGTACTATGCATTATCAGGGGTATCCACTGCCACTGCCAATGCAAGAGCGCTTGATTCGGCTTGTTGGTCCCAAGAGGGTTTCAGAATACAGACTAGTATCTCGCTAATGCAACGGCGCTGAGTGGCGTGGCGCGGCCTGGTCAACGTGAATCGTTGCGTGGATGGGCACTTTTGGACACCTCCCTCCCTCTCTCTATATTCTACATACAGTACGCCTCTAACGTTACCACCGTTGTGACCACAGCACGACGTTGAACTGGCGGTTTGCAACTTGAACGTGGCCATCCGCATTGGCAAGGTCCATGCCACGACAAGCAGCAGTACACCGTACTACATAGGTATGTACAAGCAATGGGCATAATTACCGCAGATCGTAGTTACAGAGACTTCACTGTCACGACTGTGCACTCTAACACTCCATGTATCATGTACGATACTGCGACTCATTGGATGCATGTGTATACGAGGCCCGCCATTACGTATTGTGGTATGGAGCCCAGGGTGGATACTTCCATTCACATAACCCGACTCCATCAGTGATCACAGGAGTCAGACAAACATTGGAATCGTCCAAGATCGTCCGGGTCCGTGTTAGGCAGGCCGGCAGGGTCTGGATCCAGGATAGGATCAGGATCAGGATGAGGGTCAACCGTCAACCGTCAACCGTCCGGGTCAGGGTCAGGGTCAGGGTCAAGGTACAGGGCCAGGGTACAGGATACGTACCACGAAACGACCCCAGACCTAGGCATGGTGGCATGTAACTCGTTCGTCGCTCATCATTCTTCGTCCTTTCATCATCGTCCTTCCCGTCACTGTTTGCTTGCGTGTCTTTTTTTCTTCTTCTAACTCTTTCTCTATCTCTCCTCGTCCACCCTTATCTTCGTGCCGTTTGCCGACGCCTGCGCATGCCGCAACACTCTACTTGATTACCTACTCTCCTATTCGCCTCGTCTAAACTCCTATCATTATAATCGTTGTTGCTCAATCGATTGCTTCATCGCCTCGCCTAGCCCAGCCACCTGTCAACGAGAGGCCAGCAGCGCATCCGAGAAATGCGGTCGGTGTTGGTAGTATCGAAAGACTGAGAAACATACCTCCTCATGTCACACTCAAGGTTCCCCCGGGTCTTTGTTTTGACAAGCTTGCTCTTATGCTTCCTCGTCACCTACACAACACTCTACCTCTACCACCGAGTGCCGGCCTCGTACTCGATCTCGAACCCACAAGCCACTCCGCTCAAGGATTCGGACATCGTCCTAGAAGGTGCAGGGGTCATACAGAATATCGACGGTCATGTCTTCCCCCCGGCCCCGGTAGCCACCGCGGACAAGGGCGCCGCGCCTGTTTCGACAGACGTACCCGCCGTGCCGCCACCGGAGACCCTGAGCCATACTGGCGGGCCTGAAGACGGTTCTCACGGCTTGGATCAGAAGCTGCCTAGTGAGCTGACCGACGCGGCTGGGCCGCCGGTCCAGGTGCCCCAAATCCTGGGCGGGCCGCCCGAGGGCGACTCCCAAGGCCAGCAAATCGTTCTGTTACCGGACCCGAAAGAATGTCCCAGCGACATGGCGTTCCTGGTGCGTGCTAGTGTTCAGCTGGGCCTGACAGAGAGGGTGCGGTACAGCCGACGTCGCATACGTCCTGTATTCTCGAACCAAATAGACCGGGACGAGGTCGTTAACATCACCGAACCTCTCGTCCAGAACGACGTTGAAGTCGACCTATGGGACTGCTGGGATGCTGACATTGTGGAATCACCGCCGATCAAGCTTCACGTCCCGAAGCCTTACGCCGAGGAGTCGTTCGCGCATCTTATCTTTGGCGTTGCGACAGAATACAACCGCCTCAAGGAGTCAATATCGACCTCTGCCCATTGGCTATCGGGTACTGATGCCCAGCTTGTGGCTGTCGTGGCAGACGCAAGCCAGAGGATGCCTGGCGAGATGGAACAGCTGGAACAGGCGTTCGCCGAGGCTGGTGTCAATGCGAGCCTGGTGAGACCAATCGACGACGCATACACCACCTCCCAGAATCACTTCACCGTATTGGTAGACATGCTGGAGCGCGGCAGCCCCGAAACTCAGTGGTATGGTCTGCTGGATGATGACACATTCTTCCCGAGCCTGACGCCTCTCTCCAACGCCCTGGCCGCTGTGGACCACACGACAGATGCTTATGTCGGCACCCTGTCCGAGGATTTCAACGCTATTCGGACCTTCGGGTTCATGGCTTACGGCGGGGCTGGTGCATATCTATCTCCTCCCCTCGCCAAGAAGCTTGGTGATCAGTCTCGCAGATGCATTGAAGAAGCAAAGAGCGTCGAGGGCGACATCATCATCCGGGACTGTGTCTACACCAACTCCCGGGCGAAACTTACCATCCTTCCAGGCCTGTACCAGCAGGATATGAAGGTAGATGCCAGCGGATTCTTCGAAGCCGGGCTGCGCCCTCTGAACCTACACCACTGGAAGAGCTGGTACAGTGAACCTGTCGACAAGATGGCCGCAGCAGCCAAGTTTTGCGGCGATTGCTTCCTGCAGCGTTGGCGCTTTGGCACTGACACTGTGCTATCGAACGGCTATTCCATCGCAACCTACCGTGATGGCGTTGATACTGTTGACCTTCAGACGGTCGAGGGCACATGGATGAGCATGGTTTGGAACACTGGTTACGTACAGGAATACGATTTCAGTATCGGCCCCCTTCGCCAGCCGTATGGACCGGGTGAGAAGAGGAGCTACAAGCTCATGGATGTCGAGTTCACGGAAAGGGGGCCCCTGAAGCAGCTATATGTCTTGGCAGGCAATCCAGAGGCCGGCGAATTAGACGAAGTGGTCGAACTGATATGGGAAAAGCAATAACGGGGTTTCACCATTCAGGCTATGGGCTTGCATTTTAGGTGGTTTTCTAGAGGCTCGCCTAAGGGTAGGGCGTATGATTGCATACCCAGCTGTACATTGTGTATAACAGCTGGGCTGGGAGTTTAGCATTGGGACTGACGAATATACCCAAGAGATTGTATTGTCATGTCGCCTGCCCTAATGTCCCGTCATTTTAGTGATGGATGCAGTTAGGAAACGCATGGAGAACATGACAAACTCGCCTCAATGTTTCCAAGATATCGCTCTTGTCAAAATCTTTTAACGTAAGGTAGACAGCGAAATCCTCAAGTCGTGGGTGAGCGGTTGACAACCGCCTAACCCCTTCTAAGTGAATGAAGAACACTTCGCCAATATGTAAATCGACCCGCCCCTGTCAACGCAGCAGGCTTTACAGTGCAGCTTGAGAGTTGCATTATGAAAAATGTTTTCACATGATTACGCAATAACTATGCAGCGTGTATCCTCAGCTTGAGAAGCTAAATACACTCACCGCCCTTCCATCGCCGTCCGGTATGCCACTATCAAGTCTTAGATATCAGTGCCATGTTTAAGTTACTAGAATAAGCAGGTTTAATCCAATTAGCTATGTTTAATGCCCGTTCCAGAGTGCTTGTTTAGAATCGACGAATATTCATACATGTTCAACCATGACTTCGTCAAGGGGTGTCCTGGCTCCTTCAACTTTGGCGTCACGCTCAAGGAAATCAGCAAGGTAATTGGTAGTATCATCGGCGACTACCACTCCGACGACAGAAGACCGTCATCATGGTCGGCCACGACATCAAGGCGGACCTGACGTACCTGCAGAAAGTCGGATACAACGCCTGCCGCGTCTAAGTTCTCACGACTTGCACCACATGGCAGGCGACGAAGACGACGACGAAGAAGAGGATGACGAGGATGACGATGACGATGACGAGAATGACGAGGATGGCGATGATGAGAACAACAACGACAACGAGTAAGACAAGTTGGTGAATGGGACTTGTGCCTATTCGAAAGACGCCGTCTCACAAATAGGGACTCGGGCCCGTTTGGGCGCCTACACCAGAGTGAAAGTGATCAAGTGTAGCAGATGGGACAGATACAGTGTCGGATAAAAACGATAGCGGGCTGTTCCCCAAAACTGGTAATTTGAACCACATGCATCTCGCCTGCGGCCAAGACACCATGCAGATAAGCAGGCAGTCATGCCCATCTCACTTATCTGTAGTAGCGGGAACATGAATTGCATCGATCACCGAGCCTTGTAGAGTCTTTTCATCCTGTCCCACGATTAGCTACACTCAGCTCTTACAAGTCTCCGTACGCTCATAGTAGTAAGACGACATATTACCAATAGGGGATTTTACGATACCGGAATAAGCATACCGGAATAAGTAGGTCTCGTTGGCTACCTTATTCCAGTGTGCTTATTCTAATTCGATGAACATACTGTTATATGCTGGACGGGTAGTGTACGGAGCCTCATGAGGGTTCAGTGTACGAGGTGGAAGAGCACGAGGATGAATTAGACTCGGACTCTACTAGAAGATCCTCGGGGCTAGGTGGACCTTCTGAGCGTAAGTTCCAGGATGATATTCAGATCAACGAACTCGTTTCACACCACGAAAGCTTCCAATACATTATCGACAAAAGCGGGCCATGGTACTTCATTCGCAACGAGGACATTTGGACTGAACGTACAGTCACATCGAGACATCGTGGAAACACATGAGTTTACCACGGGTTACCACGACCAAGCAGAAGCCCGGAGATCCTCTCGCCTGCATGCTTGCTCCTCGCAGTGATGGGTATTGCATAGTCTATGACTTAGTCTATGGTGGTGGTACATGCCTCGCTAACCCGCCCAAAGCTCAGTTCCACCTCATCTCTCACGTCTTCGTGGTGCAGCACGGATGATGTCATCCACTCTCAGGAGAAGCTATCCATGTCAGCGACTGGTATGAAGATCGAGGTCCAGAGAAGGGGAGGGGGGGCTTACCTCGGCAGCTTCACTCGCTGACGATACGACGGCCTTTTTCAGCTTGTAACTCTCAATCACACCCAGATCACGCATGTCGGCAACGCCTCCGCCGGGGGTCATCAGATCCAGGCCATACGTCGACATCCCGTCGTATATAGCTTTGCGCAGTCGTGCAATGAGGTCACTAGAGTCGAGGCCTGCGTTATCGGCAAGGATGGTTGGGAGTTGCCGTAGGGCGATGGCGAACGAGGATACAGCAATCTGCTTCTTCCCTTCCACCCTAGTAGCCGCACCTTCAACGGCCTTGGCCATAAGCATCTCGGCGCAACCACCGCCTAGAGTTGTCTTGGGCTCCTTCACAGTCTGCGAAAGCACAGCTAGCGCATCGTGTAGTGATCGCTCCGCCTCATCCAACAACTGATCGGTGGCACCTCGCAGGACGATGGTACAGGCTTGACCAGCTGCTACACCAGAAAACTTGATCAACGTGTCCTCGCCGATGATGACCTCTTCGATCAGGTCGCAGTGACCGAGTTTGACTTGTTCGGGGTGGTCGAAGGTGGACGCTATCTCGCCACCAGTCACCAATGCGAGACGCTCGATACCGTCGAAGTCGGCATGTTCAATGGACATGATGCCTGCATCGGTAAAGAGTTGCTCTGGCCAATTGTAGATGAGTTGCCGGTTGATGAAACAATTGATGCCGTGAGCCTTGATCTTTTCTACCTTGGCCTTCATCTTCTCCTTCTCGGCCTTCTCCAGTTCGGCCAGCTTGCTGGTAGAACTGACCTGAAACCGTGCACCAAAGATCTTGACCTTGTCTGTGTCCATGGATGTGTTGGCCACCAAGATCTTCGCCTTCTCCAGCCGCTTCGGTTGGTTCACGCCGATTTTCTTGTCCAGGATGAATCCTTCATCGAGGTAGGAATCGCTCAGCTTGCCTCCTGCTTTCTTGATGATCTGTATATGGCTCAGGTCGGAGGAACCTCTGAGTCGCAGCACGGCGTCGACGGCAAGCTTCGCGAACAGGTCACGGTCTTGGGCGAGTACCTTGGAGCTCAGTGTGGTGCGGGCAATGGCGAGCAGGTCCTTCTTGAAGGCCTCCGGGTTCTTGCTGTGGTCGACGGCTGAGTTCTCGAGGGCCTTCAGGGCAGCGTGGCTTGCTATTCTGTACCCTTCAATGATGGTCTGCGGGTGTATCTTCTTGTCGACAAGCTTCTCAGCCTCACGGAGCAGCTCGGCTGCCAGCACGGCGACTGAGGTAGTGCCATCTCCTACTTCATCGTCTTGCACCTTGGATATGTTGACAAGGACCTTGGCTGCAGCGTTGTCGAGGGCGATGGACTTAAGGATGGTAGCGCCGTCGTTGGTGACCATGATCTCGGCGGTGGAGCTATGTGCGGTTGGTCAGTGGATCGAATGGTTGGGTTGTCTGCCGGTGCACGTACGCGGACTGTAATATCTTGTCCATGCCTTTGGGGCCCAATGTGCTCTTCACCAGGTCCCCGACGGCAATGGCGCCGACGAATGCAGAAAGACGAGCATTCTCACCCTTCTCCTCTGTGGTACCCTCGTCGAAGATCTGGGTGGGACTGAAGGACGACTACAAGACAGAGCGGGTTAGTGAAAATGCAAGCAGATAGATTGGCGCCGGACACAACATTACCATTTCGACTGCGGCAAGGCGCAGCGCAGAGCTCTTCAGGTATGCGTTGTAAGAGTGGCGGGCTGACGCTGACCGGGCTTGCGAAGACGTGGGAGCTTGAAAAGGTGCCTAACACTTGCAGTATTTGACTATGCAGTGCTCACCGTGATGTATCGGGATGTCAGATGGATGTGCGTGCCTTAGGTATGGTGGGCCTGGCGACAGCTTCATGTCCTTCAAAATCCATGCACGCTGACCCCGGGGGCCTCTAACTTTTTTTCGCGGGTTACAACGGACAAGGAGAAACTGGACCTCCGAGGTGGGCGGCGACAGCGGGGGCGGGGGGCCAAGCCCGAATGAGCCAATAAGGTTACATGTCACGGGCATCCCGCTGAGTCAGGTGAAGAGGTGTCTCCGTACCCACCCACTACCTTAGGTACCGGTAGCCTGTAGTCGTTTTATGGGGCTTTTTTTGCACAACTTCCCACCGACTGCCTTTTTGCGTGGGACATCGAAAAAAATCCCACAACGGCGCAAAGTCAACCTCAACCTCACTACCTTATTACATGTACCAGCAGCCCAGTCCTCCCTGGAACACCTCGAGCCTGCAGGCCACTGCTCTACTTCACACACACGTTACGCCATACGCCATACGCCATACGCCATACACCATACACATACACTCGGCGTTGCCAGAACATCCTGCTACAGTACGACTTGTTCGTCCGCGCCGCAATATTACTGCGCAATTCGTCGCAGGGCGGGGCAGTATTCGCACCCACTTCCACTTCCACACCCACATCACCAAAGGAGCCTCCGGCCACCGCTCTCAGCAAAAACCCTTCCCCTTCCGCCTGCACAAGAAACCGGCAGATCTACCTTCTATATCGTTCACATCGAGCCGCACTCTAGCCCAGCATGGCGCCTTCCTTCGACCACCTGCGCGACGCCGACGTCGACGAAGACGACTATGACGAGGATGAGGTCGACATCTCCGACCTGCGAGAGAAGTACGAGGTCCAACTGGAACAGGGCTACGACACCTTCATCGTCGTTGATGGCCTGCCCGAGGTTACCGAGGAGCAGAAGCCCAAGCTGGTCAAGTTCCTGCTGAAGAAGCTGAACCAGGTCGGTAAGACCAGAGAGGATCTCGTCTACATGCCTATGGGCGAGGATGGCAAGTCGCTTAGGTATGCCAAACCCACAGGGGATCTGAGTATGAACGTCGCAGCTCTGATCCTGACCCTGACCTTCCCGCAGATTTGCGTTCGTCGAATACTCGTCCCCCGCCGAAGCTGCCGCCGCTGTCAGACAGCTGGACATGGTTCCCCTCGACAAGAGGCACACGCTACGAGTCAACAAGATGAGCGATATCGACCGTTACGGCCGCGAGGGACGTGTGGATGACAACTACGTGCCGCCCAAGATCGATGAGTTTGCCGAGAAGGAACACCTGCGATCGTTCCTGGCCGATCCGAGTGGCCGTGGTCGCGATCAGTTTGCCATGTACAGAGGCGATGCAGTGGGCGTCTTCTGGAACAATGAGAAGGACACCCCGGAGAATATCGTCGACCGCCAACACTGGACAGAGAGCTTCGTGCAGTGGTCGCCCTTGGGGACGTATCTGGTTTCCGTCCACCAACAAGGTGTACAACTTTGGGGCGGTGCTTCGTGGTCCCGGCAAAAACGGTTCGCCCATCCTTTTGTCAACATGCTCGATTTCTCCCCCAGCGAGAAGTATGTCGTCACCTGGTCCAACCGACCCATCTCTATACCAGACGAAGGACACCCTCAGCTGTCTGTGGATGAAGACGGCAAGAACTACGTCATCTGGGAGGTCGAGACTGGCAAACCTCTCCGATCATTCGCCAACCTCGACGTGCCCGCCACGGCCGACGGCGCTGTCAAGGCTGCGCCCAAGTTCCCCTGGCCTGCTTTCAAGTGGTCTGCCGATGAGAGCTATGTCGCCCGATTGACACAAGGCCAGTCCATCTCTGTGTACGAATTGCCTCGCATGAACCTGCTGGACAAGACGACGGTGAAGATAGACGGTGTCATGGATTTCGAGTGGGCGCCCGCAAGCCCTCAGAGAGAGGGCGTGAAGCAGTACGAGCAGCTCTTTTGCTTCTGGACTCCGGAGATTGGCAGCAATCCCGCCAAGGTCGGTCTGATGAGCATCCCGTCCAAGGAGATCGTCCGGACTTTGAATCTCTTCAGTGTCAGCGACGCCAAGCTCCACTGGCAATCCGATGCGACATACCTGTCTGTCAAGGTCGACCGGCATTCCAAGTCAAAGAAGTCCCAGGCTACTACCCTCGAGATCTTCCGCATCAAGGAGAAGGGCGTGCCCGTCGAGGTCGTGGACACAATCAAGGACACAGTCATCAACTTCGCGTGGGAGCCCAAAGGTGACCGTTTCGTCATCATCACGACGACGGAGCCGACTGGGCCTACGGCTGTCACTCCCAAGACTTCTGTATCGTTCTTCTGCCCCGAGAAGGCCAAGGGCACCGCTGTTGGTAACTTTAAACATATGCGGACATTGGACAAGAAGAACAGCAATGCCATTTACTGGTCCCCGAGAGGTCGCTTCGTTGTGGTTGCCACCGTTGCCAACCAGCAGAGCTCAGATCTCGACTTCTTCGACCTCGACTTTGAAGGCGAAAAGCCGGAGAGCGACAAGGACCTGACCGCCAATCTGCAACTCATGAATACCGCCGATCACTATGGTGTCACGGATATCCAGTGGGACCCCTCTGGCCGATTCGTTGCCACCTGGGCGTCAGTGTGGAAGCACACGGTGCGTTTGAACTCCCAGCACAGCAACCTGATCTCCTCCCGGTGCTAACAAATTATACAGATGGAAAACGGATACCACATTTACGACTTCAGGGGTGAGCAGCTACGAGAAGAGCCTGTCGAGAAGTTTCGACAATGGTTATGGCGGCCGAGACCTGCCACTCTTCTGACCAAGGACGAGCAGAAGTCCATCCGCAAGAACCTCCGGGAATACTCGAAGGCCTTCGAGCAGGAAGATGCAGAGCGTGGAGCCACCGCGGACCTAGCTGTCGTCGAGGCCAGAAGGCGTATGCTGGATGAATGGCTGGCGTGGCGCGCGTCGGTGGATGAAGAGGTTGAGGAGGAGAGACTTGACCTTGGTTTGCCGAAGGACCCTGTTGAAGGCCTCGTCGAGACACCCAACGATGGGGAAGAGCAGGTCATCGAGGAGATAGTAGAGGAAGTGCTGGAGGAGAACGAGGAGATTGTCCCCTGATGGTAGTGAATTAGGCACTACTAACAAAGTCTGGCCAAAACGGGATTCTATGTATGGCACATAATGAAGTTTGCTTCTCGCATTAAGATGCCATCAGGGACTGTCGGAAAATCTGAAATGTCAGGCGTTTTATCTTCTCCGCCGACTTATAGCCATTGATCATCGTCGTATTGTTGTTCTAAGGGATGTGCTGACCGCACCACCACTAGTACGGCCGAGCTTCTCTTCAACTTCATTATGCCACATTGGACATAAAGTGAAAGCCTTCCTTCATCTTGCGTATATGGCTTGTGCCCTCGCTTGTTAACTGATATTTACTATGTCTTTTAACAGGACCTGTTAAGCCCGTTTAATCTAGACCCTATATATGTACCGGTCCATTTCGATAACATGGGATCAGCTAATCCTCTAGCTTTGGCGTACATACTAAATGTCTTTGGAAATGAATTAGGTTAGACGATATAGCCAACCCCTATAAGTCTCCGTCTGTGCACCTCGAGGGCGCTCCTCTGATAGTATAGACAGCAGAATGAGGACCCTGGAATGAGCAATTGTGTTCTTATATACCAATATATCCTTATTCCGGAGTGATCATTCACGGATGACTCCATGCTTCGATTATGGGGTATACGGAAACTTCTACTTATACAGGTTCAGTGTACCTACAAACCCGGAGAGGATATGAGAAGGAGACTCTCATGATGTGATCATCTCTTGGTTTCAACCGTCTGATTCCGGAAGGGCCGGCTACATGTAGGAAGACATACGCGTAGCTACCTACCTACCTGGCCAGTGGCATGATCAACGAGAGATTGATGAGGGCATGGTTCATCCCGGTCATGACCTCATGACGAGCTCACTGCGAGGAAGCAGGAGCTGAGGCTAGGTACTTGATGCTTCTGTGTAGAGACTGCCATTGAAGACTCAAGACTCAAGAGCCACATCATCAATCCTTCAGGTTGGCAATTGCATCATCTCAGCTGCGGACGGGCTCTTCCATCTTGGGCCTTGGGCGTTGGGCCTTGGCACCGTTGGAACTTGGGCGCAGGTTTCGACACCCCCACCCATCATCCAATTGTCTCATTGGCCCACCTCCCCGCCCATTTGGCTGATGAGATGATGAGATGAGATGAGGGTTGTGCTTTGTTAGGACTCAGGGGAAACCCCTCTCCCCTCAAATTACCGTACCTACTTTAGGTACCTATTACTTCAACCAACCGCTTGTCGGTGTCAGCGACTCAGCCCTTGTCACTTGTGCAGTGGCCAGCGAATCTAGATTCGCGTCCTTGGCGCCGGGTCAGCCGGGCCTTAAGTCCTGAGGTCAAACAGGCGGTAAACAGGCGGTAAACAGGGAAATGGGAGGGTCCCCACTGCTGCCAATCCCCTAATAGAGCACCCTGTAATAACATACTGTGTAGCACTGTAGGTAACCTACCTTAGGTTAGGTAGGTAGGTATTCGCAGGATGCTTCAGCCTTCAACCCGCTGCTCTGTTCTGTTTGTTTCCCATCATCACCATCATTCATTCATTACCTATTCACTCGTTGCATTGATCCATTCGGCCGCCCCCTTCCGCTCCTTCACCCGCTGCAGTCGCATTCAACACGGCACGACTAGTATCAGCTCTTAATTGTATATTCGTTTCGTTCATTCAGCCTCCCCCTGAGCGCCTCCGCTGCGAGTTGTCTCCGAAAAATCACTCCTCTCGGCCTGGGAGTGGGAGGAGTCGATCGAATTATCAGCCACACCAAGCCAGGAAGCAGGAAATAGGAAATAGGAAATAGGAAGCAGGAAGCAGGAAGCAGGAAGCGATCTACAAGCCTCCCTTTGCATACGAAACGCTGCACAGGATACAGGTTGTATCGTCATTCTTCCTCCCGGGCGAAGCCGACGGACACATCAGCCTTGAAACACCAGGACTGGAAGACGCAATTGCGCCCGTACCATCGTCACTTGCACAGCCGCTCCGAACATAGATGGACCACCGTATGGTTGTCACCACCGCCGCGCATATCGTCTTGCTATCGACCATACTCCGTCCCGCGTCCGAGGGCAGCTCAATGCTATAATCTTAATTCTCCATTTTTGATTTTCCGCTGTCGGTCAAGTACCGCGGGAACACCATCGCCTACGCCATCCCCATTTGCTACCTTAACGCCAGGCAAGACAACTGCATAATCCAGGGAACAAACTACTACGGCGCAAGCATAGTGCCGCAGCAGCAGCACCTATTCCATATTCCATATTCCATATTCCATGCTAGGCCACACGACCATGACCTACGCTGGAGGAAATCTGGACGGGTTTGACCTCACGTTCCCTAGTCCCGGCTCTCCGCCAGGCATGTCCTCCTCCAAGTCTTCCAAGGCCTCTTCGCTGCGCTCCCTCAACTCCGACGAGGATGATAGCGTCACCGCTGACGTCGGTCACTTCGAGGAGATTGGGCTCGAAGACGACGCCGTCTCCATCGACTCCTCCTACCTACGAGACACCCAGGTCAAGTCGAACCCGAACCCTTACAGCGCCACCTTCACTGCAGACCTCCGTGCAGCTTCCGCCCGGCATGTCGGCCCAAAGATACACCCCAACGGCCGCGATCTCGCCCGGCTTCGGCCGCAGCGTGATATCACGTCCATCACAAAGACCCGACCGCCCGCGCCATCATCCCTGGGTACACAGTTCCGCGACGCCAGTACTCGGGGACTCGGCATTGGCAGTGGTCCCGAGCCACAGCTAGGTCCGCAGCCGGTCCGTGGTCTTTCGGCACGGTCCGCCTCTTCGGCAAACGCGACTCGCCGACGTCGAAGCCTGAGCCCCAGCCTTCCCCATCGGTCTCTGAGCCCGCTAGATCCCAACGCAGTGGCCAAACCACAGCGGAGCAGTTCGCACTCGCGAAGGGATCCCAAGCTGACTTTGGATTTTGGGAAGAACTCCGAGAATGACGATGACGACGATGACAACATTCCCGACGGCCTGATACTGGATAACGTTCCCCCGTCCCCCCGGCCGCCAACGGAACGGTCAGCCAGCCGTGCATCTTCGGCTGCAACCTCGCCAGAGCGACAGCCAAGGGAACGAATTCGTAGCGTAGGCAACGGCACCCCGCCAGTTGCCGTCCATCACGGTTCATTGAGGTCACCCTCTTGGAAATCAGACTATGCCATCGACAGCCCCAGCTACCGTGCCTCGTCTCCAAACACGGGTCGTGCCAAGAGTTGGACTGCTGCTGTCTCGACACTAAGCGCCGAAGCGAAGGCCCTCACCGAGAAGCTCGAAGAGCATGCTGATGAGCTGGACAGGCATGGTGTGCGTCACTCAACCTGCGACCGCCCGAATATGAAGCCACGAGTCAAGTCGGCCCTCGCCGAATTGCCTCCTCTCCGAAGAACCAACATCATGATCGACCCCCTACCTGTGTCAAAGGAGAAGGAAGCGGTTCTGTCCCGAACGAGACCTTCGTGGCTGCCACCGAAGAATCCTGCCGAGGAGAAAAAGCACGTCAAGCAGTACCAGAAGATGATGGCCAGCAGCATCGAAGCCGAGAAGAAGCGCGAGGCAGATCGGAAAGAGAAGGAAGAAAGTAAAGACAAGGCTGCAAACGCTCTCAACCACGTGTGGGACGGCATCCTCAAGCGATGGGACAGTGCTATTCGCGAGCAGCGAACACGGGAGCTGTGGTGGGGTGGAATAGCGCCCAGATGTCGAGGGGCCGTGTGGCTACGCGCCATCGGCAACGAGCTGGGACTGACAGAGGCGTCGTTCAATGCCGCTCTGGCCAGATCTCGCGAGGTCGAGAAGCGGTCTGAGCAGGGCAAAGCCAGCACCGAGGACGATAGGCGCATGGCCTGGTTTACTCTGATCAGGACGGATGTTGAGCAGCGGGCCTGGGTCGACCTCAAGATCTTTCAATCCGGTGCTCCCCTGCACCAAGGTCTGGTTGATGTGCTTCGTGCGTACGCCATGTACCGAAGTGATATTGGCTACGTGACCGGCTCTCATGTAAGTGTTATTGCTCTACGTTGAAACCATGTCGTTGGGTGACTGACTGTTCAACCAGACCATCGCCGCGCTCCTACTGCTGAACCTCGACACGCCTGCCGCAGCATTCATCGCCTTGGCCAACGTTTTGAACCGGCCACTGCCTCTGTCGTTTTACGCCTCTGATTTGGGTGGTCAGGCGTCTGCGTGTTCACTCGTGCATCGGGCACTGGCGGTGAAGTCGCCCCAGCTTGACCGGCATCTCCGCACTCCAGACATTGGCCTCGGCTCTGACTGGTACCTTGGGGACATATTCACGACTGTCTTCAGCGGGCACCTCTGCCTCGACGAGTGCACCCGACTGTGGGATGTGTATGTTTTCGAGGGCGACAATGTCCTCGTTCGTGCTGCTGTTGCACTCCTCCTGGACAGAGAGATGCCGCTGCTTGGTGCTAGCACGGCTACAGAGGTACAGAATATTATTGAGAACCGTTCGTCCGTGGTAGCGCAAGGCGGAGACGACCAGTGGATGGCCAGGTTGCGGGATGCCGGCCAGCGGTGAAGCGGTGGGATGGAATGAACGAGCAACACGACCGCAGATCCGCACGCCCGAACACGGCAACACGGCAACACGCGAACACACCCTATACAATCAAGACGCCATGATTAGGTGTATATATAGGTCGGCAATCCATCAGGCGCAGGAAAATGTGGCAATGGTTAGACCGGCACGCACTGGGGTCCTTCAGGGAGCAAACAACAGGAGCAGTGGCACTCTACAGACTCAATCTAGCGCAGATGGGTTGACGGACTTTTGGATGATTACGACTTGCCGACGATGGAATAGAGCTGGGACGTGGGGTGCAGGTTGCTCACTGACAAGTCAATACTTTCGAGTGACTTATGTCCAACACGGATCGGGGTGGGGTACCGTCGTTCTGGATAGACACGTCGAATCTCTGGCGACGTGGGTGAGGTGCTGCCTTGCTCGACTTCTTGCACATATAGATAAGATGCTTTTTGACGCCGATGAGTATGTGAGTGCACACGGGAGTGGCTATCAGAGTGACAAGTTGTGCATCTAACAATATCATGTGCCAATACATGAGAAGAGGATCTGTATTATACGACAAGCGGCCTGGGGGTTGTGCTGTTGCCCCGCTGCTATGTGTGAGAAGCAGAAAGGGGGATATAAGTGGCAAACTGTGCCAATGGTACCTCCCTGCGCATTCCATACCCACGTCAGAACCTACCTAGGGACCTACTTGTGCAATACAGCAGCAGTACAAGTACTCCTGAGCATACCGCACGTGCGGCACAACTAGTCCAGCTGACGGAGACGCGGGGCCAATATCAGCAACCGACACGTACGCAAGAGATGATCAATATGTTCCTACAGGATCATGGCACCTAGAAGTGAATCCTCTCCCTAAACATGGATGAATCGCCAGAACCTCCCCGCCGACGAGCCACACTGACTAACTGGCAACCCAGGTCGAGACACGTTTGCAGAGAGATATCCAACCGTCGCGTCCATATAAGTATGTACCCACAACGTATTTGTGCACGCCGCTTACCTGGGTGCCTGGGTGGAGCTGTCACGGTCACGGAAGTCGAGCGTTGTGCATTCGATTCATTTCGTCATTACCAGCCCCAGTAGTCCAGGATGGCAAACGAGTTCCGCCGCTGCTTTCTATCGACAGTGCCAGCCTGGCTCCGCTTGGAAGATGGGAGGTCTATGTCCTGATCATGTGTCCTAACTTCTGAGAGAAATACGAGAACGACCTACACCGACATACCCGGGGTAAGGATCACAGAATGGGCAGTTGGCTGTCGGGAAGAGTTGCAATAAAGTTTGCTTGCTTTTCCTTCTCTCAGCCGGCCGGCCCCCTGGCCCCTGGCCCCCTTTGCTTTTTATTTTCGACTTTTGTCAATGGGCACTGGTGAAAGCACACAGTACAGATTTCAGCGACACCGACACGTCGGGCTACCCTGGAGTCTTGGGCTACGCTACCCTGGAGTCTCGGGCAGAGCCAGGGTACATACAACGTCTCCTGCTCATTTCAGCCGACTAGGGGTAGCTAGCTAGTAATATGTAAGTCCTGTGGGCTTCCATTGGCGGAACAGTGTGTCAGCGGGCGTTGAACGACTGGGCGGGTGGGAAAGAAACAAAAGCAACACCAATACCAATACCAACGCCAACACCAGCTGAGGAGTACTCGACAGTGCTCGCGGATCCCTGCGAACTCGATGCTACCGGGTAGCCACAGGCACACACGGTGGTGGGAAACTAGGTGGCAACGAGGTCGGGACACCAGTCTATCTCTCGACATACCGTCCACACTCAGACGTGTGGGCTATCCCATCCCATTTCCTTTGTCACGCTCCAAGGTCTAGGCCACACCACCAGCCATAGTAGGTGTCTGTCGTTCTTCCTTGCGCGTCCGCTACTGATGGACCCGTTCGTCGTCGACACGACGAACATGCTGCAAGTACCTACACCCCCGAGGTCCCAGGAAGCTTGGTATCAAAGCAACGGCATGCCTTCTTCCCAAGGCAGCGCCGGGTCAGATGTGAGTTTGACATCACATGAACGGGCATACTGTATAATCTCCAGTAGGTACTGACAGATCGACAGTCGACCGGCTCACCTGGTTTGGAGCGGTCATCGCCTGGCACTCGCACCCCAGTCACACGTGAAGCACATCAACCCATGGCCAAGCCCGCGCCGCCACGGTCGACCATTGCCCAGCAGCTTGAGGTGATGGATACCTGCGCTCAAGACGAGGGACTCTATCACAGTTGCGACAACCCATGTGAGTTCTGGGACGCTGTGGCTTGCAAGCTCTCTGGGCCCGTCAAGCCAACAGGACGGGAACTAGAGTTGCATGTCCGCGTTATATGTCACGAGCGAAGAGAATGTCTTTTGCGAGGCCAGATTCCTCCGCGCCGAGAGGAGTACGAAAAACTTGACATCGCCATCGACGCCTGGCTCCAGATAGAGGGCCGACGGATCCTTGAGCGCTGCGTCCAGGGAATTCGGCTGGGTTACCTGCTTACCTTCGGCCCGGAGGAGTCGTCTTATGAACATATCCTCTCCGAAGACTGTCTTGACAAGTTGAAGTCCAACACGGAACACATGAAGATGCAGAGGAGCAAGAAAGGCAGAGCTGGCCGCGTCACCAGTGTCCGTCTGGTTCGAGCCATCGAATCAATCGAGGCCAACGTACCTGAGCAGGGGCCGAAGCTACGAGCAATCACCCCTGATGAATTCTACGGCCCGACCTCCCGTCGTTTTCGTGATAGTCTGTCTCTGTTGCTCGAGCATGACGTCGATGGCTCAAGGGCCTTACGGGGCGCATACCCGGCTCCGATTCTTGGCAAGCTCGCCGAGAATATGCCAAACGCACCACTTGACATGCCGGCCAGGCATTTCGACACTGTGGTGGATGCGGACACCACCCCCGAGCCCGAAGACGCCTTGTACCCACCGCTTCGGCCGAGTTCGCATATGGTCACCACTGAAATTTCAACCTCGAGGCAGAACATCGGTGCAGGCGCTGGGCCAGATGCGTGTTTGGACAACTCTCGTCCAACACATCGAGAAGCTTCAGCCATCAGTCGTCGAACCCGCCAGCCAGAGAAGGGACAAGAAGCACGAAGAAGTGACAGTGCCAACGACAATTCATTGAAGATTCGGACGACCAGCACAGAACCTAAACTGTTCTCCGTCATAGACAGCGCTGCCCCAAGGCTTAGCACTCCTTCCAGCGTCGCATCTTCGGCTGGTGAGGTGTTCAGGTTCAGTGCTACCCCATATCGCCAAGCGTATCTACATGATGAGTCCGGTCAGAGTGCGTCCCCTGCACATGATCGTGCTCGTTACGGACGATCACCAGCGCCTTCAAAGGGGCAGGCGCGGGCTTCAGAAGCAGTGACAGGCCGCCATCGTGCAAGCGGGACTCGGAGGACTAGCAACGTTGCTCGAAACATTACCCCTATCGCCCCCCTGCTAGGTTCGGTATCGTCAGAGCCTCTGGCAGGGAGGCTGCAGCCCCTGACATCTTGCCGGGACTCACAAGATCAACCAGGCCACCAAGGGAACAAAATAAAACAATACAACCCCTTTGGCAATGTCCCGGTCATCGACCTGACCGAGTCCCCCAAACGAGAGCAACTAAAACGGGAAACAACATTCGGAGGCGACAATATGAACGGCGCGATGAACATATCGTCGGGAAATCTTGTCAGCCTTGTCTCTCACTCCGTTTCCCACGTCATCCGTCGCAACATTGCGGAGTTTGAGGACCGTGCCAACCGGCGGTTAGACATTGTGGAAGAGCATGCGAGGCGGTTGTGGCAGGGTACTAAGGAGTCCTAAGGTAGGCAGGCACACGGATGACTATCATATGCGGTCGCCTGTTGGCGTGGTGGTCCGTATGATCGTTGATTTGGTTCTGCCTGGGTGTAGGTCGGGACTGGCCAGGGCTTGTTTGTTTGTTAGGTATACTTTACAACCCATACATTATTTAGGCTTTTGGTCACCGGCTGCCGGGCTTACATTGTATTTATCCTCCCCTGCGGTGATTATATAGGACATGTGGATTCTGGAGTAGTTCTTATTTTTAGCCACGACTCGGGAGATTCTCTTGATAGCAGACGCATACTAGACACGAGTAGAACCGCAGCAGAGAGTCGTCCAGCGGCCTATGGGAATTGGACTCCTACTAACACACCGAGATTGGGCCCAGGTCTGCTCAGCCTGGCACCTGGCGGCCAAGACGCGAAGAAGTACCACCGAGCCCTAGCGAAGTACATATGGAGGACAGTTGGGAAGGTATGCTTGTATACTGTTGAGCCACAATGTTGTACCTGAATAAGGGATGGGCCGGCGATGTGCCCCATCACAGTGCGAGCATTTCGGTCGACTTGTCATATTCGCGTCTGAGGCCGAAGCCAATCGCGATGAAGCAGCTCGGTATTAACATGCGTGTGAAAAGACACTTGAAAGTGTCCCGTGTGAAAGGACACTTGAAAGTGTCCCCTGCGGCATTCACCACGTATACTCGTCACGGCCTAATTCCCGGACCTTGCACCTCTAGGGGGTCAACTCCTGGGCTCCGGCCTGTCCTGGTACTGGCTACTCTCACCAGCACCGAAGGTAGCAGCCTACTTCGCCAGTGCTGGGCCCGTACCTATTCACGGGCTCACGAGGGAAAAAATGACAAGGATTCGCGTGGTTGGGGACGTGACGCGTTGCTTTCGTGGTTTGACCCCGAGTTGACCCACAGACTTGATCAAATACCGCCCAGTTCTGCTATCTTCGCACCACATTGTCTGTCAAAATGGAACTCTAGTTCCAATACCCAGAGGCCACTCATCGACTTGAGTCCATATGCTTTTGCAGTGACTGTTCCATATCACGGCATTCCAGTCCGATTCTCAAAACTGTGCGTGAATCCGTTTCACTCGGAACCCTGTCTATGCCTCCCAAACTATAGCTGACTGCTTGCGAATATGTAGACAGGTCAACAGAAACCGTGTTCTCGCCTCATCGTGGGCGGCAACCATCAGTAAGAGATGGGGGCAGCGTCTACTGTGTCTTCGGACGCCGTGAAATGCCACGTCGAAAACGAGTAGGGGGGAAAGCCGCCCTTAAGCATCATCGTCGACCACCTTCTGGTGAACACTCGAGTGATAGGGCGCCCAGCAACAGCATGCTTTCAACCCGCAATGTTCAACATCCACTCCTCTCCAGTATCCTCACAGCCCCCGAGTCCTCCATTCTGCCCTCGGCGCGGCATTAATACCGATCAACCACATACCAGACAAAACGAGGAGCCAGAGGGCCAAGTGAGGGCCGCGGTTGGCGTTGAGAGTCCAAGCCAAGCTGTGAGGTCTTCTGTAAGTACCGCCATTCCATCATTTCGGGATGAAAACCTCTCTGACATACGAGCAACTAGAATGAACCTGAGCTGAGGCCCCGAGAACTCTCTCCGATGCCTCCCACAGCAGTCCGCGATCGAATCCGTCCACCACCTAGAGGAACAAAAGTGCGCCTGCCATCACATGAGAGACCGAAGCTGCTCAAAATAGCCTGCAAGCATCGAGCCAAATACTTGGACTGTCCAGTGTCGGGCAAACATGCAGAAGAGGAATTCTTGAGACCGGTCATGCAAGAGTTTTCGGACACGGTCCGCGCAGGCGTCTTTGACTCATGCTCAAGCTTGAAGTCTACCATCAATAGGATCTGCCGTGATCGGTATAGCAAGACCAAGGGACTTGGACTGCACCCGAGGAAAGGCGCGGTGCCTGAAATCAGTACCTGGATCGACCGGTGGGTGCGCGTTTGGAAGTGCCGTGATCTCATCAACAAGGTGACGACTGCTGTCGGCTCGCTGCGGGAAGCCATCGGGCCGCACAAGGTCAAGCGTATGTTCAGACACCGGCTCGTTGTTGACGAATTGCCCACGGACTTGGCCATACTCATGCTTTCCGCGCCAGTCTGGGAAGCCTACCAAAAGCACATTCGGGCTGTCAAAGGGCCTTGGCCAGGCTGCCGCGACGGACCAGTGGAGGACTCCAGCGCCGACGGCTCGGATTGGAGTGACGAAACCGATTCGGAAAGGGGTCTGGAGACAACAGCTGATAGGGACTGCTCAACACCATTGCCGTCTATAGAGCAGGATGACGGCATGGCGCAAGGCCACTCTTTCCCAGCAGTGGGATGCCCTACGCCCGAGCCAGGAAGCGTGTTGGAACCAGACCTTCCAGCCACGTCGCCAACTACGCTGCACAAGCTTAACCAGTTGGAAGAACGTGCCATCATCATGCTCAAACGTGCGAAGGGAAAAGGCACGAGGGACGATGTGAGCATACTTGATCTGGCGCAAGCTCATATGAATCGAGAACCACAGGATGCAACCAGAACCCGTCCACTCCGCTTTCACGATAGCCAGAGACGATTCAGCACGCAAGCCAATTCGCATACCGCGGCGACGGTTGACGTGACCAGCGTTCAAGGGCCCAACAGCCCTTCAAGCCCGGGGACCTCCGTTCGACCGATATCTCACATCATGAACATATCGCCAACCACGAGTCCAACTGGGGATGCCCAACAAGATGATATCACCGACGCTCTGTTGCTTCATGCGGCAAAACTGTCCCGCGAGGTGGTCGAAGATCGGCTAAGTGCAGCTGCTTTCCCAGTGAAGGAAATTCACGACGCCACCGGAGGAGTCTGTGCATGGCACAGAGACGAAAGGGCGCGGAAGCTTACAGCCACCTCCAGCACATCGAGTGACAGGGAGATCCCGCCCTACGAGGCTCGGAAGACAGCGAGTCAAGCGGAGCAGTGTTCGCTGGCCCGGCCATCCCCAATTCCAGGGCGACGGGCTGGCGTAGATTCTGGAGTACACGGAGTTCAGGCGGCCTCCAGCAGCGGATCAAAGGAGCACACAGCTCAGGCGGCCAGCTGTCCAGGACGGGAAACGCCGGCCATCTTGAGAGAGTTCAATGACAAGCAGGCACGCAACCGAGAGAAGCCACTGGCGCCGCAGAGAGTTCCATATCGATGCTCGCCACTGAAGAAGCCGACTGTGAACTACACGAGGCTGAGCCAAACCGAAATACGACCTGTGGAATTCTACACCTCTTCATATGTGAACGGTAGTGCCCTGCAGTATTCCGCTCCTCCGACACAATTGAGCACCACTACGTCCTCAAAGCCTGGCCACATCAAGAGGACGAGATCCCCGGGGAAACCGTTCAAATTTCGTAAAGACTTGGGAAGAGGCGATGATAGTTCGGCCCAGTCCAGCTTAGGCCTGATGTCTTCCTCTGCCGGCGGTGACTACGAGATTTCCGACGATGAGAGTCTGCCGTCTGTTGAGGAGATTGGTAGACGTCTCAGGAAAGGGTTGATATCCCCGCCAGCCATAACGCGTGGCGGTGTTTCACCTACTCCTATCGAATTACCAGCTCGGGCGACTCCTCTTTCGAAGGGTAAAGCGAAGCCCTCGCCCAGGTCTGCACCTCGATCAGGTCACGGGTCAACCCCTACAGCGATGCTTCCCCCGAAGGTGACGCCAGTGCCGCCGCCGCAGATCCCACGTCTGCAACCGGTGCAGAATCAAGCCGGGCCTTTCCCCAAGCCGACCTTCAAGTCAGCTTCCAAGCTCACGCCTACAGCCACGCTTCCCCAGAAGGTGACGCCAGTTCCGCCGCCGCAGATCCCGCGTCTGACATTAACTCCATCACATGATGAAGCACCTTCATGTCACGCACCCAAGTCTGCGAACGTCGTGACAGGCTGTACACAATCACTGAAACGCAAAAGAGTGACAACTGTGCCCACAAGAGCGAACAGGGCAGCAGGGCTGACAGGGAATGAAGGGTCGCGCGGGTCCCCAAAGTACACAGGGCGGGCTTCCAGAACCGAAGACAGCCGGTCAGCGAAGCGGCAGAGGCAGTCGCTGCTACAGACACCCGAGGCCGGAAAGCAAGACACGCAAGTGAAGGGCGGCTTTTGGACACCTACACAAGAAGCAGAGGGCGTCCGGGAAAACCAGCTGCAATCCATCAACATTCCAGCAGCGGAAACAAGAGCGCAAGGAAATATCACCAGTCGCATCAGGAGCCCGAAAGACCACGTCGAGGGCAATATTGCAGGAGAAAGCAGTCAGACGTGGACCACGCTATTCGCCATATCGTAGAAATGGCAGAGAGAATACCTCGCTGCCTTCCTACGTGATGGGAAGCTCGCCAAGCTCGGCCACTTCAACTGGCGGCGAACAGCCTAGCCGACTTTCCTTTGAACCAGACGTTATCTTGGCGACACCGACGAAGCAGGCGCCAGATCCGATGACACCATCGCCAGCCAGCACCAGCCTGTTTGTGTCTTCCGGCTCCGGAACGCCAGACAGTCGGTGGACTCCTCGGAACAGGGACGGCCATAGCTGGCGGCGGCGTCGTAGGCTGGACAGTAGAGACCGGACAAGCGGGAGGTCATGGAGGGATATGACGGCCGATACCATGGAGCTGCAGCGGCTCACACCTGAAAGCAAGTTGAACGTGATACGTGGCAAGCTCTCGCGGCTCATGCGCGCCGTCGAGTAGGATATAGCGGTTCCAAGTAGGGTGCTGTGTATTTACAGCGACGGCGAGCACCAGGCAGCACCAGGAGCACCAGGAGCACTGGATAGGTGCTTATAATTAGTCGGTACATGGAATGGCACAGAGCTCGATAGAATGTTTTGAAGTAGGGTTTTTGGTTCAATGGACCGTCCTTTCAACTGTGTGTCTTGCTGTTTGCATGCGCCATCGTCATGACCACTCGCTTCATAACTTCCATTGGCAAGGAATCGTATCCTGATGGGCTTAGGGAATCGCGGGAAAATCCGGAACCCGGACAGCCAGCATTGAGAATGTGGCAATGTCTCTCACATGCGAAAATTGAAAGAAAAAGAGCCAGCCTCGGCGCATGAGTCAGGATGCTTGACACAGCACACTGTACTGGGAGACTGCGTTCAGAATCCGGGGATAGTTCGTGCCGGGTGACATGGCTGCAAGGCTGCATGGGGTGATCAGTCATTCAGTCCACGATCGTTTCAGTTTGTAAAAGTCATCCCTTTCCGAGGCACAAGTGGCCAGCTGGGTGTCGATACATTTTGGGAAATGGTCGTCAGGTCGATCGTGTTATTCACACGTGGATCAGACGACACACACACACATGTCCATTTGTCGGGATGGATCATGGATGTGGAGGATGGTGGGCGAACGGGCGCAGGGGGCAGGGAACAGGGGGCAGGGGACAGCATCTCAACAATCGACCGATGCGGTATAGCAGGGGAGGGAGGCTTCCCCAACAGAAAAAAAGACAGGAAAGGGGTCGAGGGGGACGAGGGGTGAAAGCGGAGAATCCTCGTTTAGTTCCGCTGTCCCGCCATTCTGAGACAGTGAGACTCCATCCACTGGTCCAGTCTGAGGCGCCGAGGCGGGTGCGGCCTGGACCCCTGGGAACCCCTGCAGTGGACCTCACAGCTGGAGGTCGCCACGATTCCCGACCCAGCGGGACTGTGACGGTGTGACCGCTGCAACGGCAGAATGCCAAACGATCGGTGCCCACTGCCTTGAAGATTCGGAAACGTGTGCCTGCCTACCTAGGTAGCCTGCCTCTGCGTGCTTGTCATCGATGAGTAAAAGTAATAAGGAGGGTAAACATTGACCAATCGCGTCAAGAGTAGGTAGGCGGGAGCTGCTCTGCCCACGACACTTAAAGCAATGAGGCGGTGAGTGCCGGATGTATGTATGTAAGGTACCTAACTACCAGCACTCGTGAACCCTGAGGGGTTGCCCGCCCGGCACATGCCATTCGCTTTAACTGCCCGCAGGAGGTTCCCTGCGACCTGTGTACATGTACAGTGGATATCAGATGGCGCCAGGCAAGTGCTCGCCGGAGGACTTGCCCCAGATGCATGTATACCAGTAACAAAACTGATGAAGATTCAGTGTCCCAATTGATGCCATACTACTGTACCTAATGCTTCGAGGTTCAAAGTTATAAGGTTCAATATCAATTGAGTGTTCCAGTCTGAGCCGGAGCCCTGGGCACCACTGAAAGTCTTGGGTCAGGTGCAGGTACTTCCCCAAGGCAGGAAACTTCCGTCGGGGCGTAAGTACCAATCGACGGGAGGTATCCGGACATGTACATGTACTTGTACCTCTTCAAACCCTACCTCCTACCACCCCGGGCCCGTGGACCACAGGGGATTCCCTTCCCCGGTGCGACGCTCCCACATTTTGTTTTCAATCTTCTCAAGTTCTCAGTTCTGGCGGCCCCCCTGGTGGTGCGACTTCAACCCTTCGCCTTTGTAGACCAAAACATATAACACCAAACTCATCACCCTCAGGCCCTGCCCTGCCCTGCCGCCTGGATTCCTCCCTCCAGACTCCAGTCTCTCTTCGTGTCTCGAGCCCGCCGCCGTCCGCCGTCCGAAGGGTGTCCTCCATAGCCCATCATGACCACCATGGCTTCCCCATCTGCCTCTGCCACCGGCCTCGCACGCCCCAATCCCGCTCTTCGCCGAACCATGACCTCCACCACCACCGACACCGACTTGTCGTCGCCCTCGACCGCCGTTGGCTCCCCGATCGACTCCCCTAACGCCTCTGCCTCGTCCACCTCGCTCTCCTCCATGTCCTCCATCGACGGCGCCGACGCCCACGGCAAGCTCGTTGACACGTACGGCAACGAGTTCCAGATCCCCGACTACACCATCAAGGACATTCGTGATGCCATTCCCAAGCACTGCTTCGAGCGCTCCGCCGTCAAGGGCCTGTACTACGTCTTTCGCGACATTGCCAGCCTGGCTACCACCTTCTACCTCTTTCACACGTATCTGACCCCCGAGAATGTCCCGTCCACACCGGCACGCGCCCTTCTCTGGGGCCTGTACACCATTCTTCAGGGCCTGTTCGGCACCGGCGCCTGGGTCCTTGCTCACGAGTGTGGTCACCAGTCTTTCAGCACCTCCAAAGTCTTGAACGACACGGTTGGCTGGATCCTCCACTCGGCCCTCCTCGTGCCCTACTTCAGCTGGAAGATCTCCCACGGCAAGCACCACAAGGCCACTGGCCACATGGAGCGTGACATGGTCTTTGTTCCCAAGACTCGCGAGGAGAGGGCCAGCCGCCTTGGGAAGCTGGTCCACGAGCTGTCCGAACTCGGCGAGGAGACCCCGATTGTCACCTTTATGTATCTTGTCGGGCAGCAGCTGGTGGGCTGGCCTAGCTACCTCATGTCCAATGTCACCGGCCACAACTACCACGAGCGCCAGACCGAGGGTCGCGGCAAGGGAAAGCAGAACGGCTGGTTCCAAGGCGTCAACCACTTCAGCCCCAGCAGCCCACTTTACGAGGCCAAAGACGCGAAGCTGATCCTGCTGAGCGACTTGGGACTGGCTATCACTATCGGAACTCTGGTCTTCCTCGGCAACACCTTTGACTGGAGCAATTTGTTGGTGTGGTACTTCTTGCCGTATCTATGGGTTAACCACTGGCTTGGTAAGTATCCACATCCCCTGTGTAGTGATGAGAAAGCTGACCGTGCCGTCCGTCACACAGTTGCCATCACCTTCCTCCAACACACCGACCCTACCCTTCCCCACTACAAGGGTGAATCTTGGAACTATGTCCGTGGTGCCGCTGCGACCATCGACCGTGAGTTCGGTTTCATCGGGCGCCAGCTGCTGCACGGTATCATCGAGACCCATGTTCTGCACCACTACGTCTCCACCATTCCCTTCTACAATGCCGACGAGGCCTCCGACGCCATCAAGAAGGTCATGGGCCGTCATTACCGGTCAGATACCGAAGGAGGCTCGCTTGGTTTCGTCAAGGCTCTGTACAAGAGTGCAAGGTGGTGCCAGTGGGTTGAGCCCAGCGAGGGAGCCACTGGCGAAGGGAAAGGCGTGCTGTTCTTCCGAAACACGAACGGTTTGGGCACGAAGCCTATCAAGATAAGTCCCAAGAGACAAGGAATGGTCATTGGAGTTGATGAGTAAATGACACAGACTGGACACATCTACTCATCAACAACGTGGCACCCATCGGCGTTGGACGAGTCAGCACGCCCCCAACAGCATTTCAGCCTTCCCTTCGCGGTATATTCATGGTGTTGTACTGCAGTCGTGGTACAATAGGTAGTGCTTCGCTGGCTCGCTGTCCTTGATAGTCGGATCCTGCGAACCGATCTGCATTCTAGAAACAGCGAAACATAGCACGCCTGAAGGATAGAAAAAGCCGAGAAAGCGAACATTGTAGTTTGTCCAGATAGACATAGATGATAGACTGGAGAAGACTGGGGATAACCCACGCGCATCCCAATAGCATAGCCAATATTTCGAATGTTTCTACCATGTTCTCGACCGCTTCTGTCATCTAGTTGGTCGTATTCCTCGACCCGTTGGTGAATGCAACTGTTGAATGCCAAGTCACGCAGGCATTATGGGGGCAGAATGATGTTCAAGTACAGACAAGATGGCCGTGTCGAGGTGGACGTCGGACTGATGCGCACCCAGGTTCAAGAGTAAGCAGTGAATAGTAGGCACCCACTCAGCCATTGTTGAAAGTGCGGGGGAGTCGGGTGGAAGAGGTAAGACGTAATGGTGATACAACTGCCCATACTTCACCCCCTTGACTGGCTCGGATGATTGGCGAGTCCATTCACCCACTCGTTTTGGGTTAAGTAGTCAAGCGCAGTTTCATCCCTACCAGCTTCCTCAAACCACATCGTAGTGGAAGATTATGTGGTCGGCCAATGGGCATGATACCCAAGCGTGACGTGGGTATTCGATTTCCGAAGTAGTAACCTGTAGGCTGTAAGATGGTGATGATCCCGTCCCCGTCCTGTCAATTTACCAGCGCGCATCTATCTGCTATATAAGCACACATTGGTTTTGAGCAGTGTACCAAGCAGGATCTATCAGGACTCTGACCTTTCCATTGCGGTGCAGCAGTATCATCGTGGCCCGTGATTACGGGCGGACTTTCCGGTGTTCGTGACACAACTCCACGTCCGCCATCGCGACGATACTGTATCTCGAAAGTCATCTTGTCCTGCATGGTCTATGTTCTGTACCACTACGAACCCGAAGTGCGAACCTTACAAAGGTCGTAGGAGCGTGCTGGTGGTCAAGCCTGTTGAAACATGCTGCCGTCGCTACGACTCATCTGCTAGACAAGTCGAGAAATAAGACATCGAAATACTAGACACCACGCGCAATCCAGATCGATGCGGATTCTTTATCAAATAATAGCACATATTTTTATTTTTCGGCGTAGTATCTAGTCACATGAGCTCTTCTCTGCCAAGAGCAAGTCAAGACTCTGCCAGTAGCAATAGCAAAACATACAAACACAACGGGTATACCTTTTTCCTTGGACCCTTCAACAGGGGCAGCAGCCTACAGGCCGACTTGCCATCGAAGTCCAAGCCATTCTCTGCAAACTCATGCTCTGCGATAGTCCCAATGTAACAAACACTTTCTCCCGGCCAGTACTTGCCACGTGATATATGCACCTGTGTCAGGACGGCATCACAATTCCCGGCACACGAGGGACGGGAACTCTGTTTATGGCGCCATATTTTTCTTTCCTCCCCCTTGCATGATTCAGCATCACGAAGGCCATGGAAATGGCCAGAAGACACGCAAGCCGGGGCCAGTACGGCATCACGTAACACCCGGCGCTCGCCGTCTCACTTGGACTCGGGACTAGTGGGTCGTGAAGTGGTCGGTGGTGTCATTAGCGATGAGGAGGCGCCCTTGGACGAGAAGCTCAAGCTCATCGGGGGGACGTCCTGACGAAGATATGCGCGAGCGACCCCAGCCTGTTGCTGCTTGGAACGAAATTCACGGTGGCGACCCCATGCTGGCCAACGGACTCTCTTCTTTCCCCCTTTTGCCTTTTCATCGCTGTTCTTGTCTTCGCTACGATCAGTGCTGTTGGTAGTAGACTTCTGTTTCTGGCGCTTGCGGCCCTCGTTGGCCACGGGGTCTTCAGCTGCACTGACAGTATCATCCATCCCAGGGCGCTTCCTATTCCTGCCCTTGGGGACGACAGTCGCGTGGTTGGCCTCGACCGGCACAGGAATAACTCTCGATGGCGCCGAGAGCGGGTATGGCGATGCATGCTTCACGCCCCGCTCTCTCTTCCTAGCCCCCTTGCTCTTCTTGCCTTTTGGTGCGACATCGACAACGCTGGCGATGGGCGGAGCAGGCGTGACTGTAGGATGCACTGGCGTGGATGTCGTGGATGATCTTGGCGGGTTGTGCTGTTCGGCACCTGTGTTCGCGAGGACTTGGGAGGCAAAAAATGGAGGCAGGGGCACCGGCGTGGTTGACACCAGGCGGCGGTTAGGAGCCAAGCCAGAAGCTCCGTTTGCAAGAGTCGATTCAGAACCAGGCCCAACGGGAGTGATGGTGTTCAGCCAGTGTGAAGACTCATGCAGGACAAAGTCAAGTGCCTCCTCGTAAGGGCCATGACATGGTCCATTCACCCTGTCCGCGGCATCACTCATCTCCTCAAATGTTTTCAAGGGGCGGGGGAATTCACTGGGATCGGTCTCGGGGCCTAGGACACGGTACGAAGCTCGTTGCTCTGCCGTGAGCGCGGGCAACTCCACGGCGATGTTGATGACATCTGATTTCTCCTTGTTGCCTTTCGAACTTGGCTTTACCCGCTTCGTATGGGCTATGTTCCGTGTAGGTCCTGAGCGTTGATCATCGGTTAACGGTACAAGACCACTGTGCGTGTTGAGGGGCTTGACGCCCGTTGGTTCGTGGGACGCCAATGGTGCCTCGAACGGTTCAGTCGTTGATCCAGTTACTCGCCTCTCAGCAATACCGTTCAGGATGTACATTGCACTAGGATGCCCAGGCTTCGGAGGGGCCGGAATCGGAGTCTGGGCTGTCTTCCGGGGCAGAAAAGCAGGGATACCGGAGCTTGGTTCACTGCTGCTGATTTCCGAAGCATCGCCTTCATGATTGGTATCTTTGTTGGCCACATGCGCTGGTGACGCCACTCTGGCACTTCTCCCCGCAGGGCTAGAACTCATCAGTGCTCCCAGCTCTTGGTTTGACGGGGGCGAAGACTCCCAATTTGTCGTCCATTGCCTGGCAATGAGGGTTGACGTGGCCTCGGAATCTGCTGAGGGCGGTGAGAACGTATTACTGGGAGACGGAGCTGGAGCCAGGCCGTCTGGAAGCCTTGCCGGCGTCTGGTACTGATCCAGACTTGTTTCGTCAGTGTGTTGAGTCGGTAAGATATTATTGCCGGTGAGGACGTACTGTGCTGTCCGATCCCTTCGCTCTACTCGCTCTGTAGCTTTCGCACGAGCTACCAAGGACAACGCCAACTTTGGAGTCCAATGTCCAACAGTTTCCGCCGTCGGCGCAGTATGAAACGACGCCCCCTCATCTGAATCACTTGGACTTTTCGAGCTGTTATTGCGCAACTCTAAATGACGTGAATCTGGGTCTTGCTCCTCCGACGAGACGTTCGACAATGCGTGCGTCGCTTGAAGAATGGCAGTTTTCTCCGCCTGGGCGAGAACCTCGTCATTTGGAGCCTGGTAGCCAGGTCTGAAATTGCCCTCATTTGGTCCAGTGATGACATAGCCTTTGAATGGCCCGCCGCGGAACCAGACATCATGACCCTGGAGTTCAAAGTCGATTCCCGGAAACTTTCTGGCCCATCCCCATGGGTTCCACCAAGGCTTTCTCTTGGGGGAACCCTTTGGGAAGGCGGTGATGTGGTGACCTTCATTGTCGTTCTCATCTGAGACGGCGTCTCCGTCCTGGTTCGGCGGCGTTGGTGAGCTTGCAGCATCCGCATTCGCCCCATCGTCACAATCGGAGGAGTCAGAATTGCTTGAAGCCTCCGAGAATGCGTCACGAAAACGTTTCGAGTACCCCAGGCCAAGCCTGACAGCTCTGCTGCTTGATACCTGGCTTCGCACTCGAGGCGTTATAGTATCGATCGGAGAAAACGCCGGCGTAGATCTCGGGTTGGAAGAGCTGCGGGGGTTCTGCGCGAGCCCTGGCCGTGTAGAGTGCAGAGTGTTACGTTGAGTCCCTCGCCGGGGAGGCTGGTCGTCAACATCAGTATCGTCGGTTGATTGCTCGTCATTGTCCAAGGCAGGATGGTACGCGTCTACAGAATGGGTGAAATCAGCAAAGAACGACTTAGGCAAGGGCCTATCTGCTTCTTGATGACTGTCAGTGGCCACGTTTAAGACAGCAGGGGCAGAGCAGCAAAAAAAAACATACCTTTCTTCGCGGACTTGGTTGTCGTTATGCTCTTGACATGGTTAATAGCCGATGCAGGCGTGCTATGGCCCCTGGTCTTGGGGCGGGAGGTTTTTTGGATTCTGGTTCCACCGATTGAACAGCCAACCTCCTTTTGCTTCGGGTAACCGAGCTCTCTCTGTGGATCCTTCGAACTATTGTACTTCTCGTCACCGTCAAATGACTCCCCGTCATCTTGTGACGAGGAGTCTGTCAAATAAATGACATTGGCATTTGCTGGGATCTCTACTGGGGTGCGTTGACTGGATGCGCAGCTGTGAGAAGTCACCCCATTGGTAGCTAGACCCGAAACCTCGTCGCCGGACGAACCGCCCAATGAGATGATCTTAGCATCTGGTGGAATGCGCGACACAGAGCGTCGACGAGGTGTTAACGCTGGCTGAGATACGGGCAAAGGAATTCGGGATGGATCATGCCCACTCGAGGAAGAGTCCACGGAGATGATGTCTGCATTTGCTGGGATCGGCAACGGGGTCAATGGTTGTGACTGGTAAGTATGTAGCATTCCGGAACCTGATCTTGATTTGGATGGGGTTGTAGGTGTGCGGAAATTCGTGCCAGCGCCTGTGTGCAGGGAGTCCTTCCTTCCCGATCCATCACTGCGGGAAGTAAGCTTGACAGGTCTGCTGCTGGCCCTGGGGTTCTTTGCAGATGAGGCCAAACCAAAGGTGGTTAGTTTCGCCTCGAGTTTGCGGACTGGCAACCTATTCATCTCGCTGTCGGAAGGAACCTCGTACGGGTCTCGAAGACCGTTGTGAGCGCCCGCCCCGCAGGCCGTTGCATGCGTTGCTGATTTAGGCGTATCGGTCATGACCTTCACCTTGCCCATCTTACTGCTCGGATAGGTAGCAGGTTGGGTGGCGGGTGCGCGGGCATCAACGCGTGCTCGGTAGGACCCAGGAGATGAGTGACTCGAAGCTTGGAGTCGTACCTGCTCCAAGACAGAACTTGATTGGGTGGCAGGCGTGAGCGCAGCGCTTGGCCGTTCCTTGATAGCAGGACCAGATCTCGAACCAATGCCTGAGGGGCGCTTGACAGCGGGTAAAGATCTTTGCTCTGGCGCCTAGAGATATGTCATCAGAAAGAGCCTTGGAGACGAGAGAGGACACTGCTGCTTACCTTCGCAGACATACTGTAGTTCGTTTTAGATGTAAGTAAGGCCTTGGATTGGCGGGAGTAAGGGCATGATGGGAAACGGGGGAATGTTGTCTGCTCCAATTGCAGTGGGGAAGGAAACCAGGTTGTTCGTAGGTGTGGGTAGACGCGCCGAGCACTTTGGGAAACAGGTCGAACAATCAGAGGCACCGGGAGTGGAGGAATCACAATGGACGAGGTGGAGCAGGTGCGACAGCTGGATGCGCAAAAGAATGTGAGTGGTATTTGAGTTCGCGCGTGGTTCTTGGAGATGCCTAAAAGTAAAGGTAACGGGTATGAACGATGCGGCTAATGCCTGATAGATAATTGAGGTCGCGTTCGCGTCTACCTAACGGTCGCGTCGTCCTCACGAAGCCCCGTGACTCGTGACTAAGTTCGCACGTGACACATTTGCTTACAAGTACACTGAGCCCTCACAAGTCTCCCTACGCTCTGGTTGATAAGATTACATATCAACCATAAGATGTTTCATATGCCGGAATAAGCACATAGGAATAAGAAGCTCTGGTCCAATACGTCACTCTCGATGCTGATTCCAGTGTGTTGATTCCAGTTTGATGAATATACCGTTGTATGCTGGACGGGTGGTGTACGGAGACTTATGAGGGTACATGTAAATGCCAAGACACGATGTTAGTTAGGTCTGGCCCAAAGCTGACATTCGTGTGCGGTCGTCATTACCAGGTAGTCATGGACACGTTGTTAGGCCATGGACCCCCATCGGTGTTGATATCCACCTCATCAGACCAACACTGCTACAGCTAGGCACAAGGTCGCAATCAGCCACAGGCAGGAATCACCAGGTCAAGTTATCTACAACTATATCATGTACACGCCGACTTGGATTCCAACTGCTCGTCGACTCATAGAGGCGTTCTGGGCTTGAAGTAGTCTCTGAAAGCATCCGCCTCCTCGAGGTTCAGCTTGTAGATCACCGCGCAGCACACTATCAACAGATTCGGGAACCGTCTGGTCCAAAACCCAAGATACCCCTCCGGCACGGGCCCCACCATCTTCTTGAGGGACTCGTTCATGTCACCATAGTGGAACCGCTTGTTTCTCAGCGCCCGCAGCAGATCCAGCAGTCTGGATCCCGTGTACTTTCGCTGTTTACCGAGGCTGTCGACGAACTCCTTGGGTAGCGCCTTGAGAAAGTCGCCGCGGCAGATCTGAGGCGCACACGCCTCCAGGTCCACCAGCGCCTTGGACGGCGGATCTCGTGGCTGAAGCTCAAAGTAGTCCGAAACGTCACAGAGGAAAGCCAGACGTTCCTTGGGAGACCAGAAAAACGGGTGTGACATGACATCCCTGGCCGACGGCCGCGTCCTCGCCTCGGAGCGAAGCATCGTCTCGATCAGCGCCTTCGCTTCGTGCGCAAAGTCACCCAGAACATCGAGTGGCGCGAGGTTGAACTGTCCCTTTCGAATGTTGACTTCCCTCATGTACCGATCACCACAGTCAAACGGGTGCAGGCCCTTGGTGAGCACATAGTAAAAGACAAGGCCAAGACTGAATATGTCTATGGCCCGAGTCGCTCGCCGGTTGGGCATCACGTCGGCGCTGACGAGTTGGCTGCTGGAGTCACTATGCGTGCTCGTCATCGACAAGGTCGAACTCTCGCGCGCGTCGTCGTCCAAGAGCAGCTCGGGCGCACGCCAACCCGACGTGCCAGCGGCGTGGGCCGTGGTCGCGCCAAAGGACGACTGCCCGCCCTCGAGCTTCTTGCAGAGTCCAAAATCCGACACCAGTAGTCGAGGTTTGCCATCCCGACCCATCGTAACCAAAATGTTCTGAGGCTTCAGGTCCCGGTGGACGATGCGCAGGTCGTGGAGGAACCCGAGCCCATTTGCTATCTGCAATAATACCCGCGGTAGATCCATTTCGCCTGCTTGTGCAAGGTCTGGGAATAGATGTGGCTTGTCCACGATGTCAGACAAAGACGCCTGGCATAGCTCTAACGCAATGTACAAGAAACTGTCGTTTTTCGACATGGCGAAGTAACGGATGACTGGCGGTACAGGTTAGCACCTCCACTAAGTTGGTTAAGTCGGGCAGGGAGCTCGTACCATTTGGGTGGTGGTCACTTTCCAGCAGCAGCTGGGTTTCCTGTGTTGCAATGTCCCAGAACTGTGTTAGCATGCGCTTCACTGCAACGTCGCGGCCGTGAAATCTGCCCGCGAAAACCACCGTGCCGTTGCTTCCCATCCCAAGCTGCTCTTCCTGGTCGACTTCTATGCCGCCGATCTTCACAACGGGCCCGCTCACATCCTCCGGGTCGTTGTTCACGGTTGTGACGTTGGGTTCCAGCTTCGGAGGTATACCAATGTTTTGGAGACCTGGAATGCCATCTTCCGGCTCGGGAGAACCATTTTCGGTGGAAAGGTCAGTAGCCTCTCGCTGCTTCTTAACTCCTTTCTTATGCTTCACCCCACCTCTGCGGCCGCGGTGGGCTTTCTTCTTCTTCTCGGGCGACTCGAGGTCATCCTGCGGCTGCTGTTGACCAGCCGCATCCACAGCCGCGGCTTCAGGCTCAACTGGAGGAACAACAGGGGCTACCGCTCTATCACCAACTTCCTTCGCACCTTGATCATCCGTTCGTGGGAGGGGCGCGTCCAATACGTCACCACTCTTGGACGCATCGTTGCTGGTCGGATCCGTCGGTTGAACAAATGTAGGGGTCTGAAGGTAATCCGTTTGACCGGCTCGCCTCCTGAACCACCTCCTCAGGTCCTTGTAGTAGATCCACATGAAGACGATGAGAACCGGAATCAGAATCGGGTTCTTGATGAACTCCTTGGTCCTATCAGCAGCATATTGAGGCAGAGTAACGACCGTGTCGACGATCTTGGGATAGTCTTTCTCTACACCCGGCAGCTGGGTGGGCACGGCCGACTCGTTGTCGGTGTTCTCAGATCTTTCCGACTCTGAAAGGGAAGTCGACGGTAGACCTGGGGGGAGGCTTGATGGCCAGTGTGGCATGCTCCTTGCACTACCCAGAGTGTGGACACCTACCAGTGCAGCGTTGATGCGTGCGTCCTCAAGAAGGGCTCGGGTGCTTTCGCTATCCCATCGATCCCTTCGATTGATCTGTGCGTTGGGGGCGTTGACGATGAGCGGGTACGACCAGCCTGACATGGCATACCAGCTGCCTGAGCTGGTATGGTTCAGGAACACACTCTGACTCCTTGCCTGAGCCGACTCTGGGTCGCGGATAGGAAACGTAGGCTGAGGTAGGAGGACAAGCTCGGGGTTGCTGCCGTGCGGAGCATCCTCGGGTCTTGCGATATCGAATACACGAGCCACAGGGACCGAGAACTGGCGGGCAAAGGAGGTGATACCCGTCGGGTGAACGAGCGCGTATACTTTGCCGTCATGTTGACTGGTGAAATACCGATTGTCCTGAGTGGCTCGGTACTGCTGGTGGAGATCGCTATCAAAGTTATTGGGGCCCCATTCGGCATATCTGAGCGTGGCGATCATCCTGCCATCGTCGCGGCCATGTATAGTCACGGTGTATTCGGTGCGAATAAGGGTGATGGTGCCAGTATCGCTGCATTCATCACTGCCTGTATCAACGAGATGGCCGTTGGGTGGGAAACAGGTAGCACTCTGGTCGACCTGCGCGCCGGTCTGTCCAAACCATTTCAGGACCCTGCCGGTGGCAGCGTCGACGGTGATGAGTGTACTCTTCTTGTCGCCAGTATAGACGACAGGTGGATTAGGGACCGCAAATGTTCCATCTACCAACTGCTTCATGGTGAAACCGGTGGACAATAGGCCACTGCCCAAGCCTGAAGGCGTCCAAACATACACAGCACCGTCATGTGTAGGCTCCACTACCCATATATAATCATCGAGGGGGTGGCGACCATGCTGAGGCTCGTGGTCTGCGAGGGAGGCATTGGGTCGGTGATGGATGGTTTCGACGACAGGCTGTTCGACCTCGAGGTGCCAGCGCTCGTCGCCGGACTCTCGATTGACGGCATAAAGGTGTCCATCGACGGTCGCCAGAAGAATGTAGTCTTCCACTTCCCAGTTCTCCAGACTCCGCGCAGACTGCAGCGAGGATAGCCCAGCATCGGCAAGGAGGCTGGGCATATGTCTAGGAGAGTTTGGTGCTCGAACGGGCTGAGCCGGAGCCAAAGTTGCGAGGGCGCTCGCATCGTGAGGTATCGGGGTGTTCTCGAATCGTTGCTGATCGCTACTTCCAGGACGCTCCTCAGCGGTAGTCATGGAGCTTCGGCGGCTTTTCGGGTCGGTGCCGCCGTGAACACTGCGTGGGTTTGACGATGTAGCGGCCAGACTGCCCACGACTCGATCAGCTTCGAAGGGGGATTCTTGTCGGACACGGGGAAAATGTCGGCCTTCATGGCTGTCCACGTCGATCTCGTGAGCCTTCAAAATATTGGCAACCGATGCTTGTTGAGGGGAGGATTGCGGTTGGTGTTGTTGTTGTTGTTGTTGTTGTTGCTGCTGCTGCTGCTGCTGCTGCTGAGCATCGACAAGCTGGAGCCAATAAAGGAAGAATAAGGCCAAGGCCAGTAGAACCTTGTGCTGTTGGGCGACTAGCCGTCCCTCGCCAGGAGGCCGTCGCAACATGATGAAGACGACAACGTGATATATTAGATATGACTCAAGGGATGTAGACGGGCAAGGCTTGTGATGACATCGAAGACGGGTACGGGGTCAAAGTACGAAGCAGAAGCAGTCTTGTAGAGCAGGCTGGGCTGAGGCAAGGCGATTGGCAAAGCGCGCAACTCTTGCAGCGTGGCCGGGTCGAAGGTGAGAAGCGGCAGGGCGGCAGAGCGAAGAGACACGAGATTCACAGGACGGGCGGAGCAAAAACGAAGACGATTGTTGATTTTGCGTGGTACAATAAGTGGCAGAGAATGGGTCGGACGGCGAGGGTGAGTCGGCGAAGTCTTGGACAATGGCGCAGCCAACGGTCCTCGTGCAATCGTCGATGGAAATTTTCGGGAATAGGAATCCGAACCTGGGAGCCTAGCGGGCTGGCGCACTGGCAGGCTGGTGGACGGAGCGAAGATGGATATGGTGGAGGGATTCTGGGATCCAAGGATTCGAGAATCCTACTGAAGAGGTAAGACTACCTTCATCACGTGGAAATGCGGCCAATGTGGGAGGCAGCGAGAATGGACCAACAACAGGTCGTGGTCAGTCGACGACCGCGGTGCAGTTTCCGACGTATGTTTCCGACGTATGGATTCAAGTGAATTGCGTATGATAAGCTAGAAAGATGGTGGTGATGGTGATGAAGATGGTGGTGACGGCAGTGGTGGTGTGATAACCTCGGCGATGGAAGCCAATTCTCTGCTCGTACCCGGCGGCGTCTGATGGCGGATGGTGGATGGCGGATGGCGGATTGGGGGATGGCGGAGACCTGCTCACAGCCGTGCGGCGTGGTGGATTGTGATAACTGTGGGCTCAACTGTACCCAGAGATGACAGGGAGAGCAGTGGGGCAGCGGTGGGATGAATACCTAGACGGATATATCCATGTATGTATGGATGTTGGTGATGGCGATGGTAATCGTCCTGCTGCGAACTTGGAACCGTGATCTCGCGGTGCCCCAAATTGAGGTGGTGTGAATGTGATGAGACCCAGCCTCGAGTTCTGGCTGTGGCTTATCTCAGCACAGCACCTCGGTGCTGACTTTGCTATGTGGCTGATTGTAGCTGGTATGTGGATATCGCGGTGGCTGGCCAGGTGCATGTGGTCTAGGTAAGCTACGGATGCGGGCTCGCACTCGAGACTCCTTTCCTCTGACAGGATACAGACAGTGGAATAAGCACCCTGGAATAAGCACTTATGCTCTCACGAGCTGGTGTCAAACTCTTATTCCAGAGTGCTTATTCCACACATGAAAAATATCGCTAAGTACAAGACCTTGGTTACGGGGTGTACGGAGACTTCTGAGTGCGCAGTGTATTGACTAAGGGGTGTCTAACCCCATTGGACCAGGACTTTCTTTCGACCTTTGTTGCCCTTCTTTCCTTTTCCTCCACCTTCCCCCCCCCCTTCCTCCTCCTCCTCCGTCACACCACTTGCGGTAGGTGGCTCCTCGCTTGTACTTCCCCAACTAAAGCCAGTATTCCCTCTTCCCCCGTTGTCTCTACGCACACCTCTGCCTGTACCATAACCGAAGATAGTAGTGGTAGGCTTTGGAGCGACAGGGAGGGCGGGGAAAGCGTCCTCGCGATTACCGGTTGCTGGAGGCCTGACTGAGGCTTGGGGCCTTGTAGTGGTTCCCCAGAGGGCTGTTGACGACGGGCGTGACAGGGGACCGCTACTTGATGGTAACGAGGGAAAAGAGGCGGCTGGGGGCGGATTCGGCCGACTTGCAGCCCTGGTCGCGAACACGGCAGATGCAGACACTACACTAGACCGCTGAGACTGCTGCGTCGAATTCTTGAGTTTGAGCACCCGTGTAGTATGTTTCTGGCTGGGGGCTGTTGCCGCTGCCAATGGTGAGCTTGCGGCTGCCGCCGCCCAACCACTGTTTGACGTCGTGGCGCCGTGCATCCCACCAAGGCCGGGCAGTGTTGGATAATCTTCGTTGATAGCTCGCCAATCATTCCATGCCTTACGCAACCGGTCCCCCTTAGCCTTGTCATCAAACAGATCTGCCATCTCCCGAAATAGAGTTCCCAGGGCGGCAGACGACGTGTCGGAGAACAGCGAGAAGAGTGTGTCGACCAGCGCTGCCGCCGAGACCTTATCTCGTCGGTAAGATGATATCTGGGATCGGAAGATGTCGATTTTCGCTTTGTCGTTCCGAAGTAGATTTGAGGCACGTTCGATGACAGCGGAATGACGCATGAGACGAATACGATCCTCAGGCGAGAGGTTTGGGTCAGCCAGACTCAGACCGTCCATCTCGGTAACGGGCGCTGCTGTAGCGGTGGGTGCAGGCGCCCCTGCTCCCGTCGCTCGTTGACTTGACTGTCCAGAAGGGCTAGGCGCGCTCGATGACAGTTGACCACCAAATGATCGGTTAGAAACAGATTGAGACGAGTGTATGGCCATCTGCCTCTGGTAGGCGAGCTCATCTCGTCGAAGTGGCTGTGCCGAGCTCACTGGCAGAGGCTCTGCGTTTGGGTCGCGGCCTCTTGTTCTCCCATTCCCCTCCCCTTCCCTGTTACCATCTCTGCCCCTGCCGCCACCTCTTCTCTGTTGTTGATACCTCTCCCGAACATCAAAGCCAGCGAGGTCTACCACACGAGCATCACGCCTCAGATCCTTGGATAATGAGCCCGCATGCTCACTCAACTGATGCGCCTTCAGATCCATCTCAGACCCAAAGACTACAAATTTCTTTTCGAGGCATTCGCGATCGATGCACAAGAAATGATCGTTCTTGAAGTGCTCCTCTAAAGCATTGTAATCTCGGTAATAATGGGGCTGTCTCGGATCTTCGCGGTCGCATATGAAGCAGCGCTCGTGTTTGCTCCGGCAGTGCTCGTACAACTTGTCGTCATCGTAGAAACGCTGGCCGCAGAAGGCACAAAGCGGGTGGCCTCGGAAACCGGTTTGATCCACAGCACCAGGCTGGTCATCACCATGGCGCATATGTTTCTCGAGCTCCTTGTCGGTGAACAGCTCATGCTCGTGGGTGAAGACCTTCTTGTTCCTCATGCACAGATCACACATCTTCTTGTGGTGGGCGCTGCGGACATGTCGGTGAAGGTCGGGCCAGCCCAAGCCGGCGAAATCGCAGGAAGTATCGGGACAGTTGTAGCGAAGAAGCAGCACAGTATCCCCAACTATATCTTCATTGGTGTACCGGATGCCGATATTGTCGTCGGTACTGGTGACGTCTTGGTCAGAGTAGTCTTGATATCGTTTGGTGGCGTCGTCTGTAAACATCACGAACGGGGCAGCTGTCTGATGGAGCAAAGTCAGCCATGTACTAGGGTCTCCCTCGGAGATGTTCTCTGACGTACTCGACAATGTGCGCACTCCTTATTCTTGTAGAGCGCCCTCATACGCAAGGCGCAGATGTGACAGGTTCTGTGGTTGCATGGCGCCACGGACTGGTGCACAACAGGACTGGCACAGATAAAGCAGACCTCGGCCTCCAGATATTCGGCTTCAACGTCGCTTCCGCGCGAGGATTGTGCATGGGGCTTGGGAAGGCTGCTGTCCGGGCGAGGTGCTGGAGTCGTAGACTGGTCAACAGTTGGCACGGTCAGTGTTGAGATGTCGGCTCCTCGTCTGCCCCGTCCTCCTCCTCCCCGACCTCGACCACGCTCCGACCTTCCAACAACGCCCCGCTCATTCGCATTTCCTCGTCCGCGTCCTCGAACCCCGCCTCTATGGTTTTCGTTACCTCCTCTGCGAGTCGGACCTGATGGCGGAGAGGTCTCGGCTGAGCCTCCCGCGATTGACGCCATAGTAGTTCGCTGTGGCGTCAAGTGCGACTGGAAACACTAGGGCTCGAGCCAGGAGGCTAGCAGGTGCAACTGAATGGTTAGGGTAGGGTCACTTCACGGAAGAGAGATGCTCTGCGGATGGCGAGTCAAGGGTGGAATCCTGGTTGAGGAACGAAGGCCGTGGGATGGACCGTAGGTAAAATAGGGACCGAGTACAGAGAGCCGGCCAGACACGCTGTAAGGTACAATGACGGGAGGTAGATAGCCTTCCGTGTCTTAGGAGGATGTACCTTACCTGCAATAGATTGCAAGATTGGGGGTGCTTCTGTACGACCGACAATGAACAATGGGCAATTTTGTATTGGCAGTTGAGCCCACGGTTATTGATGACATACACCACCAGTCTTGAGTGCGGTGAAAGGGTCAGCCACAGGAGCGCGGGGCAGAACCAGCCACACAGCCCACACACTGCCACATGCACCCCTCACCTGCCATCCATGCATAAGGTACCTAAAGTACATAGGTTATGATAATATGATCTCGAATTCCGCATATCGACTGGTGACTGCTACTGACAAGCAGGGCGGTCAGACCCATACCTACCTATACCTTATGCAGCTACTCATGAGATGGCAGCGATACAGCGGACTATTACCTCCAAAAAACTATTACCTTCAAAATACAACCCTGAAAGTCCAGCCATAGGGGACTGGAGGTGTACCCTACCCTAACCTGCGTGTGTACCTAGACACCAGAGACATCTCACCATCTTGCGGTTCGCGAACATGGCCGTACAGTACACACCTGCGCAGGACACTCCCCCCCTTGCCCTTGCCCCTCGCCCCTTGCCGACCATAGCCTCACAACGCATGCCATACCAAGAGACGAACTGTGTTCTTCGTGGACATATGAAGTCGAATTGACTCCGTGCAGTTGGATGGTTCGTGATTTCATCAATTAATCGCATGGAGCCAATATCGGAGTATGGTTATCCCTCGCAAGCCTACGCTTACGCCGCCTGGCCAACGCGTCCATATGTCCAGTAAAACGCCAAAATCGACGGTTAGATCGCTAGACAACTCACAGCCAGCAAGAGTCACCCGTAACGCGCAATAACCCATGCTATACTGCAAATCCGGCTACCTTTGCCGTTGAATCCCGTTAGTGAGCCATTACCAATAGTGAGGCGTGCCTAGACGGGATGATGGTAGGAGTTCCGGATGATTGACACACCACGGCTCGACCCAGGTCTATTGCTCTTCCTCGACGGGGTATAGGTGATCGCCCACCAGCTTGTTCATCTGGAACATGTCGACCCTGGCGATCTTGAAGACGGCCTGCATTGCGTCATCACATCGGATCTGTCGCTTGTCGCTGGGATCTTGAAGGTCATTGCCCTTGATGTGAGCCCACAGCCGTTTGACCACCTGGGGACGAGAGAGCTATGTAGCGTCAGAATGTGCGACTTCAGATCGTAGGTGCCAGAACCAGTCCCGGAAAATGACTTGAACTGCACAGAAGTTACTCACCTGGGGCTCACCGCAGAGCTCTGCTAGCTGGTAACTCAGGTTGAAGGGCTTCTGAAAGCCTCTGCCAGCCTTGCGCTTCTTGGGGCTCGATCCATCGGTCTCTTCTAGATCACTGTCATCCTCTGGCCGAACTCTCTTCTCGCTCTTCTTGCGGGGCGCAGCCTTCTTCTTTTTCGGCGCAGCTTTGGCGCCCCCTCCTCGCGTTGCACGTGTTCTCTGGTTTTCTTCTGCCTGAAGGAGAGCTGCCAGCTTGGCATCAGCATCTTCTGTACCTGTACCCTTCTCTTTTCGCGGCTTCTTCTTCTGTGGCTGTACTGAGACCTTGATCTCGTCACCATCTGCCTCGTCCTTCACGTCATCGTTGTGGTCTTCGTTGGCTTGCCCCTTCGGGGTCGAGTGGCTGGACGTTGCTTCCTGCTTCACAACTGTAGACGAGGATGGTGGAGCGGTTGTAGATACCGCGTCAAACCGCTCTTCGATGAGAGCCTTGATTGCGGTCTAAGTATGGTATTAGTATGTGGCATAGCTACTATAGGCTCTGTGACTACAGAATAGACTTACCTTCTGCTTGCTCAGGTCCTTCCCTCCCAAAGCAGTTTCAAGGCCCATGCGGATCTTCTTGCGGGTGACGGTCTCCAGGTCGGCAGTAGCTAGAATGCCATCGATGATATCGGTGTAGCGCGCCTGGTCCTCTACCGTCACTGTTTTCCGTTGATTAGATACTTCTTGCGGCTCAGATCATAGTCGCAATATATACGGCTCCCCCCTTTACTCTCGCGCCAGAAGAGAATGGAATGTGCGTGATGAAACCTACGAGGTGCAGCCATAATGTTGAACGGGGACTTCGGTGCTCGACAAGTCCACCGTACGTCTCGAATGGGCTGTATTAGGAGTCGGTAACGGAAGTCTCGCTCCTGGGACCGTTGGCAGCGACTATTGCAGAGAAGTAGGGTCGATGGTGGCCACCGTAGGCTGTCGAGTTCACGGGCTTGGAGGGTCACCACATAGCGGCAGTCGGGCATAGGGGAGGCAATAAAGATGTCGGATGGTGATTCGGCTTGGGTTGCCTTTGTAGGGACAGTCGAGAGGCCAGGAGATCTGGGAGCAGGGCCACGATTAGCGGGTTGTCATGAATGGCGCCATGTGAAATGCGAGTGAAGCCAGCCACAAGCCGCAGTTCGCGGGTGCACATCTACCTCAAGTCTCGACTGGTCACAAAGACTCCAGCGCGCAACAAGGCAAGTTCGGCGATGATATGCCCGTGTACTCGTCGGCCAAGGTGGTCGGTCGGTGATGGATGCGCTATCTCGAAGCCACTTAATGCGCAAGATGCCTCCCGCTTTGTTATGGCACGAGGAAGAGCAGCTTCGGGCAGGGCACCTATGTGGCGGGCGGGCGCAGGGACGTAGCCGGAGGGTCGCAAGTAGGTTGCAACCTTGCCAACTCCGGAGTGGGCTCCTAGGAAACGGGGTTATCGGCGGTGGTGGACTGCTTCTTTGTTGCCGCCTTGGCATAAAAACGGCCCGTGCTTACCTGTTATACTAGCACGAACGTGTTGAATGGGAGCCGGAGATAGACACCGGAAGATCTCCAGTGGGGCAGAGACGCACAGGGCATCTGACCCACCAAGAAGACAGATGATCAATCTCTGCACACAGAGCAGAACAATCAATAGTATCAATCAACATCCGTGTATTCAACAATTAAGAGTCTTATTGAATCTACGCAACCGGCATCCATATTTCGAATACATGTATTGTACAGCCATTTCAAGATGAATATCACAATTCCAACCCAGAACGCAACTGCGTACTATCAGTCTTAAAAGGACTTTGTCAGCTGGGGACTCCAATTCCAGAAAAGGGCTGAAGCACTCGGCATCTGGCAACATATTAAGCCAGGGGTAACTACTCCATGTCCAACAGCACCAACGTCTCCGGATATCCTATCAGAAGAGTATTCAAAAAAGCCTAACAGAATCGCTCAAACAGCAGTAGAGGAGGGACAAGTCCTCGCTCTATACCTTACAACAGAAGGAGCAGCTTGTAATGGTTCCACCATCCATCAGGTGTAGCGATGGTTCCCATGGTTCCCGGGTCACGTGACTGAACACGTGACTGATCAGACAATAGGTTGATCCGTGCCCTAGCGGGTCTGGTGGGAGACGACTGCCTACATCTAGCTGCCCACCAATTCGGGTGCATCTCCAAATCTTTCTTTTCCTTCAACCAGAGTTTGTTATACATCAATAGTTAAAGTCCTTGTATCCTTGCAATACATTTACAGAATTGTGACAAACTCTGGTTCAACATCTACCGTTTTGGACGACTCTAAAGTCCCAGAAACAAACCAATTTGATTGATACCCGATACAATACAACGAAATCTTTGGACGCGTCTTAAGACAACAATACAGACCCAATACAAACTAGAACCCCTACCATCAATCACAATAGTACGCAACAAAGAAGAATATGACGGCCTGCACGGACCTTCCCACATGACAAGCCGATACTTCCTAATAAGGGAAGGATCTGAAAAGGGGCAACCTCCCGCTGTACCTATCTCTCTCTCTCTTCCTTTCCTCTCTAGTCTTGATATTCTTGTCAATAGAGTAATAGCTGCTTGCTGCCGGCCATGTCCCAGCTCCTCAGTACGCTCGCCGTGACATAATATCAAGACTTGTCTATACCAGATCAGAAGCCTAAGCATTATTCCTAAATCAACTCTACTAGAGTTGATTTGCGCACGGACCCGCACGTGGTTGATTTAGTTCCCGGACAAAAATTTGGTCGGCGTCGACAGATATATAGAGAATACAAGACGGCGAATCTAACCATGCTGTCTGCATGTCGCTGTGACTATTGGAAGGGGGCTTTTTCTGTCGGATAGGGTTAGAGGAAAGTTTGGCTGGAAGGTAGGAAGTGGGCCGGATGCCAAGCAAGCGAAGCCCGGACTCGACATGGGGTCGGACGGCAGGGATAAGATTAGATACGACTTGTTATCCGTCTTTTTTTTCTATTTTTTCTTTCCCTACATATATATGACAGCTTTATCATGACTCCGTTTATCTATATCTCATAATAAAAGATTGTTATTTGTTCAGAATGTTACTATGCATGTGTGGCAGACGAGGTCAAGACACATCTAAAAGCTGCAGACCATGTGTCGCCTATAGCACAATAGTGACATAAGATTGCGCAACAAGTCCAGCATATCCCCAGCATCTTTTCCAGCCAAGCGCAACTACAAGCTGGATTCAGGTTCCCACCACCTGAGTGCGCTGTCAACCTGCATCTGCAGCCGCCAGAGAGAGAGACGGGCTGGCATGTGGGCAGTGCCCATACATCAGCCGGCAGGTGAAGAACATACAAGACCACTGCCGAGCAGCGCACGGATGGACCAACCCGCGGAATCAAGGTCGGGTCGCAGGCGGGCAAGACACCGCAACAGAGGACAAGGTGCCGTGGCCTACAGGCGTAGCGTGCCAGAGGTTCTTCCGCAATCGGGCGGCAAGTGGCTGATTTGAGGTAGAGCGGCCGTTGAGCAAGCAGACTGCGACCGCCGGAACCGATACAGGAGCAGGCGGCAGCAGCAGCACCAATAGCGACACATGGCAGCTCATGCTAGCGGCATATGATGCCAAACTGGCAGCAGAAGAGGAGGAGCAGCGACAGAAGGCAGATGGGCCCGGCAGAATTGATACGGACTCGACGTGGGTCCGGGAGATAGGCTGGGCCAGGCATCTCGAGGGCAAGGATCTAGTGGTATTGCATGACACCAGCTTGGGCCCGTTGTCGAGGGCCGCGCTGGAGAGGCTGCATGACACAGCATTAAGGGACAAACAGTAACAGCTGACACGGCTCGGCAAGAGCTTCAACCGGGAGGTGGCGCGGTGATGTCAGCGGCAACACCAATGTCGTTAGCAACGTCCTCTAGCAGCTGCGTGACCGCCTCCAGCCGGTCCCACTGCGCGTCAGAAAACCGCACCCCATGTTGTGCCGCTGCCTCCTCCTGTCCCAGCCGCCATACCTGCAAGTAGTAGCACAGATATCGCTTCCAGTACCCCTTGTACCGGTCCATTGAGCTGGCGTGCTCCTTGACGCCGAACGGCCGCCCGGCCGGCTTGCCCGGATCAATGCTTGCCAGCCACCGCAGCGTCTCGTGCGGCACCAGCTCCAGCCGAGGCTCGAAGGTTGCCCTTTTTGAGACGCTCAAGCTCAAAATCGACCAGTGCATCGATGACCAAGTCAGCCCACTCCGCACCATACCAAACTCTGATCCTGGGACGCATGCGAAGCGAAGATGGATCGAAAAGGTCACATATGGGTCTCAGCTACTCACACACGGTTACAAGCTTGCTGCTTTTAAAGCAGCAGGATCCCCAGCAAGCCTGATAGCTATCTACTCCTGTGGCAGTGCCTCTCCCAGTTTACAAAGTAGCGGCAAGTACATGCATCTGCTCAGCCAGACACCGCTTTTCGGCACATCTCCGGAGTGGCAACTCCAGGCCTCATTTCTGGAGGCTTCGTCATTTCAGCCCCTGCTGGAAAGATGCCGTCTGAATATCTTTTCCCAAGAGAACGTGGAACGAGGAACACTGGAACAGGACAAATACTTTGAGATTACACCTCTGACTTGGACGAGCTGCAACAATGACAATCTATAAGATGATGGTCATCTTGTTCCTCGATTTTCAAGCTGATGAGTTTATGGAAGCTGTGGCGAGGCCATCATTCGAGGGCTGCGCAAGCGCTTTCCACCAGCTGATTGACGAGGAGACATCTCCGCACGCTGGCGAGCGAGAGGATGACCTCCGCATAGGCACAACAACAAATTCCCGCCTGATCCACGGCCGTAAGTGTACTGTATCTTTTAGTTCCGTCGAAGATACCCAGGGTCGGGGTCTTGTTTTCGGATCTCTCTCTAGCTTGTTGCACATTCATCCCCTGTACGGATACCCCCCTATGACGTGTCTAGCATCCAGGGATGATCGCACCAGACGTGCCTTTTGGTTTCGTCGAAGATACCCGGGGCCGGGGCCGGGGCCGGGGTCTTGTTCTCGAATCTCTCCAGGTTGTTGCACATTCATCCCATATACGAATATAAGAGATCCCCCTATAACGGTCACAAGGATCTCGGTCATATTGCGCTCAACTACGACATTTCCATAAGTAATTCTTTGGACGTCTACCAAACGTATGTCAGCAGATTGAAGACAGCGACCAACAATTCTCTGGTCGATTTGGGTGGTCAGCCGCTGACGGTCAGCCGGTCAGCTTATCGCTAATACCACGCACGCCTTGCATGCAGCGGCCGGGGTATCTACTATCTAGTAACGGCTGCATGTGCGATAGTTGCTCGCCTATCAGTGACTCACTTCTCTGCATAATTACTTATATGCAGTCTGCATCCTGCCGCCTGCACCTCCAGGTAGAAATCACGCACAGGTCATCGGTATAGTGCGCCGAGGTTGAATTGAACATGATGGGTGCAGTATACTCATCGACTGCAGGTACTCTCCTGCTCGGCCTCCTGGCCCTGCCCTTGTACTTGGGCTATCGGGCGATCCTCCCCAAGCCGCTGGCTGGTATCCCGTACAATCGAGATGCGGCCGGCAAGCTCTTTGGCGACGTGCCTGAGATGATGGGCTATGTCATGGGCACGAAACGCATCTTCGTCAGCAACCTTTCAAGCTGAATCAGAACATGGTCGACTGACTCTTTCGACAGTGCTGGTTGACCTCGTTGACCTCACGGCACAATAGTGCCATCATCCAGGCCTTCATCAAGCCGGGGTCGCTACCATGGGTCGTGGTGACAGACCCGTTTGAAGCGCAGGACATCCTCCTACGCCGCAAGGAATTTGACCGGAGCGGCTTCTTCGGGGAGCTCATCGGCGGCATCCTGCCTGAACAGCACATCCAGTTCTTGTCAAGTGATTCGCGCTTCAAGAACAACCGGAACCTAATCAACCATCTCATGGCCCCGACGTTCATCAGAACAGTCAGCGCGCCCGAGGTGTACAAGTCGATCAGCACCTTGATCAAGGTGTGGCAGGTCAAGGCCGACATGGCCAAGGGCAGGCCCTTCTCCACCCATCACGACATCACGTACGCCGCCTTGGACGGCATCTTCGCCTCGTCTTTCGGGCTTCCTGAAGAAGAGAGCATCACGAAGAAACGTCTCGAGGCTATATCGGAATGGAAGGGGGCGTTGCCGTCGAATGCGGATGAGCCGGTCTCCTTCCCAGATGCCGAGGTTCCTCAGCCATTCGCTTCGGTGCTGATTCTCTCCAACTCAGTGACGGATACGCAGCTGTCACCGGCCCCGGTCCTTACTTCATGGGTTCTGCGCAAATTCCCCTACATGAAGAAGGCTATAGCCATCAAGGACGATTACATCCGAAACAAGGTGGAGGAATCCATGGCGCTCATCAACAAGGGTGACACCGAGCCTCGTAACGCTCTGCACTCTGTCTGCCTCCGCGAGAAGGAGGTCGCCGAGAAAGAAGGCCGCCAACCAGATTACCAAAAGCGGGGTATTGCTGACGAGTTCTTCGGCTTTATGATGGCCGGCCACGACACGTCAGCCACGGCAGTAGCTTGGGGCGTCAAGATGCTGACGGATAAACCGAGCGCGCAGGACGAACTGCGCGCGACTCTTCACGCCGAGTTCCCCCAAGCACTGTCAGAAAAGCGAGCGCCTACATACGAGGAGCTCTCCAAGGCTCACATCCCCTATCTCGACGCGGTAGTAGAAGAGGTCCTTCGCCACGCCAACACCATCGCCTTCGTAGTGAGACAGGCGTTGCAGGACACGGTCGTGCTGGGATGCCACATTCCCAAGGGCACCGACGTGTTCCTGATGGCCAATGGCGCTGGCTACCTGGAGCCCAACATGACGGTGTCCGATGATGTCCGTAGCCCCGGAGCACGCCGCGGCACGGGCAAGGCGCTCTCGGGGACGTGGGACGATGGGAATATCGGGAAGTTTCGACCCGAGCGCTGGCTCACTGCCGAGGACAAGACTTTTAACTCGATGGCTGGACCGCAGCTCGCGTTCGGTCTTGGGACTCGCGGCTGTTTCGGCAAGAGGCTTGCGATACAGACTCTAAAGATGCAGTTCGCACTGATCGTCTGGTACTTCAAGCTCCTCCCTACTCCGGCTGAGCTGAGTGGATACGACGCTGTGCAAAAGTTCGCTAGGGAACCGACGCAATGTTATGTGCGTCTGGAGAAAGCTCTGAACGAGTCCACCGGAGAAGGCCAGAGCGGCGATGAAGGAAAGGACGTTCGAGTTGACCTGAAGTGGGACAGTGCGGACTTGGCGGGGTCTTGATGGTCCTAGGCTGTTGGATATTGCGAGTGTGGGATGGCGGGAGAAGAGCTTTTGAGAACGGAACGACCCGTTGCCCTCTTACAAAACACCTAGGCATTATTCCCAAAGGAATTGAAATAGACTGCATTTAACGCTCGGGCCTCCGACCCCCCGCGGGGCGCGCCGTGCGACCCGTGCGGCGTGCTCTTCCTTATAGGCTGCATTTTTCCGACATCGAGTAGACTGCTTTACGACCGCGGCATAAAAAAGGACGTGCGATACGCTCCGGCATAGAGCTCGATCCGGCGATTCCAACGGTACCGCTAGCGACCCGGTGCAGCGACGAGAAAGCCGTGCATCGGCCAGATCAGGGTAAGTGAGGGTAAGTGAGGGTAAGAGGCCCCCGACCGGGATACGCGACGCCAGACAGGGGCGCGCGCAGGCTAGCCATAACAGCGTAAATAAGGAGCAGGCAAAACCAAAATAAAACTTGCTTTGCATTCTATTTTATGCCTTATATGACATATTATAACTCTCGCTATGGAACCGTTCATTTATCTTACCCAGCTTCGTGTGCTAATTTGCAAGGAATGCGGCTTTGGCTGCATTGCCAACGAAGTACAGTCCCATCTCAAAGCGGCTGGACACGCGTCGAGAACGGCGCAGCAGCAGAAATCGGTCGCGGAGGCCGTACAGCAGCTGGACGGCATTATACGCTCCCAGCAGCAGCTCCAGGAGACGTTTGCGTTCCCAGAGCCGGACTGGGCGGCGAACCCGTTCTTATAGCCACTGGTTGAGGCCGGGTTGGCTTGCCGGTCGTGTCAGTACGTCTGCCGGGCCGAGAAGCTGATAAAAGAGCACTACCAAAAAGAGCATTCATGGGTTAACCCGCGTAACCGGGGGAGGCCGGCCGGCTCGTTTCAAGGCCCGGGCCCAGCAGCGACGACAAGGAAAGGAGTACAAGGGGATGAAACAGGTCTGCCGTGGCGTACGCAGGTCCGCTGCCAGCGCTTGTTTTCCGGGCGGGCGGCAAGTGGCTGGTTCGAGGTGGAGCGGCCATCAAGCAAGCAGATCGCGGCCGCAGAAGCGGATGTAGGAGCAGGCAGCAGCAGCAGCAACATTGATAGCACTGGCACCAGCAGCGACACGTGGCAGCTTATGCTAGCAGCATACGATGTCAAGCTGGCGGCAGAAGAGGAGGAGCGGCGACGGAAGGCGGACGGGCCCGGCGGAATCGATACGGACTCGGCTTGGGTACGGGAGATGGGGTGGGCCAGGCATCTCGAGGGCAAGGATCTGGTGGTGTTGCACGATGCTAGCTTGGGCCCGCTGTCGAGGGCCGCGCTGGAGAGGCTGCGTGACATGGCGGCAGAGGACGAGCAGCAGCAGCTGACACGGCTCGCCGAGAGCTTCGACCAGGAGGTGGCGCGGTGCACAGGACGGCTGATGCTGGTGCCGCACGAGACGCTGCGGTGGCTGGCCAACATCGACCCGGGCAAGCCGGCCGGGCGGCCGTTCAGCGTCAAGGAGCACGTCAGCTCAATGGACCGGTACAAGGGGTACTGGAAGCGATATCTGTACTACTGCTTACAAGCGCTGCGGCTGGGGTAGGAGGAGGCGGCGGCGCAGCACAGGGTGCGGTTTTCTGACGCGCAGTGGGGCCGGCTGGAGGCGGTCGCGCAGCTGCTGGACGACGTTGCTAACGACGTCGGTGCTGCCGCCGACATAGAGAAGGAGGAGGAGCACAACGACGACAACGATGACAAAGCCGAGAGGCAGGCGCGTGCGCTAGACCGGCTGGTCTTTCTTTTCTATATTGGCTCGCTTGAACAGAAGGTGGCGTTTGACGTATACATCAACCCACTACTTCACTTTGCCGCCGTGCTAGGGATCGACAGGCCGCAGCGGGCGTGGAAACAGGCAAAGGACTACACGGGCCAGCTCGCCGGGATCATGTGGTGCGGGCGGCTGCTCATGCTGGAGCACGTATTCAAGGACCAGCCAGAAGACCCGAGCGAGATAGACGCGAAGATGGCCGAGCAGTTTAAGGAGGAATACCGGCAATGGCTGGCGGACGGGTCACACATCCCGTTTAACACGATGATCCGGTGGATGTTGTACGGCAAGGGACACCGGCGGAAGGAGAGCGGCACGGCACGGATCGCGTGGGAGGAGGGCGGGCAAGCGCTGCGATATCTGGGGCAGCGGATCACGGTACAGGAGTTCAGGGGCACGGCACAGCTTGGCACGGACAAGGCCGAGACGTTACTGGATGGGCTGTTCTTTGGACGGTGGGCCGAGATGCGGGCGTCTATCAACACGAGCCGGATCGTGGACAGCATGGTATATAAAGGGCCGGGGCGGTCGTTTGCAACGGGTGGTAAGAACGACTGACTGCGGCCGGGGCAGCGGCAGATCGCCGAGGTGGTGCATGAGGCTGGCAGGCTATAGGACGCATGGGAGGGCCAATGGCGTGACAAGGAGATGGCGGAGTGGACAGCGCGGGCACAAGATTTCCGGCAGGCGCTTCTGGTGTGCACGCACATCTGGGGAGGGCAACCGGGGCGTGGGCCAGAGATCATGACGATGCGGCACTGCAACACGCAGCAGCTACTGTGGAACGTGTTCGTGTTCGACAGGGACGTGCTGCTCGTGACAGACCGGGACAAGAACAAAGCGATCCGGGGCATTGGGCGTAAGGTGGCGCGGTTTCTGCCGGCACACATGGGCAAGATGATGGTGGCGTACATGGCGTGGGTGTTGTCGTTCGAGAAGATGCTGTATGCACAGGCAGGCGGGGCGGTAGGCGGACGAGCGCCGTCGGCCGCTCTGGACGAGTGGCTATAGAAGGACGGACAGAAGGGCCGGTGGGAGACGGCAGAGTTAAGCAAGCAGCTGACGGCGCTGATGGGGCAACATATCGGGGTGGAGCTGACAGTGGCAGATTATCGACACGTGACGATCAAGCTGGGGCGGAAGATCCGGGGTCTGGTGGTACGACAGCTCGAGGTGGATATCAGGACAGCCGAACAGGATGACATTAGAGGCGGCGGGGGGCCGGGACATGAAGATCCGGTGACAAGCGAGACGCGGGAGCAACAGAAGACAGAGTCCATCTGGGATCTGCAGGCGACGCACGGCAGCGCGATAGCACGGCAACATTACGCGCTTGACGTACAATTTCCGGGGCAGCTGCAGCCACAGATAATAGCAAACTACTGGGAGATCAGCCGGTTATGGCATGGGTACTTGCAGCCAAGCGGCGGCGGTGATCAGGATCGAGACAATGATCACAAGAGCGCCAGCAAGAACAAGAAGAGACAAGCCGAGGCAGAAAACGGGGGCAGGGACGAGGGCAGGAATGGCAGAGGCGGCAAGAAAAGGAAGGTGGGCAGCGTCAGACCCAGCCCGAGGGCTATAGAGAGGGAAGATGGCAGGGACAAGATGGACAACAGCAGCAGTAACAGGAGCTGCGAGACAGGGATAGACGACGGGCTGTGCACACTGCTAGGCATCGACGCCCGCTAGAAGACGGAAGAGCAGCGGGCGGCGATGACAAAGGTGATAGCAATGAAGGACGGACAGGCACTCATTGTGGTGCTGCCGACAGGTGACGGGAAGAGCATTCTCTTTATGCTGCCGGCGGTGGCAGAGAAGACGGGGACGACGGTGGTGGTGGTGCCGTTCGTGGCGCTGATGGACGATCTGGCAGCGCGGGCACGGGACTTCGGGGTGGACAGTCTGTAATGGCAGGCGGCTACGCGGACGGGGCGGGACGAGCCCCAGCGGGAGGCACGGCTGGTGGTGGTCAGCGCGGACGTTGCTAGTAGTAATGAATTCATACCATACGCGGACGGGCTGCGGGCGCGGGGTCTGCTGCGACGGATCTTTGTAGACGAGTGCCACACGGTCATCATGGACGCCGGGTACCGGACTAAGCTAGCAAGGCTATAAGGGCTATACCGGTTCGACTGCCCGGTAGTACTGCTAATGGCAATGCTGCCGATGCGGCTGGAACGGTGGTTCCGGCAAGCGATGGTGTCGGAGGACGCGTCGATAGTACGGGCGGCGACAGTCAAGCGGAATACCCGATACGGGGTGGCGGAGGCGGGCAAGGGCATGGTGGAGGAAAAGGTGGTCCGGACGGTCATGCGGATGGAGAAGGGGATGCGTACGGGGCAGAAAGGAGTGGTATACTGCTGATCAAAAAATAAATACGAGGTACTAACAGAGAAGTTGGGGTGCGCATTCTATCACAGCAACATGGCCAACAAGGCACGGAAAGCAGTGCTAAAAGAGTGGGCAGAAAGAAGAGGGGAGAGGCATTGGATAGTGGCGACGACGGGGCTCGGGACTGGGGTAGACATTCAGGGGCTCGTGGCAGTGATATATGCGGAGCAGCCGTACGGGTTGGTGGACTTTGCGCAACAGACGGGGCGAGGCGGGCGGCAGGCGGGCGAGGTGGTCGAGTCGGTCATCGTGACGGACGGGCGGGTGGGGTGGCACGACGAGCAGGGCAATGACATGGAACAGCTCAACTGGCAGGCGATGGCGTGGTTCGTGCAAGGGGCGGACTGCCGGCGGGTGGTGTGACCGCTGCCGGCAGCGCACCGGCGGCAGCAGCAGCAGCAGCAGCCGGGATATCTCTTAAGGAAGGGGAGAGACGAAAGAGGAGACGGAAGGGGAGACGGAAGAGGAGACGGAAGAGGAGACAGAAGGAGAGCCGGAAGGGGAGCCGGAAGGAGAGACGGAAGGGAAGCCGGAAAGGGAGCCGGCGAACCGGCTTAAGGAGCACCGAAAAGAACAATATCAATGAGTTCAACGGCTACACAACTGGCTACAAGAAATCGAAGGAAAGTGTGCGGTATGTTACGTTATGTGGCATTATCACGGACGGCAAGATAAGCAGCAAAAGCGGTACAAGCACATGGCAAGAGAATGCAGCACAATGCGGATACAAGAGTACGTAGCGTGGCGGCAAAAGGTCCGATTCAGAGAATACAGCTGCTGCTAGAAGTATGGGCTGCCGCAAGGGTGGTGCAAAAGAACGATAGCAAGGCAAGGAGAGACAAAAGAAAGGACGGGAGAAAAATAAGAAGGAAAAACAGCATGCAAGTGGATAGATTAGATATTACGGGTGGTGATGCTGGCGACAGAAAGCAAAACAATCAAGCAATTGCTTCAAGAAAGATTCGAAATAGACACGGAGAAAGAAGGAGACTATATACAATGGGTAGAGCAATCGCGAAAGGTGTACAAGGAAGACACAACAAACGGGGTAGCAACATAGACTTATATAGTAGAAGTATGCTTTTCATAGTAATTTATTTATTGGTTTGTTGCTATGTTTATCTGTTATCAAGAGAAAACGATCGGTATTTGAAGAAGAGAAGGAGAAAATAAAGGGAAGAAAAAGAAAAAGAAAATAATAGATACTAAGAAAAGAACAGTATTTTTGAGGGGAATAACAATGATACGAAGAATAAAAGTTATTATATTTCTCAATTAAAACGTAACAGTAGGGTTTAAGTTAAGTGTACGATTAGTAAAGGTAAAGTTTATTTAACTGATTGTGGTTTTTAACAAGTCACATATTATAATAAAAGCCGTAATTGTATTTTGTTTCAGTACTAGCCCGGCAGTAAAAAAAAAATTAAGAAATCATTTTACAGGAAACTTGTTATTTTAAAAAGAAACGGAAAAGCTGAATAACATAGCTGACAAGCGAGTTGACATTACAAGCGAGTTGGCACTCGTCATGAACTCTCCAACTGCCATGTCAAATAACTTCACCACAACGCATTCAGTTCAATTCAATCAATCGGATTCCTCTTCCTCAGAGGTTTCTATCTCTATTGTACAAGTTCGCGCATTATGGCCAGTATTGCCGCAAACGCCACACCGTCGCCCACGCGCTGCCGCCCGCCTCAGACGACGACTACCTTCACCCATTTCCTGTTTTGCCAGCTCAGTACCATCCTTTGCAGCCTGAAGATCTACTGCATCTTCAACGGAAAGTACTCCTCCTTTCATTAGACGTTTGTTTTTTGTTCTCTGGCGTTTACTTAGTAGGTGATTGGCCTCTTCTAGTTCGCGGACCCGGGAATCAACCAAAGCGACCTTATGCATAAGACCGTATGTAGCCTTCGAAAACGAGCTCAACGCATCAACTATTGATGTAGGTGAGCTTCCCTGGTGATTTCTGACTCGGTTTCGGATATAAACCGATTGGTTTACCGCTTCGTTAATGGTGGTAGGCGTCTTCGAAGTCCAAGTAGTGGGTGGCAGATTGGGGTCTGGCAACAGTGTTTGTATGGCAGCGACAGTATCCAGCTTTGAAATGACACTTTCTGGGTCAAAAGGAACAAGCCCAGTGGCACTGAAACCTGCTCGAATGTTTCCTGGCGTCATAGCAGCGTTGTGTGCTTCACAAAATGCTGCAAGGAAGTCCTCCTTCGAAACGTGCGTTATATGACGCCGGATGAGATCTTTAATCATGTGACCGTAAGCTCGTTTGAGCGGGCTAAAACAGCCGATATCTAGAGGCTGGAGCCTGTGTGACAAGTGGGCAGGCATACAAAGGGTGATAATGCCGTTGTTCTGACAATAATCCTCAAAGACCTGGGAATGGTGGCTTTCGTGACCATTTTGGGTTAGGGTTAGGGTTAGGGTTAGGGTTAGGGTTAGGGTTAGGGTTAGGGTTAGGGTTAGGGTTAGGGTTAGGGTTAGGGTTAGGGTTAGGGTTAGGGTTAGGGTTAGGGTTAGGGTTAGGGTTAGGGTTAGGGTTAGGCCTAACCCTAACCCTAACCCTAACCCTAACCCTAACCCTAACCCTAACCCTAACCCTAACCCTAACCCTAACCCTAACCCTAACCCTAACCCTAACCCTAACCCTAACCCTAACCCTAACCCTAACCCTAACCCTAACCCTAACCCTAACCCTAACCCTAACCCTAACCCTAACTCTAACTCTAACTCTAACCCTAACCCTAACCCTAACCCTAACCCTAACCCTAACCCTAACCCTGGTGGCGTGGTGTTGACCGCCAACAACCAACGAGTCTACCTGCAATTCTCAAGCATCTACGAACTAGAGAAGAAGGAATCCACATCCTCCAACAGCTCAAAGATGCAGTCGATCGAGAGGGAATTTCAGCTAGCTTGGAGAGACAAAAGCAAACTAATATCGGTGGCTGTTAGGGTAGGAGGGTATATCATTGGATCTGCGTCATGTCTTCATCCGAACTCGGTTTCTGTCTCCGCTTCAGGGCGGTAGCGCAGTCTTCATGTACATGGCTGGATATAGGTGTAAGCTTCACCATAGGTACGGTCTCGCCGACTGTCAAGGTTCTCATAGGAAGCAGACGTTGCCTGGCTCCTAGCCACCACCACGTCGGTGACAGCGCCAGGGCAATCCACTAACTTCCAAGGCTACAAAATAACCCTGGTCCTTGGCGGTAATCGAGAATGATGGTCAGCTCGGGGGTCACGCACTGGGCACGGATTTGACTACGGATCTCGCCACTTCATGGAGCGCGGATCCTTGTCAGAACGCCCTCTGGTCTCAAGCTGGTCATCGCCAAAAGGGTACTCTCGACGGCACCGCCGATGCTGCAACGCCCCTGGGGGTAGGCTACTCCTAAGCCGATTTGCTGTCCTTATCCCTACTATAGGAGTGGGCTCATGGACTAAGGGGATTCCTTCAACGTGGTTATTTATAAAATCATGTTATCTGCCCCTTGTCACCATCCCCACCATGATATGACTCTTTGTTGGATCCTAGCCCCTTCTATCTCTCTTCACCGGACAAGTTAAGACATGCTCTCTCCGGAGGAGGCGATGCCTGTGCTTGGAAGGGTGGGTATTGGATCACTGAGGGCGCGTGTCGTGTCCACTCCTTCGTGGCGATGTTCTATCTTCGGTGTCTTGGGAAGAGGGTATCCTTCGAGAACAGGGGTATCACTGGGTCCGGATTGACCAGGTGCCGAAACAGTTCTCGAAGGGATGAACGACGAAGGATGATCGAGTTGACATCATACCCCATACTTGCCACAAGCTTCGCTGCATTGCTTGCACCGGCAATAGGCTGAGAGTTTTTATTAAAGCCAAGGGCCACCCGCCGAGGTCATGTACTTGATGATTGATCCATTCTCCAGGTCACTCCGGACCACATTGTCAGTCTATCGATCTTGTTTCCGCCGTGCCCAGCCCAAATTATGGCGACCAGATCGTTTGCGTTCCACCTTGTCTGGCGGCTGCTTTTGCTTGCGATAGCCGTAAGGCCTGTGTGGTCAGAAGCTGGCTGGGTGAGCCCTTTCACGCGACTTTGAAGAATCATCCACTGACCAACCCGCAAGTCGATCAAGCAAGCGGAAAGCGTCCATGATGATGAACGATACTATCTAGCGAGCCGAAAGGAAGCCTGGAGATGGAGAGGGCATAGCGGGGGGACTGACACGATCAGGTTGAAAGATGGCAGCGATGAGGGAGCCTTGATGTCGAAAGCAAACGCTGAGCGAATGCTGCGATACTTCGACCATTTCAGTAAGTCGAAAGGCCGACTCGCCTGAGTCCTCGATACGCGCATACCTACTCGTCACCTTTTAGAGAGTTCAAGCTAAAATACCACTCTTGCAGGCATCATTGCAATGATTAATGAATGTCTGCAAACACCTCTGGAAAGTGGTACTCTATGGCGCTGTCCTTTGCCGTCAGATCTATATGACAGCTTCGCCACAGGCGACCTCAGCCAGACATATGATCGTCCTGACTTGACAAGAGACGAAGAGACGTTGGTCCAACTTATGAGCGAGAACTTCTTCAAGTGGTACCTTGAAGAGGACAAGGACAAACTAGACAACTACCATTTGGTTCAGGCTGACCCCATCACCAAATTCCTGGACCAAGCCACCCGACAAGGTAAAGGCGAAGATGTTACAAAAACCACTCGCAAGTTACTCTTCAAAAACGACTACAAAGACGAGGACGTAAAGAAGGCTACGAGCCTGTGGCAGAAGGGTACCGTGATGTCGGATGATTTCTTGGGAATGTTGGAAGCTAGTAAGTACTGCCAATGCACTCTACGAACAATGCTAACTTCGCCTCTGAAAAGCTCCCGGTAGTCAGGGCTTGGTGACGCGAATGACCAAGCTAGACGAATCGAGGCTCGAGGTGCTGACCAACTGGAAACGCAACGATGCGTTGTCAATTAACGGTGAACTACCCCAATCTACGCACGGGGTGGGGAGTACGCCAACTAACATGAGACAGATATATATCAAGGCATGCAGAAAATGCGCAAGGGCGGTCCGACTCAGGCAGCAAAAGCTGCAGCCGCGTCCGTCGGAATCGGTGGTATTAATAACGACTTCCACACTAGGAGTTTCATCTATATTATCTATTCTCAATCTGGTCGAATACTGTCATTATTCAACAATGAAGCCGAGTATCGTGAACTACTCTTCGTGGATGGCATAGCTGGAAAGTTCAAGGTTCTAGGCTATCAGAAGCTCCAAGGGTTCAAAGACAAACAAAAGATTTACAGCGAGGGCCATTACGCTGTTTTCTGGTAAGTACCCCCCAACACAGAGTTCTCAATGCAAATATATACAAAAGCTCGCTCTTGGTGGGAAAACGCTGACAAGGAAAAAGGATGGTGGAAACCGGTGTAGAAATTAGTGACAAAGCAATCAAGGACAACAAGAAGCTACTTTCGGATCTCAAATCGGAAGTTAAGCTTTGAGACCTCAGACTGGGCGAGGATGACTAGCGCCGAGTTGAAGGCAAGATGCCAAGAGCAGAGATTGTCATGGTGGCCTTGGATAGTGTTACAGTGTATGATAGATAGGTTGATAGATGGATAGATTCCAAGAGTTTGAATCTCATGCTGAGCAGGGTAGGAAATAACACAAATGGTTCTTCTGCGTTCTCGAAGTACTGTGTGAAATATTCACCGCTTGTTCTGTCATTCATCATTCCACGATTTTGCGCTTCGCGCCTTAACCTATGGCTTCGATGTAAACAGAACCTTGCCTTGGCCATTGAGGGAGGTGGGACAAGAGCTTCGGACCAGAGGAGTTGGAGTAGACGGCCCTGATTTCGGTGACAACGCATGGTGGGAAACGTCGTTGATGCCTGAAATAGAGAAAAAGAGTCTTCTTACCGCATTTACCGTCTTCATCTTCACGCCTAATATGTCAAGATGGGGTAGGAATGAATACATGGCACTTCTAGAAGTCTCCGTGCACCGTACCTAGTTCTACCTTTTAGGGATTGGGTAAGTGGGCCTATTGGGTCAGATATAAGTCCTGCGGGCATTGGCGATATCGCTAACTTCTTATTGTTGCGATTATCAATAGGAATTTACGTCCTGTGTCTTGAATTGGCCCCGTGATAGGACGCAATATTAGCACTGGCTGTAGCAATGCTTCAACGACCCCGACTTTGACAACGTCGACTTCCGGCTCTTCGAGTGGTACATCGTCGCTGACGATTGCGAAACCCAATGCCGTCGGACCCAGAGAGACTGGAACGCCTGCCGCAGTCGCCGTAGAAATGGTACTGATTGGCGTCACCGTGTCACAGTAGGCGGGACGGGCTGACCACCAAGCTCACCAACAGGTCCAGCCCAGCGGCCGCCCAGCTGCCAGGGACACGATGGTATGAATTTGTATGGCGTCTACACACAAACTCGGAAGGTAACTCATGGCCATCATGTACGGATAAGCTGTCTATTCAGTTGACTGCGATGATTGTATCCAGCTACGAGGGGCATGATGATCTGAAATCGTATGGCATCCCCCGTACTAAGCCCGATAGCGGTGGCCTGAGATATTGGGCTGCATAACTACCCTCTCAAATGGAAACCCGGGTCTGAGTACATGTTGACTGGATCAGGCATTGGTCCAATGAACTTCGTTCATTCTCATGCTCCGGCGGGTTTTTTTTTTTTTTTTTTTTTTGTTTGTTTATTTAACGCCGTAAGGGCTCTAGGCCCTGGATCCTTCAGGACATTTGGCGTGCAGGTGACTATCTCAGGGGCTACTATACAAGACTTACTGTACGGGAAGATGGGCCTAACTCCCTAATCCCCATGATAACCTGCAAATCTAACCTCGAGGGCACACATAGTATTCTGTCAGTTTCCGTTGGCCCCGCCATTTGGGCTCGTGCTCTGTGATATCTTGCTCGTAGTCAGTGGTCCGAACAGCGTCGAGGGGTTCCTCTCGCTTCAACATGGTAATGCCTTGCGTCCAATAGGCTACAGGCTGGAAGAATATAATGACATAAAGAAATATGGTAATAGGTGTAGTTACACCTGGTTTTCAGTGAACTGATGTTCTGTGACCCTGGGGCAGACTTTTGTGTAGAAATTTGTCCACTTGCAGAAATCTCCGAATTCCTTCGGGTGCGTCACTAGCCATTGCCAGTAGGCCCTGCCTTCAGGTTCTGGTTCTTCGTTCTGCCCGCGGTTTTTTCGTGGCCACCCAGACCATTTGGCAAGGGCTCCTTTGCAGAAAGCAAAGTGGTCTCGCGTTTTGATTCTCCCGCAAGAGCAGTTATAGTGTTCTTCGTGCTTGAACTTCCTGTGGTACCAGTTGAAGTCTCCGTGGCCAGTTCTGGATGCGATCAGCCTGTGGAGCGTTGGCCTGTTTAGCTTGAGCTCTTCAGGGCATTTGAGTGTGGTTTTTTGAATGCCGAGAAGTTTGTATTTTTCCGTAATGTTCTCGTCCCACCATTGCTGGTGTTCACTCCGAATCTTCTCATTGAGGAGGCCTAGAACGCCTGCAAGCGTCGGTTGGGCCCCGGGCGGGATTGGTAAGGTAGTGCCTTCCTTGGCTTTCTTGTCGGCCTCTTTGTTGCCTCGGATGTCCATGTGCCCTGGCACCCACCGGACCTGTACGTCGGCATACGTGTCCGAGATTTCATGGAATTCCAGGAAAGCTTCTTGGGAGCTCTGAGCTGGTTCCCCCCACAGTCCGGAGATCACTGCTGTGTTATCCAGGCACACGTGGATGGGAGCGCCGCTGCTGAGCCTCAGGGCCTGCCTGAGTGCGTGGCGGGCCCCTTCGGCCTCGCCGTCAAAGACCTCAGCTGGGTGACACAGTCTGCCACAGCCCGAGGCCATCTTTGTCCGGCCTCTATAGATCACGTATCCGTAGCCTACTGCCCCCTCTGGGGATTTCGAGCCATCTGAATAAATAACTACGTGTGAGGGTAGTAGCAATTTTAGCCAGTCTGTAAAGACTTTAACTTTCTCGGTTTTGTTTCTTGTTATAATAGCTTTGCCAGCGTTTTTTGCATACCTTAGTTTCGTTAGGATCGGCCTTGGGAAATCCGGTGTGAGTTCATATGTCCTTTGGAGCCGTGTCCTTGCGGTCAACCTGACCAGACCCCTCAGGCCTCTGATCACGGTAGGGTTCCGGGCTGTAACACAGCGGACCAAGGGGTGCTTGCTATCCATGGCTCTGATTCTTAGGCTGAACCGCATCCGGATCTTGCTAAGTATGGTTTGTACCGTTGGTAGGCCTGATTCCTTAAAGAGTACCTTCTTTGGTGTGGTTCTCCAGACCGGGAGAATCCCTCTGATGGCCTCTGTGAGGACTCTCTCGAGGTCGTCCGAGTGGCCGTTCTGGCGGGTGCTCACGTCGCGGGCCTGGCCGTTTCCTGCTCTCTTGTAGTTCCCAGCCCCCCAGACCTCTGCTCCATAGGTCATGGTGGGGATCACGCAGGCAATTACTGCCTTACGGAGGGCTGCTGCTAGGGGTCCTCTGACGGAATTTGCAAGACTTCGAATATGTCTGGCCACGAAGATGCCTGTGGCTGCCCGTCTTTTGATATGCTCCCGGAACTTTAGGGACCTGTCGAAGAAAATCCCTAGCCAACGGACTACCGCCCCTTTCACTGGCTGTGCTGGTTTGATGGTGAAGCCTCCGGGAGTGACTATTTCTGGTGTGATAGGTCTCCTCCCAGTGTCAAAGTAGATTGCTTCAGCCTTGGAGTCTTCAAAGGTGACTTTGTTGTTCAGGCCCCAGCGGAGGATGTTGTCTACCATGCTGGCTGCCTTGGCTGCTAGTTCGGCGGTGGTCTTGCCTACTATTCGGATGCCTACATCGTCTGCATATCCGAATCTGTTATCCTTGTCCTCTAAGAAGATAACCGCAATATATAGCATAAAGAGGATCGGGGAAGCTGGTGATCCTTGTGGGAGCCCACAGCTCAGTCCGAATTCCTCGGTAGTGACGTCTTCTAGTCTGATTCGGGCGGTTCTGTCCGATAGGAAGGAGTCCACCCATTTTATTAAGGCTGGTGCCCAGCCCTGTTGGCGGAGCCTGAGGAACAGTCTCCGTCGGAGTACCGCATCAAACGCCCCTTGTACGTCCAGGGTGACGAGAAGGGCTTTCAGTCCAGATTCTAATGCCATTTCGATATCGTGTGTAACGGCAGCAGTAAGGTCGACCGCGGAGCGTTTAGGGAGGGCCCCTATTTGGTTTGGGCTGATCACATCGCTAAGTAGGGCTGTTGTTGCCATCCGCTTCGCAACTAGCCTCTCGAGGCCTTTCCCAAGGCATGACAGAAGCGCAATCGGCCTGTAGGATTTCGTGGTGGTATAGTCCTTCTTCCCTGGTGTCTTGAGTATTACTACCTCTGCCGTCTTGAAAGGGGTGGGATGGTGCCCTATCTTGAGGCAGGCCTGGAATAGAAGCCGGATCGGCTCTGCTAGGTGGACCCATGCCGCCTTGAGGAGCCGTGTTGAGAGTGAGTCTATTCCAGGGGCTGTATTCTTTGTGAGAACCATCATGGCGAGTTCGGTTGGCGATATCGTGAAATCCCATTCTAGTGTAGCACAAGGGACGGTGGGAATCTTCAGCGGGTCGTATTCGAGGTCATCTTCGGCCGAGTGCCTGTCCAGTAAGGCAGTCTTGAGGGCGTATGCCTTCTCCTTGGTGCCTTCTATTATCGAATTGCCAACCTTCAGTGGCGGTGTTTTGATAGCCGGACCCAGTTTATGCCAGTTGATTATCCTGAAGAGGTCCGAGTCTTTTTGTACGTCCTCGATTCGGGCTTTCCAGTACTGTCTTTTTGCCTCTCGTACCACCGCCCGGAACGCGCGCTTTTCTTTTGTGGAGGTGTTTTTCCCAAATCGTCTCATCGCCATCTTATAGGTCTTTTTCGCTTCTTTGCACTTGTCGCTCCACCAGGGTGCGTTGATTTTCCCCCCTTTCGGCTTGTTGCCGACCGTCTCGAGAGCCAGCGTGAGAAGGGCTATAATAACGGAAGCAACTTTATTAAGTTCTTCTGATGTAGGGTTGGAGTTAAGACTTGGAAGCGGGGTTCCCATCCGTATTATTTCACAGAACTCTGGTAGTTTGTCATCCGGTACCGTGTATCTCTGTTGGACCGCTCGTCGTCTGCCTTCAGCTGGGATCGTAATTTGCAGTGGGCAGTGGTCTGCGGCTGCGTGTAAGGCGTAGTTAACTACAGCGGTTGCGAAGGGGATGTTCGAGAAGGTCAGGTCAAGGACGTGCCCACCGTCGTGTGTAGGGACTCCTGGTTCTCCAATGTATATGAGCTGGTTTTCTGCTGCCCACTGTGCAATTTCCCTGCCTCGGGCTCTGCCTGACATTCCTGGTTCCCACGAAGGGTCGTTTGCGTTGAAATCCCCTGCCACTACACAGGGGGCAGAAGGTAGCCAGGCAAGCAGCAGGTCTAGTGCTTCCTCTCCTTGGCGGTAGAAGTTCA